AATGACATGCTAGTAGCTTTCAAAAGTGCATTTTCCACCTTTTGGGATTTGAGTGGTTTCACTGTCACTTCACTGCAGTGACGTCGCTAAGGGGGGAAGGGGGGGAGGGGAAATGCCCGCCAAAGTGAATTTTAGATGAGAGTCTTACGATGCAGCATTGGAAATTGAGAAACGAGCAAATCGCATCAATGTGACTCTTATGGAATTTGCACAACTTCACCACTGTACAGGGAAGCATTCTATGAGCTGTGCAAACTAGTTTGAATTATGCACTTACGCTTTCTGTGGTGTCAGCCAAGTGGTTAAGTTTTTATTGCTTGAAAATGTAAAAAAATAATACTTCTAGAATAATTCAAGAGGGCAAGGAAGAACAAGTGATATTGTGGTGCTTGTCACAAACCATACTACACCATATCACTGAGCTTGTACGAGATCATTGACAAGTACACTATAGACTCAAACTTGTAGAAACAATAATGTACCAAAAGCATCAATGAAGTCTAAGGTTTATGAAATACAGCAACTCTGTGAGTATTATAATATGCAAACATTTGATTGGAATCAATGATCAATCTACATAACGCTATAACACAAAGAACGTACAAATCTACATAACGCTATAACACAAAGAACGTACAAATCTACATAACGCTATAACACAAAGAACGTACAAATCTACATAACGCTATAACACAAACAACGTACAAATCTACATAACGCTATAACACAAAGAACGTACAAATCTACATAACGCTATAACACGAAGAACGTACAAATCTACATAACGCTATAACACAAAGAACGTACAAATCTACATAACGCTATAACACAAAGAACGTACAAATCTACATAACGCTATAACACAAAGAACGTACAAATCTACATAACGCTATAACACAAAGAACGTACAAATCTACATAACGCTATAACACAAAGAACGTACAAATCTACATAACGCTATAACACAAAGAACGTACAAATCTACATAACGCTATAACACAAAGAACGTACAAATCTACATAACGCTATAACACGAAGAACGTACAAATCTACATAACGCTATAACACGAAGAACGTACAAATCTACATAACGCTATAACACAAAGAACGTACAAATCTACATAACGCTATAACACAAAGAACGTACAAATCTACATAACGCTATAACACAAAGAACGTACAAATCTACACACAGGTTTAACTCTGAAGTTAAAAAATTGAAACTATTTGTGTTGTGTTTGATGTTTCAAAAAGTTCACAGAGCTGAGGCAAGTTTAGTACAATTTCGCTTTCGACTGACGTGGGGGGGAATTTTGTTGTCCCCCTCCCCTGCAAGATTGGCTTTCAGCTTGTGTCCCCTCTCCACACACACACTCGCAAAATCCTGGCGACGCCACTGCTTCACTGGCATTTCAAGCAAAAGAAAAATTGCATTTTCCCAAAACAATCTTCAATAATCAATGTTCAAGTCTCAACCCTTGCAAAACGCTATTTTGACTCGCAATTTATATTTGAGGAGCGCTCAATCATTTCTGATTGTTACAAAATTAAAAACATATCATTGTAGAGTTAAGGAGCTCATTCTATTGGCTATGTAAAGATATAGGTACAAAACACAATATAAAATGGGCAATTGCATGTTAAAGTTCGATTTAGTTTTTCTCAATACAAACTTTATTAAATATATTTATACATAATTTTCCCTATGAGTCACAAGTCACTAAGTTTTCTATAATATTTTGTCCACATAAATAGACAACAGTAGACAGGCAGCATGTTTGGCTATGGCTGCTATGCTACTGCAGAATTTTTGGCAGAATTCCATTCCCTTGACAGAAATTCAATAATTTATATTTCATATGATATTTTTCCATGACACAAATAGGGAAATGCAATTGTGTTTTTCAAAATGAACTTCTTTGTGACAAAAGCTCCACAGTAAATTGAAGACCTAAAACTAGCTGACAAATTTTCTGTATGAAAAGATTTTGGTGTTCCACACACTATATAAAAACAATATGGTATTTCCTCTAGAGGGCAATTTTCTCAAAGAGCCTGCATGAAAATATTTTCAATCTACTAGTATGATGTGTTATTATGTGTAACTCAGTTTGAATTATGATTATCGGAAGCCGTAATCGTGTAAGTTTCACTCCTTTGCCATGTTATAATTCAAAGACCAGAGTGGGATGCAAGTACAAAGAGCCTGGAAAACATTCATTTTTTTTGGTCACACATTTACCCTATGCAACTCCAAGAGAGACAGTGAAAAACTATAAAACCTGCCTCTTCAGCTAAAGTTACCCAAGGATACAATAAGTACACTATACTTTGTAAGGTCTTTATTATTGAACATGCTAGGAGCGAAGAATAACAGCAAAATGACAACGTAAATGAGTATGTCACACACCACATGGGAGAATAAGGCTACTTAGCCCCCCAAGGAGTTATTTTATTTTGCTGCCTTTCAAGTTGGGGATTATTGAGAGGGGGTAAAAGGACACTGGGGTTGAATGAGATTTCATCAAAAAGTGCCAGCGCATACTAACTCAAAAAACACACGGTTCACTACTAATTTCTACATGTGAAAATATCAAATTACCAATAAAGTGCATTAGTGAAATAAAAATTTTGTCAAGGTGACAATTAAAAAATCATCTTTAAAAGAGCTAATACCATGGTGAACAGTTAGAATAATAACATGATAGTTCTTAAAAGAACAGTTTAAAACGAGAACACTAACCCGAAAATTCTAAAAGAACTGCTTTTAAAGCTAAAAGACACTATGCATTTTGGCAGAATACTCATCAGGTGTCAACGTCCGCTAAATGAGAGCTTCAAAATCATGCAATATTTATGATGTAAGGAAAAAAGTTCTTAAAACAGAGATAAATTCAACATGTAATCCTTTTGTCAGCAGAGGATTATGTGTTTAATTTACATATCTCCATTTGACACAAAATTTCTCAATTTAGAGATGACGATAACTCTTTATTAACATCATAAATATTGCATGATTTTGAAGCTCTCATTTAGCAGACTTTGACAACTGATGAGTAGTCGGCCGAAATGCATAGTGTCTTTTAGCTTTAAAAACAGTTCTTTTAGAACTGCTGGTTTAATGTTCTGGTTTTAAAACAGTTCTTTTTAAGAACTATCATGTTAATATTTTAACTATTCATCATGGTATTTGCTCTTTTTAAGATGGTTTTTTAATGCATAAGTGCAATTTGAGAAAAGAACAGCCTAACACATGACTATGATTTTGTCAAAAAAATTTTGACACAAAGCAAGAGACTCTTTTGATTATTACATAAGTAAATTTCAAATGAATAAGACCTTATATCAATTTATGTTTAATGAGCATTTGTACTTGTTATAATTTCATTATAAAATTGACTTTCAAGTAATTTATTTAATTTAATGAGAGTGGGGGATGATTAAATCATAATTTTGTTACCTTTTAAATGGGTGAAAACTACTGGGGGGGGGGGGCAAAATGAGCCTGGGAACTAAATGGAGAACATACTGTAGGTTTCTAATGAAATTAAAAATGCAAATGATCAGAATTTACAGAGCACTGACAATGTTCCTTAGTGGACAGACTGCAAAGTTAGTGATGAAAATTTTGAGAGAACTATGCCTTTATGTGACCCAATTTCGAATATAGGGTGCACAGTTAACAAAGTTTCCAGGGGTAACATGGTTTCTTAATATCCAGAACAAACAAACCTGAATTTTGTGTTTTGTATGAAGCCTTTCAACTTCTGTAAATTCCCAACCTGCCCAATCAACCTTTCCCTAAGCAAGAACCAGTCACTAATGAAAAAAAGCACTAAAGACTCTGTCTTGGCTGCCATTATTCAATACTTCATGGTGTTTCTTCGTTTCCATCTCATGTTTTATTTTAGTGGCGGTATTATGTTGGTCACAGTTCATTGAATTTAGCATCGAGACGGCTAGACCTAGAGCCCCTCAGCCCACCATATCAATGTTTACTTCGTTAACTTTTCAAAAATACAATACAAACATAAGCTATTTCTTATACAACACGATTCAAACTATTTAATCTGTGATTACCTGCCTTGCTGTTCATTTCATAAATATTTAAAAAAGTTCAGGGCAGATAAATGAATCGTGACAATCATAAATTCAAATAAATTGCTTTGAAATCGTTTTCGCCATTTGAGCTTTCATCAGCAAGAAATGGAGAAAGCTTTCTTTACTTTTAAAGTATTTTCTTACCATGCTCGTAAGGAGAAAAGGTTCCCGCATCTATGTTCAAATATGGATCGATCTTTATGGAGGTCACACTCAAGCCACAAGATTTCAATAGTGCGCCAAGACTACTGGCAATCACTCCCTTTCCAAGTCCACTTATAACACCCCCAGTCACCAAAATATACTTCATCTCGACAAAATATGAGTAAGATATCAATTTCTATGGATATGATACAGTATAATCACCGAAAAACTGAGAGAAGATATATAAGATCTTTCACATGTTTATAAGTAAACTTCTTCTATTTCGGCCATGTGCATTGATGAATGACCAGGAGATTGGTAACAAGTCAAATTGGCGCAAAAACTTTAATTGCGACTTTGAAAAACCGTTACAACTAACGTGTTGACTGTTGAGTATAACTATTGTTTGTAAAACACGAGCTTTACGCGAAAGGACAAAAGCGATTTGCGATTGGGACCTATATTCACAAACTATTAAGTTTTTTTATTGCCCGGAAAATGTCAGAAACGTTCTAGATGTGAAGTCGAATTGTGAATTTGCGTAAACATTTTGAAATAAGCCAATAACCAACCGTCCGTTGCAAACGTCACCAATACGTCATTGCCTCAAATTGTCTCGACCACTCGAATTGGAAAAACTTCATCCGAAATTCCGAATCATGACAGCGTTGAATCCAGAGCCCTCTATAGAATATAGAATATAGAGGGCTCTGGTTGAATCGTCTGTGAGGAAATCTTACTGCCGTATTGGTCTTGTCTTTTCCACGTTCGCATCTAATCAAAAACACTATAAATGAGTATTTGTTGCACATAAAGCCCTTAATTTACATTAATTGTACATGTAACAATTTAGCATAATATTGCACAACAGACAGGTACACAAAGATCATAAACTTGTACGTTTATAATTTCATGGGTTTTTTTTGTAAATATGTACATTAGCGTTCAAGAAAGGTCTGTATTTTCACATTCTAACCTGATACGAGTTTTATTTAATCGTGCGGTGCCTTGTACAGCCTTGTACTACTCTGTAGTATAGACTCTTCAAGTTTCTCTTTCCACAGACCAGGTAATAAAAAAATTCAAAGGAAGCTCTTCTACTTTTCTCACATCCAAAAGGAGATCGAACACAAATCATGGGATACAAAGATAACGACATTGTTATCGTTAGTGCGAAAAGAACTGCAATTGGCTCATTTCGCGGAGCGTTAAGTTCGGTAAAGGCGCACGATTTAGCTGCAGCAGTAATAAAAAACATTCTAGAGGAAGTGAAATCTGTTAAAAGCGATGAAATAAGCGAAGTAATTTTGGGTCAAGTTTTAACTGCAGGTAATGATGCTTGCTGACAGGCTAACATTGAAGTAGACTGAGTTTCTTTCTCAAAAATAAAACCCCTGAACTGAGTATATACAAACATCTAGATTTATTTAGCACATACTAATCTTCAAGTGCTCATTTTTTTCTCTTGTTAGGTCAGGGCCAAAACACTGCCCGCCAAGCTGCAATTGGAGGTGGATTGCCAACGTCGGTTCCAGCTAGCACAGTGAACATGGTTTGCGGGTCAGGATTAAGGGCTGTAGCAATGGCTAAACAAGCAATTGCAACAGGAGACTCAATCATAGTGATGGCTGGAGGTCAAGAAAACATGAGTCAGGTAATGCAGCTTAAGACATAGTGAATTCATAAATGATTAGGCAGGTGGTATGGACTTCTATTGGAAGTTGTTCCCCTTCCAAAGGAAATTTAATCTTACTTTATTTTCATATTAAATCAGTAAATCTAGCTTTACTTTTTGTTCTACTGTTTGTACAGGCTTATGTTTCAAATGATTAACCTTTTTATGTAGCCCTCCAAAAATTTTTTTAAATCTCTTTTGTGAATTTTATAGCTCTTTACGGAGTTAGATCATTTTTGTGCATGTGTTACAGAAAGTTGTTTTGTTGGAATTGAAAGCAAAGTTGAATCAGTGGCCTGGCCTGCTTGATTATTCAGTTGTGCTATATTCATTTTTCTGTGAAAACAATGGATTCCCGCAGAAATGGACGTGGGCAGACTAGGTGGGGAGGCAGGGGATGGGAGCCCTCAAAAAGTTGGGCAAACAAAGCCAGTTCGGTGTGATTTGCTGGAAAGTTGAAAAAATTGGATCATTTAAGGTTGAAAATGTTCCAATTGCCCCCCCAAAAAAATGTTGGCCCATAAGCCAATGGATATGAACCATGAGTATTTGATAAAGTTCTGAGGCTTACGTATCCTGGGAAAAACATGTGTATGGGCTTGTTATGCCACTGATTGCTAGTGTTGATTCATGAAACATTTCATGTACCTGAATGGACTAAGTTACTAATTATTCAATAATCTTTAGGCTCCTCATTGTATCGATATGAGGCCTGGGATCAAGTTTGGTGATGCAGCACTGAAAGACACAATGTTGAGTGATGGCCTGACAGATGCATTTAACAACTATCACATGGGCATTACAGGTATATATTGGGAAAACAGTGTGAATTATAGGGATATATCAGGACAACTTTTGAACTCTGCAGAAAAGATTAATGATGTTTTATCAATGACCATCTGTAGCCGAGAATGTTGCAAAACAATGGGAAATCTCCAGGGAACAGCAAGACAAATTTTCTGCTCATTCACAAGAGAAAGCTGCCAAATCATTGAAGGAAAATATTTTTGAAAGTGAAACTGTGCCAATTAACATAACCACAAGAAAAGGTACTTAAAAATTCCATATTGCTAAAACCAGAGATGGATTTACTGGGTGGGCGGAGGCATATGTGCCTCTCCTTGTCTTGGGTAGACTAAGGAGGGTGTCCTATACCTAAAAAGTATTATAATACGCAGGAATTAAGAAAAATCAGTTATGTTTTGTGTTTAATTGAGCACATGTCATTGGCATAGCCAGGCCGCAAATTTGCTGCGTAAATTTCAGATCATTTGCATCATTCAGTTCTTTAGAAGTTTACAATAACTTTTACCATTAAATATTTAAGTATGTGACACCTACAAACTTGTGGGCTGGCTAAAAAATCTCTAATAGTTAGAAGTTGTAGAGTTTAAAAAAATCTGATTTGGTATGTTGACATTCACAAAGAGGCATCCTGCCCCTCCTTTACAAATTGCCCTGGATTCATCCCTAAATGAATATTGTACAGAGTAAAGGTAATACATAATACTGTACTGTAGAAATATTTTATTATTCAAACCTATGGTCAATTATCAAATATAACAATATCACATGTTTGACAGGTACAACTGTGGTCAATAAGGATGAATATCCAAAACCCGACACCAATATGGAAGCACTGGGTCGTCTCAAACCTGCATTTGTTAAGGATGGCTTGGGTACAGTGACTGCAGGCAATGCATCTGGTATAAATGATGGTGCAGCTGTTGTCATGGTGATGTCCATTCAAGAAGCCATGAGGCATGGTGTCAGCCCTCTGGTGAGAATTGTTTCATGGGCACAAGCAGGAGTAGATCCTTCTGTGATGGGAACTGGTCCAATTCCAGCAATTAAAGCAGCGGTATGCCTATTTATGTATTCCCATTTATGTATGCCCATTTATGTATGCCCATTTATGTGTGCCCATTTATGTGTGCCCATTTAAGTATGCCCATTTAAGTATGCCCATTTAAGTATGCCCATTTATGTGTGCCCATTTATGTGTCCCCATTTATGTATGCCCATTTAAGTATGCCCATTTATGTGCCCATTTATGTGTGCCCATTTATGTATGCCCATTTATGTATGCCCATTTATGTGTGCCCATTTATGTGTGCCCATTTAAGTATGCCCATTTAAGTATGCCCATTATGTGTGCCCATTTATGTGTGCCCATTTATGTGTCCCCATTTATGTATGCCCATTTAAGTATGCCCATTTATGTGTGCCCATTTATGTGTGCCCATTTATGTATGCCCATTTATGTATGCCCATTTATGTATGCCCATTTATGTGTGCCCATTTAAGTATGCCCATTATGTGTGCCCATTTATGTGCCTATTTATGTGTCCCCGTTATGTATGCCCATTTATATGCCCATTTATGTATGCCCATTTATGTGCCCATTTATGTGTCCCCATTTATGTATGCCCATTTATGTATGCCCATTTATGTATGCCCATTTATATGCCCATTATGTGTGCCCATTTATGTGTGCCATTTATGTGTCCCCATTTATGTGTGCCCATTTATGTATGCCCATTTATGTATGCCCATTTATGTGCCCATTTATTTGTGCCCATTTATGTATGCCCATTTATGTATTCCCATTTATGTATGCCCATTTGTGTGCCCATTTATGTATGCCCATTTATGTATGCCCATTTATGTATGCCCATTTATGTATGCCCATTTATGTATGCCCATTTATGTATGCCCATTTATGTGTGCCCATTTATGTGTGCCCATTTATGTATGCCCATTGATAAGTCCAGTCTACTATTTGAGGCCTTTCTGTTTAGTCCATAAGTGTCTTCATCAGGAGTGTTGTGATGTTGAAACTTGAGCCTTTAGATAATTGAGTCTAGTGCTTCATCATGAGTGATCTGATATGTTTAACTCGACTCCTTATCACGATGCTTATTTTAACTCAACATTTTCTCAGGTTTCCAAAGCTGCTTGGAGTTTAAATGATGTTGATTTCTTTGAATTGAACGAAGCATTTGCTTCACAATCGTGTGCTGTAGTTAAAGATCTTGGACTTGACCATAAAAAAGTAATGTATTCCAATTTTGACAATAAAAGTCCATCACTGTCCGCATCCAGAATCAGAATGAAATATATCAGTGTAGGTAATGGTGAATGAACAACAGAGAATGAGAATAGTCTTTACACTACATAAAATATATAACAAATAAGATAACGTGTGTCAGTGTAGGTAATGATGAATGAACAACAAAGAACAACAGTCTTTACGCTAACTAAAATATATAAGAAATAAGGTAAGGTGTGTCAGTGTAGATAATGATGAATGAACAATAGAGAACGTGTGTCAGTGTAGAACAGCCTTTACACCTCCACCCGGTGGTGTTGCAGTATTAAGGAGTCATGCGCTACGAAATTCCGATTACATCGCATATAAAAATTAATAAAAAACCCAATTATTAGAATGTACATTTTGTTACAGGTGAACGTTCATGGTGGAGCTATAGCGTTGGGCCATCCCCTTGGTGCATCGGGATGCAGGATTCTAGTAACATTGATTCATACGTTAATAAGGACGGACAAAAAGAAAGGTGTTGCTGCTTTGTGTGTTGGAGGTGGGATGGGGATAGCTATGTGTGTAGAAAGATGTTAAATTTCATTTTCAAATTATATCACAAACGTTATTGCAAACAAATCTATTGTATTTGTATATAAATCGTGAATAAAGTTTAGATATTTTTCATTTTTAATGAAGAATAAAGTTTGATTTACGTAAAGTATCTTTAGTCCACTATACATGCGAAGAAACTTTCTCTATCTTCAATGAAGAATAAAGTTATGATTTACGTAAAGTATCTTCAGTCCACCATACAGGTGAAGAAACTTTCTCTATCTTCAATGAAGAATAAAGTTATGATTTACGTAAAGTATCTTCAGTCCACCATACAGATGAAGAAACTTTCTCTATCTTCAATGAAGAATAAAGTTATGATTTACGTAAAGTATCTTCAGTCTACTATACAGGTGAAAAAACTTTCTGTATCTTCAATGAAGAATAAAGTTATGATTTACGTAAAGTATCTTTAGTCCACCATAAAGGTGAAGAAACTTTCTCTATCTACAATGAAGAATAAAGTTATGATTTACGTAAAGTATCTTCAGTCTACTATACAGGCGAAAAAACTTTCTCTATCTTCAATGAAGAATAAAGTTATGATTTACGTAAAGTATCTTTAGTCCACCATACAGGCGAAGAAACTTTCTCTATCTTCAATGAAGAATAAAGTTATGATTTACGTAAAGTATCTTCAGTCCACTATACAGATGAAGAAACTTTCTCTATCTTCAATGAAGAATAAAGTTATGATTTACGTAAAGTATCTTCAGTCCACCATACAGATGAAGAAACTTTCTCTATCTTCAATGAAGAATAAAGTTATGATTTACGTAAAGTATCTTTAGTCCACTATACAGGCGAAGAAACTTTCTCTATCTTTAATGAAGAATAAAGTTATGATTTACATAAAGTATCTTCAGTCCACCATACAGATGAAGAAACTTTCTCTATCTTCAATGAAGAATAAAGTTATGATTTACGTAAAGTATCTTTAGTCCACCATACAGGCGAAGAAACTTTCTCTATCTTTAATGAAGAATAAAGTTATGATTTACGTAAAGTATCTTCAGTCCACCATACAGATGAAGAAACTTTCTCTATCTTCAATGAAGAATAAAGTTATGATTTACGTAAAGTATCTTCAGTCCACCATACAGATGAAGCAATTTTCTTGAGAGTCGAAATTGAGCAAAAATTAAGTAACATTTTGTTTTCTTTATTGATCAAATAATTGATTGCACGCCAAAATTACGCACAAGCTAAGTTTCATTATCTTACAATTTATGTCAATACGTATATGTCTACTAACATATACATATATCCTTATTTATTTCATCATATCGTACACGAAAGAAATTTATATTATCAATCAGAGCATGGTACTGTCCTTATTGTACACACTGATGTATCACAATTGTAGCTTCAAAGTGAAAATTTCAAAAATGTTCGGCAACAAAGAGTGATGATTTGATGGCCAATTATTAAAAACGACTAAATTATCAAATTATCTCCACTTCAATTAGGAAATCAACTCGAAATTACAATGTTTCATTTCGTTTTTATTCCGCCGTACAAAGAAAGATTCGTGAGTTCAAACCGTTACGTGAATTTGTGCATGAAAAATTTCCAGGATTTGAGCGGTTTTTCAGAAGAAATGTCGAAAAATTCCCTCATTTCTTGAAGTATAAACGGAGACGACATTCGCACCAGTTCACACCACAGGCATGCGCAGTGCACTATACCAGCACAAGTTTCAAAGAGCCTGCTTCAACCGACTTGTGAGGGCGCCTGCATGCCCTTTCTTCATTGGCTGAACCGACTCACGTGACGGAATCAGGCGAGTCCTCTGAGTCAGAATTCATGTAACGCTTTGTTAGACTGCTGGCCCGTCTCTTCGTGGTCTCTTTCTTGTCGCCAACCGGGGGACTTGACACCTGTTCCGATGTACCTGGAAAAGAACGACGGGGGGTAAATAATCCGGTGGAATGAAATACTGAAACGTAAAATAGCAACTTAATAAAGAATATGACGGGGGTAAACAATACAGACTTGGCAAATCCATGACTGCTTTCTGATACAAAAAGTAGGTACGTAACGCGTACATGTGGGTAGACTTAATTGATTTTTCAGGTGAGATTCGAGAATCTAGCATTCATAAAAAAGTTTCTCGTCCATAACAAAAAATTCGAAACATGCATAATCGTAAGTAGGCGAGCTAGAAAATTGGACAATTTGCCGTAAGTTTTTTCATGCAATTTACAAGCAACTTTTTCAGCAAACTAAATTCGGCACACTTAGGAAATAGATATTATGACTTGAATAAGGTTATACTGTTTAAAGTAAATGGTTTCAACCCGGGAGTATCGTTACATGTTTGTAAATGTAGATCGTTCAGGTTGGTATAGTCCTGAGAAGGACTGTTTTTAAAAAGAATTCTCAGAATCCTCTGCCGTCAACGATCACGGGCTTGCAATGATAACGACTATCCCCGACAGTTAACAAGACGGCCGTTTAGATGCTAGCGACCATTCCCGACTGAAGAATGCAGGTGTTGTGACGTACGTGACGTGACGTAATTGCTGTGACGCGACACATTTTTTGTTAATAAACCATTCTTACTTAAGACACTATGCGAATCCGTTTCTCACCTTGCGAGTCATTGGTCATTATTTATAACTAACCTGATTCAAGAAAAACTTCGGAAAGAGAAATCTCTTCTGTGTCTTTCTTTTCGCCGTCGATTTCATCGGAAGTACCATTCTCGCTATCCGTCGTGTTATCCTCTTCAAATACTAGACTGGAATGGGGCGTCAACGTGGACAGATTGGCCTTGAGCAATGCTCTGAAATAATGAAGTATGGAATGATGAGTACAATGTAGTATAGTGGAGTATAGTATAGAATGATGAGTAAAATGTAGTGTAATGGAGTATAGTGCAGAATGATGAGTACAATGTTGTATAATGGAATATAGTGCAGAATGATGAGTACAATGTAGTATAGTGAATTAGAGTGTAGAATGATGAGTACCATATAGTATAATGGAGTATAGTATAGAATGATGAATGTAGTATAGTAGTAGAATGATGTACAATGTGGAGTGATGAATACAATGTAGTGGAATGGAATGGAATGTAGTGGAGTGGAATGATGTAATGGAATGATGAGTACAATGTAGTATAATGGAGTATAGTATAGAATGATGAGTACAATGTAGTATAATGGAGTGTAGTGTAGAGTGATGAGTACAATGTAGTATAGTGGAGTATAGTATAGAATGATGAGTACAATGTTCTATAATGGAGTATAGTATAGAATGATGAGTACAATGTAGTATAATGGAGTGTAGCGTAGTGTAGAGTGATGAGTACAATGTAGTAAAGTGGAGTAGAGCAGTGCTGTAGAACTAAATTTATCAGATGGGGGGCTCTCTTGACGTTTTTGTCAATAGTGCCCTTTTAAAATTACCCATTTCAAACGTAGAAGGGGGGCTCCTCCCCCAAGCGCCCCTCCCCCACTTCTACAGCACTGGAGTAGAGTATATAGTATAGCAGAGTACGGTACAGTGAAGAATAGAATAAGTATAAATACTTTTTGAAACAGCATTTTAAGTACCATAATATACACATAACACACCAAAATGGAGGAAGAATGTGAAGATGTGGGATTTACAATTGAATAATAACGTTGTGTAATGGACAGTGTAAAAAACATAATCTTACACTTAAAGTAGAGCACAGACAAAAATAATAAAGAGAATATAGAAAATTACAAAACAAAACAACTCACAAGAGTAAAATGGAGAGCAAATACAATAATTATTATAAAACCGAACGGAACAAGTGACTCAATATTTTAATCAGTCTTACTTCTGGTTTTCAAGTTTTTCAATCTGATCTGTAAGGCTCTTTTTCTGTTGCTCTTCGCCAGCGGCAGCTTCCTCTTCATTGCCCTATAAAAGTTGAAGTTCCATGAAAAATTGAGCTAGACTATATTTTCGTGCTAAGTCGTGTATAAAACTACCATATGATAGACACATATTTACGATTAAAATTATAAATTTTGTCGTCTAGATAAAATGTTAAGCAAGCACCGGGCAACTAAAATCATGTGGTAACGAAATCATCTTTATCTTCAATGTTCTACCAACTGAACTACAAGACTAATGTAGACTATGATGATAATTCAAAACACAGTTCTAGTTTCCTTCATATTTTAATATCATAGATAATAACATCACGTTTTTGTGATGTACTCAGGTATAGTAAGATTATCATTGTCTTCAATGTTCTACCAACTGAACTACAAGACTAACTGTGGACTATGATGATTTTTCAAAACACAAAACAGTTCTAGTTTCCTTCATATCTTAATATCATAGATAATAACATCACGTTGTTGTGATGTACTTAGGTACAGTATAAACAAGACAGTCATAAATCTGCAATAGAAAAGTGCGACATTATTTCCAATCATTTGCAATCAAACCAACACGGCTAAATATTTCACAAACTGAACAAAAAATAAAATGAGATCTTCCAGAATACAAAAAAAAAATCAATGCAAACACAAACGTCTACCTTATCGCTCCCAAGGCGTTTCAGTTTGGATGTGATATTTTTCAAAGATTGATCGATTTTTGTAATGTCCGCGAAAGTCGCGTCTATCTTCGACATTTGTCCAATAATTAACGTTTCCACAATCCTAAAATCGAGAAATTTTTAATTTTTCTATTAATAACACAAAAATTACACGTAGAAATAAAATCACAAACGTCATGATTTTATAATTATTATAATATTATAATTATATATTATAAATTAATCAACTTCGCTGCTTATTTCTGTGCTTATTTACTGTTTCTTACACGCAATCTCTGGCAGCTTAGATATGCTCTTTACGAGATTTTGAAAACCTAGTAATTGAATTTCCACAAATACAATAAGTATGCCTTATTGTGAAAACAATTAGTTAAACTGAATAATTCAACAAGGATAGCAACGATATCAAAGGATTAAATCGCAAATACTCTTCCCAGTTAATTTCGTGCTTCAACTACGCGCAATGCATGATGGTTGACAATCAGAACTTACAGAGACTGCTTTCTAATATCGTATAAACCATCTAGAGCGCTGCCTCCTTCTCGCGGGCGCATCAAACATGGCGCCCAAATCACGGACAATCCACTGGGCGACATCAGATTAGAGCTTTCGTACTTAGCAATACTTAAAAAAAGAAAAAAATGGTGATGAATAATGTGAACCTCCTCTCAAAGAAAATTTACTTTTTTCAATGAGCAAATATCTATGACAAATATTCTTGATGGATATAAGCTTGCAGGAGTAAGTTTAGATCATTGAACTGAAATACATGGAACGCTACCTGAAGCAGATAATTGAAGCCAAATCTTACACCCAGACACGCGTTAGTAGTGTTTCGATATTCTCTCGCGAAGTGAAAATTTGATTGAACTACAAACGAATGTCTGGGTGTAATCTCGCGTGTCTGGGTGTAAGAGTTGGCTTCAAAAATATATTAGGTTTTTCCATTAAAGGTAGCGTTCCAGATGTATTTAGTTCAATGGTTTAGATTCGCTACTTGGTCAAGGAAAACTGTTCTCTACAGTAAGTACCGTTGTCTACAACACTCTGCTTTCCTGTACTCAGTGGCGGATTGTGGGGGGGGGACTGACTGGGCTACAGCCAGGAACCCGAAGATTTTCGGGATCCAGGGGGGCCCGTTGAAGTCAAATAATTTTTTAATATTTCATAGTATTGCTACATTTTAACTAAGCGCTTGCAGGAAATTTAGAATAAATTTGGCTAAGTTTTTATCATGTTAAGATATATTATGTTAAGATCTATGGACGTATTGAAACAATGAATTTTTTATCCTAAATTTTTTAAATTTCAAAGTTCGTGTACACAGCAGATCAATAGTTGTTAAATTGCAGCGACAAATTAGTCAACAGTTAGTCATTGTTGCGCGTAAACGGATATAAATGAGCTTCGTATATTTTTATTATTAAATGAAAATGACTGGATACAAACATTTCCGAATGTGAACATCACACTTCGGATATACCTCTGTATGATGGTTTCAAATTGCAGCGGAAAGAGATATTTCTCTAAATTAAACCGCATAAAAAACGAGTTGAGGAGCACAATGGCCTTGGACCGAGTCAGCAAACTATCGCTTATGAGCATCGGGCATGAAATTTTAAGTGCACTTGATTTTGAAGAGCTTATTGACGATTTTGCTGCAAAGAAAGCACGCAAGAAACCTATTTAAATCATACTTTAACTAAATTGTTCTGTCAAGTTTAATAGCAGTTTGTTTTATTCGTGAAGTCCCTCCTTTGTTCAGTGTGGGAAAACTAATCAATTGCAGGGGAATGAGAGAAAGCGGACAGTTTAAAGGGGCCCAACCAGAGAATATAGCAGGGGCCTGAGAAAGGTTTAATCCGACACTGACTGTACTGACCATAAAAGCAAACTACATAGGTCTGTAATGTACTCTGATGTACTGTACTCACCACTGTTAATAAGTAACATTCTACGTTGTACATGCTTGTCATTACTACACGCTCTTGTTCTCTACACCTCTCTGTTCTACTGTATCGATTTCTACCCTCGAGCTGTTGCTCTCTGGTGTACTCAGTTGTATTAAACTCACCTCTACTGTCTATTACCAATCTACGTTGTACAGTGTTTACCTTTACTACACGCTCTTGTTCTCTACACCTCTCTGTTCTACTGTATCGATTTCTACCCTCGAGCTGTTGCTCTCTGGTGTACTCAGTTGTATTAAACTCACCTCTACTGTCTATTACCAATCTACGTTGTACAGTGTTTACCTTTACTACACGCTCTTGTTCTCTACACCACTCTGTTCTACTGTACTTACCGCGAATGCAAGCTTTCCTTTTATAACGTACTTTCTTGTGCTATACTTATTTTCATAAGTCGTCACTATGTTGATACATTTAACGTAAACGACAACTTTTTTAAATTTTTTATTGCAAACATGTTTCGGCAAACTTATGCCATCTTCAGTGCGGTTCTATGTGAATATTTCATTCATTAAACCGCACTGAAGATGGCATAAGTTTGCCGAAACATGTTTGCAATAAAAAATTATAAAAAAGTTGTCGTTTAAGTTAAATGTATCATTTGAATCGTGCTGCTACGAAATTATGGAAGTATCATCATTGTGTGCTGTTGAGTATCTAGTTTTGCTGCATGCAGTTGTTTTCAAATGTACACTGATTTACTATATAGTACTGTAATGACCCCGATCGCACGTCACTAATGTATACTGCACAATACACGTCTGTTCTCTACAGCAATCTGTCAAATGAACTATCAATCGTTCTCAAGTGTAATAATTTCTATATTAAATGGTTACCTTGCTAAATGAACTACCAATCGTTCTCAAGTGTAATAATTTCTATATTAAATGATTACCTTGCTAAAGGAACTATCAATCGTTCTAAAGTGTAATAATTTCTATATTAAATGATTACCTTGCTGAATGAACTATCAATCGTTCTAAAGTGTAATAATTTCTATATTCAATGGTCACCTTGCTAAATGAACTACCAATCGTTCTTGAGTGTAATAATTTCTATATTAAGTGGTCACCTTACCAAATGAACTACCAATCGTTCTCAAGTATAATAACTTCTATATTAAATGGTTACCTTGCTAAATGAACTACCAATCGTTCTAAAGTATCTTGGTTTGGTTTCGGTAAAGTATCCACAAGTGTTAAAAACCGCTTTAAACGAGACTCGTGGTCGCTTAAATCTGTAAAAACAAACATCAAATTAGCGTCATAAGTGTTTTTACCATCTTTGTCTGTGCCTACATAAATCAAAATGACAGGGCTTCAATCTGAACCTATGAGAAAGTCCTGGAAGGATGATAGAAAATCATTTTCCCCAACAAGAATACACAAAACTTATTGTGACTACACTAAGGAGTTTGTAAAGCTTAAGTCCACCATAGCTTTTGCAGCAAAATAAAATATGGTTTTAAAGAACGTTCGTTTAATTACAGTCCAATAACACGATTAGGAAAGTCACTCAAATTTCACTAAACAAATTGATTGTGTTTTGAAAGTAAATTTCGATGTTACATTATGAAAACCGTGAAAAGTGTGGGTGTTAGTGGGGTGGTGGGAAGGATGGGTGTGTGAAGGGGATGGAATGGGTGTGGAGAATGAGCAGTGGGATGGTGCGTGCATGGAGGGATGGGTGTGTGTGGAATGGATCAGTGGATGGGTGTGAATGTGGAATGGTGGATGGTGGGATGGTGGTGGGGATTGTTGCATGAGCAGAAACTACTACAAACAGTCTTAACTGTATATCAAATTCTAGTGGCTCAGGGGGGAACGTCAAATAGATCAAAACAATACTAAGACTAAACATATGGTTTCTTAGTCCAACCAACAGCCGACCTTAATAATAACACTATTATAAAAGGGGCGGCCTTTATCGTGTATAAGATAGGGGCGTCTATTGGAGACGGGCCGGTTATTAGAGAGGAGCGTCTAATACAAACTCAAGCTCCAATGGGGGCGGCATTTAGATTCGAGGCGTTTATTGGATCATTCACGGTAACTATAACAAACAAGCGAATGAAAAGACTGTCACATCAAACAACTCACCACAAGCTCGCAGAAATTCCTCGTATACTTCAGGGGTGATGAGAGGACTGGACAGAGTACGAAAGAACATCTTCAACACGGCAGCAACAACGTGAATTGCGTAAACACTCAAATCAACTTCGTTCACGTCTACTCGCAAGAAAGAAGAAAATAAAGAGCTTCCTGCAGTGCTATTTAAGTCATCATAACAACCACGGTATAACATTTTGGCATGTATTTACATTTCTAAGAACCTTAGAGGAAAATCCATCGGTAGAATTATATTCTTTAGAAATTCAAAACCAATAGAGTTTTTCTGAAAGTACTTTGACTCTAATACTGAGCAGTCATAATTTATTTTGACGAACGCAGTATACGCTACTGTCTAGATATAACTGTGGATTTAAAGACGCCTGTTAGGCGTTCACTCGGGCTACTCAGGAACAGTGTTTTGATTTATTTGCGCAGCTATTGCAATACAATTACCAAATACGACAACGAAATTCCAATGCGAAATAAAAGTCAATGAAATCTCACATGTTGCATTATATTATGCACGTAAATCATGTTTCATTATTCGCGTCAAACGTGAAACTCACGCGTGAAACGATTCAAGATTTCGTTTCCACTTTTAATGTATTTTCTCCGCTATCGATGGAAGAGACTTTACCTTCTACAGCAGAGAAGCAATTCTTCAACTGTCTTACTTTGGCAGCACTCGGCGACTTCCGGTATATACCTTCTTGAAATGTACCTAATATGAAAAATGATTTTGTAACTTGCCGTTGTAACAGGCAAACTCACACGGTGCAACAAGAAACTGTTGACAGAAAATGCAGCAGGCACAATGATTTAGAACCCAATCCCCTACATGCCTAACTACCGTGTCGAGGTGAGGCATTGAACTTAATGTAACTGGAAGGCTATCTCGCACCAAAATGTGAAACTAGCAATTCAACTAGTCCCGATCTCTCCACGCGCGGTTCAAAGAAAGTTCGTTTACGACGATAAGCTAGAATGCGGGATTTCATCTCCTACCACGCGTGTCTGATTTGGCTTAATGCAAGTACAGGCATGTTCATGGGAAGGATGCATTCCAGTTATATATTTAGTTCAACGAGGTGAGGCAAGGACGCTATTTTTAAAAATGGCAAAAAGCGACATCCTTAGACAAAAATAAATCAAAAGAAAGTTTACAAAACCAATCCCATCAAACATTTTATAAAGCAAACCGAAATTATTGACTTTGCAACGCAGATGAAGCACGATTTAGTTGCACATATCGTCGGTTTTGCCACCTTTTAAAATGGAGGCTTGCCTCTTTTGTAGCTACAGAATTTCAGCGAAGTCATGTATCCAGTAGATAAGGTTCTAGGTCATTAGGCTTGCTCCACGAAAACTAGATAGACTTTTAATCAGAGGCCGCGCAAGCTCGATAATTGGAGGGGGAGACAAATATTCATATATGCATGTTCTACCTTGGTAGCTTCTATTCAAATCAAGTGTGGTTATGGATTAACAAAGATTAAAACATACGCATATATGAATAATTGCCCCCCCCCGTCCAATTATCGAGCTTGCGCGGCCTCTGTTAATCTGTCAGTATTTCCGAGAATTTCACGCGAGATGAAATTTTAAATGCCGTGGAAAGGAACGTTAAGACGACGACCATGAAATCTATAAATGCTTACATTAACGACAAAATCATTCAAAAAAGCAAGAAAGAATAACTATGAGATAAATATCACTAAAAATATGAAACTTTCGTGTAACAACAAAACAGGAACAAACGCTAGGAGCACTTCACTGCGCAAATCACTGCTGTATATTTAATTGAATCGCCAGCTGCGTACGGCAAGCTCAGGCTACTCAGTGTTGCTATTGGTCAAAAAATGCAATTGACCGGCTATCATTATGTTATCACATTCGTCACCTATCGTTTGTTCCCTGTAGTTTGATACAACTAGCCTTTAAAACGTTAATGAAAAGTAAAATACACTAACCTTTATTTTCTACTTCATTAATAAGTCTAACTACAACGACTGGAATTTGAATATCATCACTAACTAGGAAATTGAGCTCTTTACCGAAGAGAGAGCCCTAAAACAAAACAAAAATGAGCTGAGAAATGTAACAAAATAATTTTGTTTAGACCACTCACCAATGCTTGAAAGGCTCGCATGAATATACATCTATGACCGCTTATCAACATATGGCAGGCTCGCATGATGATATATCTTTGACCGCTTACCAATGTTTCAAAGACTCGCATGAACATACATCTATGACTGCTTATCAACATATGGAAGGCTCGCATGAGAATATATCTATGACCGCTTACCAATGTTTGAAAGACTTGCATGAATATAAATCTATGACCGCCAACTAATATAAGGACGGCTCCATGAATTAATAATGATTTAGAACCCAATCCTCAACATGTGTAATTGCCAAGTCAAGATGAGGCAAGGACGCCATCTTGAAAAGTGGCGAAAAGCAAAGCTCAAAATGAAAAATAAGGTAAAAGAAGTTTTAAAAACCCAATCCTATCAAGTATTTTTAAAATTAATTCTAGACTATTGACTCTGTATATCAACTCAGGAAAAGCAGATATTAGTCGTAAATATCGTCAGTTTTGCCAACATTCAAGATGGCGGCTTGCCTCACTCGTTACTATACAACTTCGGCGGAATCAGATATCTAGTAGATTGGGTTCTAGTTCATTGGCATGAAAACATATCTAGGACCGCTTACCAATGTTTGAAAGCTCGCAAGATTATATAATTATTCAACACTTACACTGGCTATACTTTTCGTTCGTTCATATTTGTTTTGACAGGGTCTCGTGCTCTTCTTATAACATCGTTTATGAACAGTAAATTTACAGTCTAGTTAAAGAAAATTTGTAGAAAAACAAGAATAGGAGTAATTAGTAAAACATATGTTAACTAAAACACTAGACTGGAGTATACAAGGACTCGAGTTTCAACATCAGATCACTCCTGATGAAGACACTACACTGGAGCAAATAACAGCTCTAGTTTTAACACCAAATCCTTCACAGTGTCGTCCCAAGACAAGAGAGTTTGTAACAAGTTAAAGCTAAAAAGTGACTTACCTATACATACAAAGCCTTTCTCAAGAAGCCTTATTTGGTTGCCACAATGTTCACAAGTTGTATGAATATTAAATGTCGTTAAAGCATAACGATGTCCATTGTGTTCCTAAGAAGAAACATTATCATTATTGATAATAATAATAATAATAACAATAATAATAATAATAATAATAAATTAGTAATAATTAAATAATTAATTGATAAATACTAAATTATTAACATTATTTCATTAATTTTTGCAATAATTATTTAATTAAAATTTACGTAATAGCGCTAAAAACCAGCGCCAACAGTGACCTATGAAACTTTGCGAACGTGCAAAACTCAGCTCTAGTGCGGCTCAATTATTGTTAAAATTGCAATCCCTTACTTTTATTGAATTATGTTTCTTCTTCTTGTTCTTGGAAATTGGCTTACGTTTATTCTAAAATTCGGAGGACACGCACAAATTTATAGCGAAAAGAACATACCTCTATGAAATCAACGTATTTGTATGGAAAATGATAAATTTTTAGGGAAGATAATGTATTTCTGTGACGATGTATATACGTATTTGATGTATTTTATGGAGGATAATGGTCATTTTTATGGAGGATAATGTACTTCTGTAAAAGATAAGGCATTTGTATAAAAGATATTACGATGGGTCTATCCTTACTATAGGATGAAACGAACTCAGACATCTGGCAAACTCAAGATATGAGGTATGTGAAACAACAAGAACAGAACTCTACACAACAACTATATTTCTATTGGAAATTATACAGTACCTTATGAACTTTTGCAGCATGTTGAGAACTAAAGACAAAATAAAATCACTCGCAAACCAAAAAAAAATAAAACGTTCTCAGATCTTTCTGCATACTGAAATACGACGGAGTAGTTTTTCCACGAGGTTAAAAAAACAAGTTTTACCTTGAATCTTTGAATTCACAAAGAAGTCCTTCGAAAGCGTTGATTACCATCCTCAAAGGAAACTCTGAATGGAACTTATTCACTTTAATAATGTTGGTTAAGATGCTTTCGAATCTTCGACTTAAATCTTCAGAGGTGATAGATAATGTATCATTTTGCTGAAAGATAAAAGACAAAACCATTAGACTAATGTTTATTAAATATGGACAAACACATAGAAGGAATGAAGATAGGGTGAAGAGAGAACAATAACGATGGAATGCAGAGTGATAAGGATTTTCACATAATCAAAACAGTTCTTTTTTCAGCCTCTGTATTTTTTTTGTATAATAAAGATTTGAAGGAAAGATGAAAGGCAGGGATGACTCGAGGATTGGGGAAACATTTATATATGCAAAATCAAACTAGCCCCGAACGACTCCTCAGACAGACACTGTATTTCCTGTGGAGAACAGAGGGTAGAAAAGACGGATGAAAGATAGGGATGACGAGGGGCTTCATGGGGACATTGCTATACACAAAATCAAACCAGACCCGTATAACGTATTTGTCGAGAACTGTATTTTTTGAAGGGAACTAATAGAGTTATGTTGGTGTGAGGGACGAATGAAGATAAAAAATAGCAAAGGGATAGAGGGGAACATTACGGGAGTTAAAACAAATCCCCAAACCTTCATCATCACAGAATAAGTCGATAAGAGACTGGAGTGAAACTCCTCGACAGCTTTTTTGAACACTTTATCGACGAAGGTTTCCTTATTCAATTCATGAATCTGTCAAATAAAACGTAGTAATTCCATCACTTAAGTAAATGGTTTGAACCCGTGACTTTCGTGGCATATTTGTACATGTAGATCGTCCTTGGGAACTGCGACAAGGAATGTTACTGATAGTATTTATTGACTTTTCGACATCCTTAGGATGTGAAGCTGACATTTAGTTCTGATGATGACCACCGGAAAGGAGATCGAAGCATCAACAAACAAAAGTCAAACAAAATGTCCTTCTCAGGACTACACTAACATGGACGATCTTTATCCACAAACATGAATGTACATTACTTATTAAAACATAAACTGATTGACTAAAATAAGCTTAATTTGGATCTCAGGTCTGTTTCAAATGTCTAACTTTACATGCACAGAACGCTTTAAAACAAAAGAAAATGAGATGAACTTCCGCGTTGTCTTTTGCTTTAAATAGACTCGGCTCATGTAAAGGTCGACGTTTGAAACGGGCCTAAGACTTGCTTAACCTTGAAGTGTTTATCTGGGGTCGGTTGCACGAAGAAAGATAACGTTAATGTATAGGATAGTGACTTCTTCGTATGCGCACTAACAAAGCTGTTACATTTGTAAATATAAATGAAACTTAGGTATCTTTGAAGTTGCGTTTTCACAGTGAAGGTTCGACTTAAATTATTCTTTTATGATGTTTGACATGGTAGAGAGGTGGAAACTCTACTATGACAAGCGCTCTACTAAACTTGGACTTTCTGATAAAATTGGACTTTCTGAAAATTTTTGGACACAAGAGCTTTTTTTTGTAATACAACCTGCTATGACGAATCTTAATGAAAACCCTGCAAACGCTGTCTGATGCTTATATATTAACTAAAGCTTGCATTGTCTATCTGTCCCCGAGACCTTAAATCAACTTCGACTTTTCAATCCTAACAGACCGCAGATTAGTTCATCATGGAGTTGTCTGTTTAATCTACAATGCATTCGATTCTCCGCTTATCCCACAATGCATTTGATTCTCCGCTTATCCCACATTTCTCTCTTCAAAAGAAGAGTACAAACAAAACGGGAAAACGAACATTGTAAAGCATTCAAATCCGAAATATTCCTAAGTCAGTCTAACCTTATCAGTGAGAAACTTATCAATTTCATCCAAACCGTCGCTTCCTTCAAGAACAACACTCGAATCGCCTTTCAACTGACGAACACCTCGGGGAGAATCTAGAGCTGGAACAGAAAATTTCAAAACTAACTTCATACGTTATTCATCTTAAAAGTTTCTCTGAGCACATAAAACCATACTGCTTTATGGTTATTTTATACAACGATTGTAAATCCTCTTTACAATATGTAATGTACACAGAGCAGTTTGAGCAGTTTGAGCGTTTTTCAAGCGTTGTCGAAAAAACTTAATTTTATTTGATTTGTATGCAAATTCTCCGCATAACATGCAACACAAACCTAAAATGCATTAAAATAGCCAATCAAAAACGTTATTTTATTTGATTAATTTGAATTCTCTAAACGTCGTGAAACACCATTGAACCGATTGTAACTGGAAGGTTTCTTCCCGCCAAAATTTGAAGTGAGCAATTTAACTTGGTCCCAATCTTTCCAACCACAAGTCGAAGAAAGTTCAACGCTGGATTTGGCCCGCAAACACGCGTGTATAGGCGTAAAATTTGGCCTCGTACAAATACATGGATGTTCAACTAAAGGTAGCATTCCAGTTACATACTTCGTTCAATGTGAAACACAAATCTGAGATGAATGTAGATCGCAGTTCAAAAAGCGATCGTTGCTCACCTTGTGACAATTGATCATTACTATGTTTCTTTATCAGTTTGTTATCAGGCCTCTCGTTGCTTTGACTCGTTTCAGAACCCTTTCGCATCGCCTTGTCTTTCTCTTTTACTTTACGCTTTGAAAAAAGTCCACGTTTTCTTGGTGTTTTTAAGAACTTCTCCTTGTTTAGATCTTCCTCCGTTTGCTTTGGCTACAAAATAAGTTATATTTTCAAAATCCACGTTAGTAGCTGTATCGAAATGTACCACTAGAATTTCTATTATTTTAAATACAGAAACTAGCATACTCAATGCTTGCAAAAGTTTACGGAGCAGCATTACAAAGACACAAAAAATTACGACTGCCAAAGAGTATTTTAGTATAAAACAAAACAATTGACACTTCGTACAAAGGAAACATCATTTGTTGTAAACGTTTCGACAAGTGTTACCTGTAAATAAACGAACATAAAAATAAATGTACATAAAATGCTACACGCTACCTTTTCTACTGATGATGACATGTAACACTTGTCGAAACATTTAGAATAAATAATGTTTACTTTGCTTAATTGTTCGCTTGTTTGAGACTGTGAATAAGTCGTTTGTAAGGCGCCGGTAATTGCTGTGATCTGTTCAGGGGGGTTTGTTCCAAGTTGGTATACCAACTTTCTAATGTAAGCCGTTGTCTATAGTCAGTGCTGTAAGTAATGCATTTTGCCGAGTCCCAGTCAATGTTGTGTTTTGTCAGTCGGCGATGTATTTGGTATATATGATGTATTTCTGTACATAGAAAATATATTGTATGAAAATGTGCCACGACGTTTTTCCCTCAATACGTTTTGTCTATGTTCCTCAGTAGTTCTTAATGAATAAACAGGTTCGTCTGGATAATGCTTTATTCTACTTTTGGTATTGGGCACAATAAACAAGTTCGTCTGGATAATGCTTTATTCTACTTTTGGTATTGGGTACAATAAACAGGTTCGTCTGGATAATGCTTTATTCTACTTTTGGTATTGGGCACAATAAACAGGTTCGTCTGGATAATGCTTTAGTCTACTTTTGGTATTAAGCACAATATTACTACACCAAATGTATCTTCAATGTATGAGGATTGAAGAGAATACACATACAAAAACTGTGAGAGTGGGGTGAGTACAGCTATGGAAACTTTACTATTTGAGAGTGGGGTGAGTACAGCTATGGAAACTTTACTATGTGAGAGTGGGATGAGTACAGCTATGGAAACTTTACTATGTGAGAGTGGGGTAAGTAAAGCTATAGAAACTTTACTATGTGAGAGTGGGGTGAGTACAGCTATGGAAACTTTACTATGTTAGAATGAGGTGAGTACAGCTATGGAAACTTTACTATGTGAGAGTGGGGTGAGTACAGCTATAGGAGCTTCAATATATGATGGGGGGAATACACTAATGATTATCTCAATATGTGAGGAGTGGGGAAAATAAACCTATAAACACAGAGAATTTAAGTTCAATGTATGTTATTTAATATCAACCTCAACAGGTATTTCCTCCGGTTCATCAGAAGTCTTCTCACCAATACCTATGGTGCTGCGCCGTTGTACGCCAGAGAGACGTTTACGTAAATTCTTGAACGAGCCCGCTCGCTTTCGAGTCATCCTCGGCACCGGCACATTCCGATCCGCAGGTGAATTATCATCAGTAATATGAAATACTGTTGATTCAGTATTGTCTAAATGTCCACCATCGTTCTCCTCACCATTAATGAGCAAAGTCTCTACTTCAGTCTCCAGTTTATCTTCAGGTGTCGAAACTTCCGATATTTTTGCGGACGACTGCGAGGTACGTGCACTGTTGGACTCGTCAATCGGAGATTCGACGTCCCCCACGCTTCGCATCTCGTCGGTAAGTTCCGGAAAATGTCGGCAAATTTCACTCGCCAGATCAGAAGATTGCTTTCCCGACGATTCTCTATCGAATTCCTAAATGGTAGATTTTTTTTAAACAATGTGCCTTAGTAATGCCACAGGCAACTTGATAGTTATTTCTTAGAAGGGAGCATAATTTACATAATTCACTATTACATTACATTATTACTATTTATAATAATAAATACAACGAAACGCGTGCTCTGATTGGTCTACAGCTGTGTTTGCATTAGCCTGTGCAAAACACATCTGAGCTCAACCAATCAAATCATTCAGAACAATCAATCAGTCAAAGAGAATTTGCAAATCGATCATGAATACATTTTAGAGGAAAAATTAAAACGTCTACTTTAAATTTGTCTGTTTCGCATTATTATTATTTTATAAAAGAAATAAAAGATGTTTTTCGTGTTTGCACAGGCTTATGCAACCCTCGGAGACGTTTGTGAGAGCTCTCGAGCATGTGCAACCCTCGACATTCGGTCTTGGGTTTGCACTGATCTGCTCCCAAAGGTCTCCTCGGTTTGCATAAGCTTGTGCAAACACAGTAAACATATCTTATTTCTTAAAAACAACACTACTAATAGTATTATAGAGCGTTGAGGGATGTGGAAGGATAGGAGAGGATACGACAGATGATAGAGTATAACATAGGCCTAAGCTAAAAAACAAATGAAAGCGGCAAATACGCACCTGTACGCTGGTAAGACTGGCATGCTTCGTTATTGGGCTGAAACAAAAATGAAGAAAAATCATTGAGAAATGCTTGGACAGCATAATCTTTCTCGTTGCTCAGTGCATGACCCAAATGATCACGTGATCAGTATAAACCAATGAAAATGCGATTGATCGTGAAATGTTTGCGATTGCGTGGAAATCGAAACGACGTACATGTGGATTTTTGAAAAAAAATGCGAACGTTTCATTCTTTTCGTAAAAGAGTAAATGGAATTGAGAGACTTCCCAACAGGATAATGCCTATAAATGTCATTCTTGATACTACAGAAATGTTTGAGTGAAGAAAATGATATAAATAATAGAAACTGAAAACATTCTAAGTAAAAGTGAACATTTACAGGATGTACAATTGTCACCATAAGATGATAGTGAAAAATTTTTTGAGTCCTACTTGAGTCAAATAGTTTTGTGTTCTATTTTTTCACGGGAAACAGCGTAAATTCTTCTTGTTTAGTTTGAACGATCTTTTCAAAAATATCGATCATTAAATGACTGCGTTGAACATTTTCTCTAACCATTTACCATTTGCGATAAAGAAAGATCAATTTACGAATATTTGAGCTTTAAAGAAATACACATAAAATCATGCTAATCGCGGTAAATTGGCTTAAATACAATCGATTTTGCAGCGAATCATATCTCCATTAATAAATCAATCATCAATCAACAAATCAATCATCAATCACATAGAATCATTAGTCGATCAAGATAATCATTTCGCCCAAAGCTTGAGATATTTGAATGAATCAAAAGGGCTGAAAATCCCCTTTCCTAAGCAAAAAGGAAACACAAATGGAAACACTAGTCAAAAAACAAGAGCCACAAAAACACATTTCAGAACTCTCATAATTTACAATATTTTCACTTCAGTCAAATCTTGCTGACTGCGAGAGGAGGCAACCCAGTTTTTTTACGACTACAACATATTTATGCTCAAACAATTATCTCAAGCTTGTTTGCTCCTGTATCAACAGGAGCAGCGGGTCACCTTTTGGGAGATAGAGTCAAAGACCTCGGGCGAATGCCGTGTTTCTTTGTCTCTCCAACATCTTTCGGCGATGTATGCCGAGACAGCTGTAGCGACAAGGTTTTCCGCAACCTCTCCATCTTGGGAGATTTGGATCTAGAACGGCTATCCAGCGGTAATTTGAGCGAACTATAGCCCCGGGGGGAGACCCTGGAATGGAAATTCCCCAAGGTGTTAGTTGGGCAGATTTTGGAATTAACAACTCTCAAAGGAGAGACAGTGTAAAATATTCAATCTGGGATTCTCAGACATTTATTGTGAAGACATTTTTATTTGTAGGCAAGACGGCATCCAAAAATTTTGACAAAACCGCGAGCTAATCATGGGTATCGCGTTGAACTTACAAATGAAGGCTTTATGGAAAAAAGTGGAATGATGTGGGAAAGACAAATAAAGTCAAATATAGATCCACAATTTTTTGTGGGGACTGGGGAGGGGGTAGTTTGGATTAAATTTTCGTGGGCACTTGATGCCGTAAAATGTCAGGCTTTGTGGAATTCTGTTACCTTCAACTTTCTTTCACTATCTTTTTCAGCCCCTTCATTGATGCCGTAAAATGTCAGATCATGAAATTCTGTTACCTTTATATTATGAGTGGGAGATTTTTGAAAGTGTGCGCCATTAAAGACTAATCACGATTGCTTTCGCTTAATTATTTGGTATGCTAGTATTTTGCATGGAAAATGGAACCCCTCTTCCACCCCTTCTAACAAGAATATGATGGGTGCAAAAACCTCCTGCACCTCTTATAACCAAGGATATGATGGGTGCACACCCCTCCTGCACCTCATCTAACCAAGGATATAATGGGTGCACACACCCTCCTGCACTCCTTCTAACCAAGGATATGATGGGGGCACACCCCTCCCGCACCCTTTCTAACCAAGGATATGATGGGTGCATACCTCTACCCTAAATTCATCGCATCATAAAGTTATTAAAAAACTTTGCTATAATTTTCCTAGGATGTGAGAAGACCCCTGCCTAAGAGCATTGGCCACCCCACATACGCATGCATAAAAACTAGCTCCTTATAATTCATAATCCGGTGAACTCTACTTCAGGACGGTTTCAGAGAGTAAATTCGAAAAACAAGACGACCAATCAAAAACGTACAAAACACGGAGCTAGGAAAACATTTTTCTTTCAAATTGGAAAATATTGAGAAAGAGTTAACTCACCTTGGCGACTTTGATCGACCAAATCTGAAAGATCTGTTCTCTTCTTCAATTTTCTTTCTACGATGCTCCATCAGTGCAACGTGTATTCTCCAGGCTGCCTGGATCTTAATAGCCGCCTTCCCCCGTAATTCCAAATGTTGACGATACCTTACCTAAGGAAAACATCAAAAGTTGTTGCTATGCATTGCGCCATCGGCAGTCGTCTGTAACTCTGTATATGATAGATTAGTACCAGTCTCGTCGTGGGCACGAGTAACCAATCACTTCGAGATCAAACTAACCACATACTGACATGTACTTAGTCGTCCTAACCGCCTAATATCATTATCAGCAGTGATAAATATTTGACGGGTGAGGAGAGGAATATGGGCACATAAGCTTCTCAGACAAACTATTAACCTGGCCTTATACCCAACATCCCACTCTAAACCTTATACCTAACTGTCCTAACATCAACATGAAGATGTCTTCACTCTAATGTTACCCAATGTTACTTCATTCTCATGTTACCCAATGTTACTTCATTCTCATGTTACCCAATGTTACCTCACTCTAATGTTACCCAATGTTACCTCATTCTAATGTTACCCAATGTTACCTCACTCTAATGTTACCCAGTGTTACCTCACTCTAATGTTACCCAATGTTACTTCATTCTCATGTTACCCAATGTTACCTCATTCTAATGTTGCCAATGTTACCTCACTCATATGTTACCCAATGTTAACAAACTTCAAACTTACTCTTAGCCCTGATATCCGACTCTTATTCTAACACTACAATCTTAACATATCACTGCTAACCTGATCCTAGGTGTCCCCAATATCACCTGTATGATTTTAACATTAGTTTCTAACCCTATCGAAGCTAACCTGATCCTCAGTATCCCCAATATTACCTGCATGATCCTAACATTGGTTTCTTACCCTATGGTAGCTAACCAGATCCTCGGTGTCCCCAATATTACCTGTATAATCCTAACTGCTTCACGTTTTTGTAGAAACTGTTTGCGATGGTGAAGAGCGCGAAACCAACTTTGCAACAAAGATACACGACGTAGAAACTCGTCATCTATCTTCGTACGCAGTTTGTCATGGACAGACTCGCGAAAAAATACCTGAAAACAACGACATGTCGCAAAAATATTTCAGCAAAATTTGTTTTCGAAACAATCGATATTTTATGTAACAAAATTGTGAAGGGCATTTTCAAGAACAACCAGCTTGAAGTGATCAAGAATCAAGACGGGGGAGTGGGCTGCACAAAGAGGATCAACTAAGCAAAACAATCGTTCTTAGGGTTGATAAATTGAGTAAAACCATCTGATCTAATAAGCAAGACCATTTTTCTTAAAGTGAATCGACGTACTGAGTAAAACCATCTTTCTTAAAGTGTATCTACAGAGTAAAACTACATTCCTTGTAATAAATCTGCTGAGTAAATCATCTTCCTTAAATTGCATGTACTAAGTAGAATCATCTTCTTAAAAGTGAATTTACTGTGTAAAAACATCGTTCTTAAGGTCAAATCTATAACCATCTTTCTTAGGGTGAAATTCACTGCGAAAACAATATTTTATAAAATCAAATTCAATGATATTTTTAAGGTTTTGTGAGAAAAAAACATATACCAATACCTTTGTTTCTCCTAAACGATAGTGATCTGGATGCAACTCCAGTTTGTCGAAAACTTCGCGCAAACCATCCTTCAATTGTTCACATTTCATCTCTCGCGGTAAAAGAAGTCCAAATATCAAATAAAAGTCGCTGTACGCATAGCGAATGTGATATCCGAGCTTCCTGATGCGTATTGTCTCAAGCATTCCGGTATAACGTAACTGACTGAGAACGAGGTCTTTTGTGAACTCCAACGGCGCCTAGAAACGTGCAAAAAAATATATTCTCACTTTTACCGAAAGAGATGACGCCATGTTGAATAGTATTGAATTGTGGGTAATCATGAGTTTTTTCGTAGAGCATTAAGACCTATTTCAAAGATGAGTAAAATGCCAAATACTGTGTCTACTTTGCGAGGAATAATTTTTATGCTTTTGCCTTACTTTTTCAGCGTTCGAACGAATACAGCGAACAAAAAACGGGTTAGATTCATCAAGAATTTCCATTAGTCTATTTAAGGAGAGCTGAAAAGAAAGAATATTTCAGTATTTTTTTGTTGTTCATTCATCACCACCTATCTTATTCTTTTGTATATTTTATGTAGTGCAAAGACTGTTCTCGTTTTCTGTTCTTCATTAATCACCACCTACACTGACACACGTTATCTTATTTCTTATATATTTTATGTAGTGCTAAGACTGTTCTCGTTCTGTTGTTCATTCATCATTACCTACACTACACACGTAATCTTATTTCTTATATATTTTATGTAGTGTAAAGACTGTTCTCCTTCTCTGTTGTTCATTCATCCCTATATTCGCTAATATTTTATATTATTGAATTTTACAGACTACCCACACACACAACACATACATTCTCATATATCTACACAACCCTTCGTATTTCAATACACCACCTGAAATTGTGCAGTAACGGTGGGCGGATTTTTCAAACTTGCTTTCCTCTTTGCGGAGCCTCTGTAGAGGTAATCGAACGTCTTTATAGTCATATCCTTCTTATTTTCCAGGCCTTTTCTTATTCGCTCGATATCCTAACACAAACATAAAAAGAATATAATCAAACCGGGAAATGAAAAAAATGTTCGCCGATGTCAATGTCCAACTTGAGAAAAATTCTAATTGAAGTGACATAGATAAGAAACTTAAATATTGCTTTGAATAGTGTGTTTGCGATGGCAAATGACAATTACGTAGCATTAGAAAAAACTGTTGAAACCGAACTAAAGATATGAAGTAAATGACATGATGTTCCATTATATTTAGATGCCAAGTCGGCTTAAATGAAACTAAAGATCTACTTCTATTTATAGTTAAAGTGCCCCTTTCGGCAAAAATATTTAATAGCGATATTAAATTTAGGTGTGATTTTCAAAGCATCAGTGAAAAATGTTTTTAAGTTTGTCAAATCGTCCCATTTTTATGGCTATTTAAATGGACCTTGTCCGTCGTCCGAAAAGTCTGGGACGACGTACCTTTGTGACGTCATGCAAGGCACTCCTTAATACAAGATATATATATATATATATACCAACTACCTTGTATGACGTCAGAATTTGGCTAGACCCAGACTTCATGCCACGACGGACAAGATCCATTGAAAGGCAGTTTAAAACCTCCATAACAAGAAAACAACTTGATCAAATTGAAAAATTTTTTCACCGACACGTTAGATACCACACCAAGTTTTGATATCGCTAATAAAAGTTTTTGCTGATAGGGTGACATGAAAAAATGACATCATCCCAAACAGGGGGGTGACGTTTAAACAAGAATGAGTGAAAGGAATAAAATCATCCACTTTTCTTAATAATTTGATAAAAAATGATGAAAACCGATTTAAATTTCTACAACTATATACTATTAAAATTTTCAACCAAAAAGATTTTTAACAGCCTACGTTGGTCTTTCCCCAACTACAGTTTGCTAAACTCTGACGGCATAAATTAAACAAAACTTTATACTCTTGAAATTTCGAAAGAAATTTTGTCAAACGTTCTCAATAATAAAACGAAACACAAGAGATCAGTTTAAACGAACCGGTAGAAAGCGAGCGTGTATTACACGAATGCTCACATCCAGTTTAAAAATAAAGATCAGTGACACACTTCGGTTATCCACGCAGTTTCAGTATAACCAAGTGTTTGGTGTTAAAAGGTACAAAAAAGTTAAATACAAAAACAGATTCATCAAAAAGAGCTTGAACTATTTTTTTTCTTACCTGATCTGGCGTATTGATACTCTTCATTCGTTTTCTGGTAAAAAAATATCACAAAATTATCTTGAATACACCATACATCTAAGTTCGTTACACCCACCCTTACAGTTTACATAACTAAGAAAACCAATAATTATCTTGTATACACCATACATCTAAGTTCATTACACCCAACCTTACAGTTTATATAACTAAGAAAACCAATAATTATCTGTATACACCATACATCTAAGTTCATTACACCCACCCTTACAGTTTACATAACTAAGAAAACCAATAATTATCTTGCATACACCATACATCTAAGTTTACTACACCCATCCGACACTCTAAAGTTTCTAAAGGGCTGAAGCCAGCCGGAATTTTTACTCCTGCTACGCAAATTTCACATCAAAACAAAGATTCATTTCTTAACAAAAAAAACATTCATCGAATTCCCGTGAATGATAATAAAACATTAGCAAGGCAGGTTTAAAAAGTCTGGCTGATTTCACAACTGGATAACCTAAAGATACCGACCGAACCATCTTGGATGCTTTTCGTAACATTTTTGCTCTGTCATCCATATATTGTTCATCAATTACAGTTGATCTTTTGGAAAAGAAGATGAAACGTTTTTAATAAAAATGATTCATACTACTCAAGGTTCGTAATAGAGATAATCAAGTTTGAACCAATGATTTAGAACCCAATCCCCTAAATCTTAACTACTGTGTCAAGGTGAGGCAAGTACGCCATCTTGAAAGGTGGCAAAAAGCATAACTCAAAAGTTACAAGAGAGTTTTAAAAAAACAATCCTATCAAACATTTCCAAAATCAAACATAGACTATTACTCTGCAACTGCATATCTACATAGAAGCATATTTTTGTTGTACTTTGGTTGGAACTAATAAATTTTCTTTTATACAAACGAGCAAATGCGCAATAACAGTTTATGAATAAAGATTATTTCAATGTAATCACACCGTCACATTAACATACGAACGACATAAATGAATTAAAGTGAGCAAGTTCTTATTGAGAATATATAAAAATATTGCTTACTCTTCGACGATCCTCGGAGGCTGAAATAAGATAATAAAAAATGATCACGATAAGTCAATGATTACAGAGAAATTTGTAAAAAAGAAGGGCAGTTATCCTACTATCAATGATCACGATGATTTAATGATTACAGGGAAATTTGTAAAAAAAGAGCAGATGTATCCTAGTATCAATGATCTTATCAAAACTTCAATTCCATCATAAATTTTATCATGCTTATCGTTATCGTGTAATTAGTCACCATATCGAAACCGCAAAAGAACGAGGGAAGACGAGAAACAGAGGTGTTAAAGTTAAGTGTAAATAATGAATAATTGCGTTAATTATAAAATAAACGCAATGAAACGCCTGCGCTGATTGGTCTAGAGTGGGTTTGCATCAGCCTGTGAAAAACGATCTGAGCTCAACCAATCAAATCAATCAATCAAGTCAGTCAAAGAGAACATGCAATTCAATCATGAATACACGTTAGAATATTAAAACGTTTTTTTGTTTCGCGTTGTTGTTATTTTATAAAAAAAATAAAAGATGTTTTTCGTGTTTGCACTGGCTTATGCAAACCTCGGAGACGTTTGTGAGAACTCTCGAGCAGGTGCAGCCCTCCACCTTAGAACTCAGGCTTGCACTGATCTGCTCCCAAGTTCTCCCAAAGGTCTCCTCAGTTTGCATAAGCCTGTAAAAACTGGTGCGAATACAGTAAACATCTTTCATTTTTTAAAATGATGAACATCCATATCTAAAACAGCTCCTCAGACCACCGGCAACGATATAAAATTGTCATTTACCTCTTTACTTTCACTTATAAATCTCGATCTTCTATTACGATTATCTACATAAAGCCAATCAACAATAATCAGAAGAGAATAGATTACTTCAAAGCAACAAATTGAATTTTCTTTTTAATTTCCATTCGGTCCGATATTTCTCGATAAAGATCTCGAGCTCGGTTAATAAGAACTTAATAATAATTTATCTGTGTGGACGTTTATTTTTGTGTGGGATTTATTAAAAACCTGGAAGGCTAACTTTAGGTAAACATGCCTACGCGTAACCAAACATAACTTTACCTCTAGACAAGCTTAACTAGATATGAAGTCCCACATTTTTGATTAAGTGTCGCAATGATATTTAAATTGGCGGGAAATAGCTATCCAGTTGCATTCAGTTCAGTAATCTGAGCTTACCCTGCTTGTGTTTCTTGCCAAATTTCTTAAATGCCGCTGCTGCGCGGAAATAATTGCGAACAATTGCCCATCGGTAGATCGCCAACGGATCAGCACCTACCAAAGTTAATCATAAGGTCATTGGAGGAGTTGAGAAGACGCGTGCGCAAACGCGTCGTTTAGGATGCTTCAATTACGTCAAGCGTTTCTCATACTTCATACTAATCGATGCTTTGACACCGATCATTTAGAACCCAATCCCCTGTACGTTATACTACCGTGTCAAGGTGAGGCAAGGAAATCTTAAAAGGTGGCAAAATGCTCAAATATTTTATGAAACAAACCTAGACTATCAACTCTGCAATTGTGTATCAACGCAGAAGAAACACATTTTAGTTGTAAATATCGTAAGTTGGACATGTTTCAAGATGGCGGCTAGCCTCACACGTAACTAAAGAATTTTGGAAGAGCCCGGCATCTAGTAGACTGGGTTCTAAGTCATTCTTCGACACTTGTTGGTAAACATTTTCAACGAAGCATTTGTCAGTTTTGAACAGATGAGCGGTTTTGAACTGAGTTTTGGACATTTCAAGCAAACATTATAGTGTTTTTCTTCCGAAGAAAATCGCAGAAATTTGCAGGTCAGGATGTTCCCAAAGATTCTAGTTCAGCATGCTGAGAAGAACATACTATTTATGAAGTAAAAACACAGCTAACAATGAACATTACATCACCTAGTAGTTCCCGGATAAATCTCATTTGACTGTTCTTGAGAATACTAACAATCTCCGGTCGCATGAGATCTTTGTTCTTGGCACGAAAATCCTTGAAATAATAAAAAATTTTAGTATTTTAGCCAAGTTACTTCATCTCTTTCGCATTTGGGAAACGGAAATCGAATGAAATCGTAAGAGAGGCATTGTAATTTTGCAAAAAATTGACCCCCCGATCAACTGATTTACGAGTGACCACAATTAAGAAAGCTTGTGGTTATGTTCAACAGAAACAATCCCCGAGTTGCTTTCACATTTCAAGGGTATTCCTTCGCTATAGATGTGGTAATTTTATCATTTTAATCCGCCTTATCTACATCATTCATACACACCTTTATCTCATACGTCACTTTTCCCGCGTAGTGTACAATTGTGAACGTCGGCCCCATCCGACTCCTTTCAAAACAGTCATGTGACTCGTGATGATTTTCAAATTTGGCCAATAACGTCGTATCACTCGCCACGTTTCCCGACAGACTATATATACATAAACACGACTTAGTGACAATTTTGCTTAAAAGCATTGAACTAAATATGTAACTGGAATGCTACTTTTATTTATAAACACGCCAGTACTAGTATGAAGCTAAATTTTAGCCCCAGACCCGCGTGAAAACGAGCTTTGTGCTTGAAAAGATTGGCACTAGTTGAATTGATAGCTACATTTTGGCGGGAAGTAGCCGTCCAGTTATTTTGTATTATTTCTTTCAATGTTCGAAAGTTGAGCACTTTTAACTCGAAATGGAAGAAAGAAGGTTGAAAATAAATTACCGTATGTGGTTTTTATGTTTTTAGAAAGCCAGATAGAAACACTTGCTTAGTTGCTCTGGGTTAAAGCTTTACAATGTACGTTATAAGATCTATAAGATCACTGGCTTGTGTTCAAACTCTCAAATCTCAAAACTGTTCCTCGTGTTTAAATCAGGTCATTCAAATCGGAAAAAGCCAAAAAGTTGTGTTTATTTGTTCCCTTTATTTTATACATAATTGTCCTCACATACCCGGATTCTTCATCCAGTAGTTGAAAGAGACCAGTGGGTTTTCCATGAATGAGATCAAGACAAGATGAGTTATCCACATAATAAACGTCCGACCAATCGATTCCTTCTTGTTTATATTCATCCTAAAGTATCAAAAATAAGAAAACTATAATAGAAAACTAAAAAGAGCGAGAGTAAAGCTACGACGTCAAATATTAAATTGATAAACTACCCAAGACTACAATCTTCGAAAGATTGTTTTATCGTTAATATAACATGATTGACAAAGATTATTTGTTTGTTATTGTTACACCTAAGTACATCACAACAACGCGATGCTGTTATGCATGAGATTAAGATTTGAAAAAAACTACCACAACTGTTTAGCATCGTAGTATATAGCTCATTTTGTTGTTGTTGCCGACAATGATTATCTTGTTACTAAACCTGAGTACATCACAACAGCGTGATGTTCTTATCTATGATCTTAAGGTTTGAAAGAAACAAGAACTGTGTTTCATATTGTCATATTGCCAATTTGGTAAAACATCAAAGCCATAGAGCAAGAATTATAATACATAAAAAGTTCTGTTCCTACCTGCTCCATGCGAAATATATGATGATTAAAATAGAACTGGAGTTTTTCATTCGCATAATTGATACAAAATTGTTCAAAACCATTCTGTTCAAACACTTCGAAACCAAAGATATCAAGAACACCAATGGCATTGCCCTAGATAAAAAAAAAGGGTGAGGTTTTCGATCATAAAAGCAGGGATGAAGTGCAGTGCACTGAAAGAAGAATTTGGGTTGTCAATCCATTAATATTACAAGGATTTTAGTCGGGGGAAGAGGGGCACACGAGCCAAGAGTGTTGTGGGTCAGCGATTGAGGACTAAGGAAATTAGGAAATGTTAAGACCACGCATACAACAAGAATGCTCGCGTGATCAAGTCAAATCAAGTAAAAAAAATTTGGGTGGGAAAAATTTATGGGAGGGGGGAGGAGTGAGCTGGTAAGGAAGTGACGTAAGACAAAGTAAGAGTCTGCGTTTTAAAGGGCGGTCTGATAAGTGCAGCCATCGAAGGTTGGGAAGAAAGTTGAAATATTGCCCAGAAAAACTCAGTTTAAAATACATGTACCACAATTCTTGTAGATTAATAAACAATCAGCAATTCATCACTACCTTTAAATCATGTTTTTCCGTGTATTTCATCGCCAAAGTATGATTGACCTTTGAAAGAGACGAAAAAGTTGTTAACATAAAAACGCTGTAGCAAAAGAGATCTGTATGAAATATTTATTCATGCAAAACATGTTGAGAAAGAATTGAGATGCGGGGAAGAAAGCTAGAGACGCCATCATAATATTTAGACTGATATAAACAGGTCATTCAAAATTCAAACATTCCTTGCCAATTCGTACAACCAAAATCAGTAGAATCATACAAGTATTCTATTGCGAATGCTTTAATTTGATTGGCTAAACTACTCGCGACTTAATTTTCAATGTACAGCGAGAAGCGAAGCAATAGATAGCGAGCAGCTAAAAAAAACATGTCTGCCGACACTGTCATCTCGCGTTTTACTCAGGTTTCCGACAATAAACTTGATTGTTTACTTCAAAATGCAATTCTAGAGACTAAAGTCGCCAACAAATATTCAATCAACGTAATAACGAATTATTTATTGAGAAAGGGTCGTTCGATTTTTGATATTAATGTCAACAACAACAAACGCATAAAACAAAAAGAATTAAGAAAAACTATAGCAACCCTTTTCTTTATGAATATTAGTATGATTCTACTAAACAATTAGATTACTCGCTCTCACTTTCCATGATGAGATTCAGGCTAAGCCCTCATCAACTATCAACTCGTAGAAACCTCAAGCTCCTCTTAGAAACTAGGTCAATACCTGAAGTACAATCCAATCGAAGAGGGCGCCATAAAGAGCCTTGGCTAAGGCATCTCTTGTATCGACGGCCTGGGACGAGATCAACAAACATATCAATTAAGTTCAGCGCAATTGTGACAAATAGAAATAATTAAGTGCGACGTTTATATTTTAAATGACTCTTTCTCTCAAGGAAACCTAGCTACTAGCCTAAGCTAGCCACTACTAAGGAAACCTAGCTACTACTAAGGAAACCTAGTTTCTACTAAGGAAACCTAGCTATTACTAAGGAAACCTAGCAACTACTAAGGAAACCTAGTTTCTACTAAGGAAACCTAGCTACTATTAAGGAAACCTAGCTTCTACTAAGGAAACCTAGCTACTACTAAGGAAACCTAGCTACTACTAAGGAAACCTAGCTACTACTAAGGAAACCTAGCTACTACTTAGCTACTACTAAGGAAACCTAGCTACTACTAACTCTACTACTAAGGAAACCTAGCTACTACTAAGCCTAGCTACTACTAAGCCTAGCTAATACTACCTAGCTACTAGAAACCTAGCTACTACTACCTAGCTACTAAGGAAACCTAAACCTAGCTACTACTAACTAGCTAGGAAACCTAGCTACTACTAAGCATAGCTACTACTAAAGAGCTACTACTACCTAGCTACTACTAAGGAAACCTAGCTACTACTAAGGAAACCTAGCTACTACTCCTAGCTACTACTAAAGGCTACTACTAACCCTAGCTACTACTAACGGCTACTACTTAGCTACTACTTAGCTACTACTAAGGAAACCTAGCTACTACTAAAGGCTACTACTACCTAGCTACTACTAAGGAAACCTAGCTACTAACTTAGCTAGGAAACCTACTAAAGAAACCTAGCTACTACTAATGAAACCTAGCTACTACTAAGGAAACCTACTAAGGAAACCTAGCTACTACTAACGAAACCTAGCTACTACTAACGAAACCTAGCTACTACTAAAGAAACCTAGCTACTACTAAGGAAACCTAGCTACTACTAACGAAACCTAGCTACTACTAACGAAACCTAGCTACTACTAACGAAACCTAGCTACTACTAAGGAAACCTAGCTTCTACTAAGGAAGCCTAGTTACTACCAAAGCGCAAAAAATGCCAACAAAATACCAGAAAACTAGTTTGTATGTCTAGTTTAAGAGAAAACCTGTCCAGCCTAATGAACTTCCCAATCCTACTGCTAACCCTTAGTTTAACATACATACATCTTCCAGTATGTCCAACTTATTCATTGCTTTACAAGCTTAATGTCAACCCATACCCACCTCTTCCAACTTATATGACATCACAATTTGTTCCGTTCTAGCTTTCTTCTTTCTTGACGTTAAAACGGAAACAAACTTCTCTTTTTTCAACTGGACAAACGAAAAAAATGAAGCACGTGTGAGAAAAAAAAAACAAAAAAAAATAAAGTAAACAATCGGATGGCATACGTTGCGAGAAAACTTGCAATATTTTGATCGCTTACATTTCAGAACAAAGGATGCAAGGAGCACCACATCGACAAATATAATGGGAACAATGGGGGATACAATACTACATCACAAAGTTTATTGGGAACAACTGGGGACATAATACTACAAAGATAAATATTACTGTAACTGCGTAAAAGCACTATTGATAAAACGCATTTAATAAATACGACAAGTTTTTTTGAAATAAACATGCTTCAACATTTCATGATGCCATCTTCAGTATGTAAGAAAGAGTATTATGTATGTGATATATATATATTAGAGTAATATGATACAATGATACAATTTATACAATTACGAGTAGATTATAATTAAAATCATCGACACTGCAGATACAACATTCGCACTCAAAATCAAAGAAGCACTTCACATTAACAAAACTAACACTAATCTCAACGTTCAAGTTTTTCGTTTTAACACTATATGCAGCCTGTAAATAAACTCATCATTAAATTATAACCACTATTTCATTGTAATATTTATATTTATAATCTACTCGTAACATGTTTGTAAATGTATATCGTCCAGGTTGGTATAGTCCTAAGAAGGACTGTTTTTGTTGTTGTTGACTGACGTTTCGACAACCTTAGCGGTAATCATCTTCAGAGTCAAAAAAAACTCGCAATTGTTATATAAAACGCCATAAAATATATGTTTGCACCCTTGAAATAAAATACATGGAACGCTACCTCAAGCAAATAATTGAAGACAAATTTTACACCCAGACACGCGAGATTACACCCAAACTTGCGTGTGTAGTGTTTCGAGATTCTCTCGCGGAGTGAAAATTGATTGAACTACACACGCGTGTCTGGGTGTAATCTCGCGTGTGTGGGTGTAAGATTTGGCTTCAAAAAATTTTCAGGCTTTTCTATTGCAGGTAGCGTTCCATGTATTTTAGTTGCTGGTTGCGTTAATGGCTTGCACTGACGTACCATCAGTAAATTGGAGATTATGCTAACCACACCATCGTCATCTTTATCTTTCAACGTCACAGCGTCATCAAACCCGTGTTTCTAAAGGAAAACCAAGGAAAGTTTTATTCAACACACTAAATGTGTCGTAACCACATTATGATAAACGATAAAATCTTTTACTGAAAACATGTTACAACTGGGCTATGAGCCATCTTCAATGCAATGAATAGATCGTTTGAAGTGTTGATATCCGCTTCTGTTTTTGGGTGTCTTGACGGTCAGTTTTTCAGAGGATCGTAAATCGGTATATGAAGAAAGATTATATGGAAAATTTTTACACGATTTACCACGTGAATATAATGGGAAAATTTCCTTGAAAATTTACCATCCTTTGTAAAGCTGATAGGGAACATCATGAAACACAAACCTGATTATTGTACCTGACTTACATCATATTTCTACTAATATATCACAGAATGTAGCTAAAGCATTAAATCGCACTAAAGATGTCTCAAACATGTTTGCAATAAAAAAATTCTGACGTTTACTTCAATTGTTGGTTTTCATCTTGAGCCGTTAAATTCACACGGAACTAATTACGCAATTTACTATCCGTTCAAATCAAACTGATAACATTGATATAAGCGTTCCAGTTTCAATATCACCAGCCAAAACAGATAGCAATTGACCCATTTTATACCATATTGTACCAGTTAGACACTCACCCGGACAAATTCAACGTTACCCATCCACAACACGGCGGAGAGCACTCGAAATATTCTACAAATAAAAAAAATAATAATGACTTAATTTGAACGTAGCAGCATCAACCCTAATTTAAAACAGCAACTTATGTACCACAATGGTGGTTGAAGATGGCGGACATCAATCACCATGCATAACTTTAAGATGAATACTGCACCAATCCAATTGCAAAACAGCTATAGTAACCTGAGCAAATGATATTAAGGGGGTGTTTACATGAATCCGGAATGATTTTCGATCCGGAATGAACTCATTCCACTTTAAAAGAAATCCTACTGCATGTTTACATGAATCCGGAATGAGTTACAACTCCATCGGGATGGAGTTCATTCCTATTTTCATCCCGGATAGAAATTTCATTCCGGATCGAAATTTAGTTTTAATCTCATGTAAACACGAAATGAGTTTCATTCTGGAATGATATTGTGATTAATGACAAAGCACGCATGTGCCATGGGTATTGTCTTCTGGCAAATTGAAGCTCGTAAGCAAATAAAGAGGCTAAATGGGCTAAAATGAGTGCGAAGAAAAACAACAATTAGTTTTATGCAAGTGTTAAACTGTATTAACGCAGGAGAAACAGGAAAAAAAAGGGTTGCTATAATGTTTATGTTCGCCATCTTCAAATTTCAAAATTCCCGCAAAATACCAATCCTTGTGTTGATTTCCCATGTAAACACGGATTGACATCACGTTTTGATCGGGATTGAAAGTCATTCTGGATTCATGTAAACACCCCTAAGTATAATGTATAAACGGAAAATCTAACGACAGCTTGAGTTCTGCCGTCTTGATCTATGATTGTGGCGGACGTTTTTAAGATGATCTGCGCATGTCCTCGAGTGTCAATTCCTTAATCACTTCAGGAGCAGGATGAACGTAATTTGGGTACTAACAGTGCAAGCACATTACGTATGATATACGCAGGGAGACCTTGCTACGAAGATATTATTATCATAGTTTGTCAATCTGGAATCGTTCCTAGCAAACAAGTGAGTTAGCTGGACAACGCATATCGCGGGCGCAAGATGATTCTACGATCAATCTAACTTACTTTCGCTGAGTATCACTGGAGAATCCAACCATATCCATTGACTGTTTTAGTCGAAGGAACTCGTACGCCTCGTCGACACCATCCATATCAAAACATCCGGACTATACAACAATAATCAAACAATCACTTTTCATCGATTAGTTCGAAAATATGTTATTTAAAATATCAACCAAGGCTATCCGGAATTTCGGCTACCACTGCTTTATCATCAAAGTAGTTTTGCTGTAACCAAAACTGGTTTCTCTCGAGAGATTTTATTTATAGTAACTTGAGTATGCCAATGCAGAAAAACCTAGTAATATATTCAAAATGCGCCAGAAAGACAGTGTTTTTGTCACTCTCAAATTGACTGAAATTGACTGATAAAACTTTTTTTAACACGTCTGAAATAGCGAAATTTATCTTGATGATAAAGCAAGGCTCAAAACAGCGGCCGAAATATTTTCGATCAAGATGATCGGGGAAGTACATGTCAGCTTTATTGAAAATATCGACAACATGAAAAATAAGAAAATCCGCAATTATAACCAATCAGTGCAAATCACAATTATAAATCAACCAGTGACCTTACTACTCCAAACTATTCCTGAGTTTAAAAGCTTTATCCCTAACCTGGTTTAAATAGCAAAATTCTTCAGGATTTCTAAGATGGAACTCTTGAGCTTCAACCTCATTGGCTCCAGCGAGGAGATAATAGAACACGTGATAATTCCTAAGAAGAAAAATTAACAGTGTTTTCACAAGGATATTAAACATCCTCTCAATCAGTGGTCGATTCCTAATAAGCTTGGGAACTACAATGGAGAGGTTACAGTAGTGTGAATGTGGAGTGGTGAGTGTAGAATGTGGGGTGCAGACTGTGGACTGTGCAGTGCGTAAAATGTGTGGAGTGGGGAATGTGGACTGTGGACTGTAATGTGGTTGGGGAATGTGAGATGTGTGTGTGTGTGTGGAGTGTGTGGAATGTGGATTGTGGAATGTGGACTGTGATGGAATGTGGACTGTATGGAATGTGTGTGGATGGAATGTGGAATGTGGAATGGAACATGGACTGTGGATTGGAGAATGTGGAATGGATGAACTGTGGACTGCGAATGGTGAGATGTGGAGTGGAAATGTGTGTGAAATGATAACTGGATTCCTCTAGTAAAAAAGCTTTGTTTGGCCATGTGTGAAAAGATTGGGACTAGTTAAATAGCTGGCGTGGAAGGATTGGGACTAGATTAAGTCTTCCAGTTATATTCAGTTCAATGGGTGACATAGGAATACGCTGAATACCTTTCACCCGTGGCTTGGGTGACAATTCGAGATTTCTCGAGAAGATATTTTCGCAAGATGGCCCTGGAATGGAAAATTGATATAAGTAGCCATATCAGTTCTTGAAAACAATAGGTAGTAAGGGAAGAGACATGGTTTGTTTGACTCAGTATACACTCCTATGCCACCAGAGCATTGCTATCGGAGCAGTTTAAATTTTCTAGAAACACAAATGAATGGACTGGATCCAAGAAATTCATAAAAATTTCCTTCAAACCATTGCTCTTTAAAATTGCCTTAATCAGGGTTAGTTAAATAACTTCTTTTAATAGTTAAATGGATTTTAAGAAAATATGCAACATATTTTATAGGACGAAAATGTTATCTTCGTAAGCTTTTTGAGCCTACAGTAGAGGTAGATTACCCCCTGCACCGGATGTGAAAACAAGGAAACGCAGTTTTACTTTCTAAACGTTTTCTTTTATCATTCGTTAAATCCCCTATACGGAATTTTTTGTAGTGCAAATATTGACGAAGATTCGCTATAAAGTGTTTTTTAGTATAATAAAATCTATATCTTCGTTGCATTTGTTCTCCTTTTTACGTCACATCCGGTGCAGAGTCACCTACTTTCTAGACCCGAAATGCACACGAAGATGAAATTTTCGTCCAATGAAATATCTTGCAAATGTTCTTAAAATCCAATCAAATATGCAAAGAAGTTTTTTTCCTGACCCCAATGTAGAAAAGCAAAAATGTCGTGAAAAACGAAATCGGTATAGGGTAAACACAGCCTAAAATATTGTTTAGGTGCCTATTAAAAAAACTGTGCTACTTATTTTCCCGACCCCGATTTAGAAAAGCAAAAATGTCGTGAAGAACGAAATCAGGTATAGTGTAAACACAGCGTTTTAAACAGAAATAAACGCCACATTGCATAATGGGTTGCTGCAAATTTATAAATTTTTAGTTTCTTGACAACTTTTGGATGAAATCACTATGCAGGAACTCTATCTGGTTGATGTGACATATCACCAACTATAAGTAATAATTTACGCAATCAATTTGACGTCACTTTCGTCAAAAGTCGGACATTGACAATGATTACGGTTATCTTTTTTCTTGAGTCGTCGTCAATTAAGTCTTCAAAAAAGTTCTGCTCAAAGAAAACATTGATTTTAATAGCAAAAGAGGTTTCGTTTCATATAAACATTCTACTCTAATGGGGCGTCGGGACATATGTGTCCCATCCACGAAACACGGTGAGACTCAACTGAAAAGCAAGCCTTTAAAATCAAATATTAGTATTTCGATTTTCTTGAGTCGTGCGTCGAAGATTATTTTCGTACAATTACTTCGCCAATGCAAAAATTTTTTTTAGACAAACGTAGACGTAGATTGAAATTTTTAAAAATTTATACGAGCACTTAAACTGCGGCATATAAATTTTACAAGCAACTCACCCTGAAACTGTACCATCCTCTCGAAACTTCACTTCAGTAAACTTTCCAAATCTACTCGAGTTGTTATTGCTGCTCGTTTTTGCATTTCCAAAAGCCTGAAAATAATTACACAAGAATATAAGCGTGTAAAAAGAGAGTTTAGTCGCATGAGTCCGGTGAAGCTTGTTTAGCTTTTGGCAGGAAAATACCCTTGATCAAATATCGGACCTCATAAAAAATTGTTCGTTTGTATATGCCTTGTTTGCTATCGCAATCAGGCGCCATGGAAAAGCAATGGCGTCATTCTTTCTTAATCTGCAGCCATTTTGTTGAAGGACAACGATAGTCAAAGATAACACGGAAAACGAAATATATCTGACATATCTTTATAAGCAACGGAAGTAAGCTTTTTGAAAGCAAAGAGTTACATATTAGCCGAATATAAAGAAAAGACCTCTTTATTGCTTGCAAAATTGTTGTTTCCTTGTATATGCATGCACAACTGCTCGCTTAAGTAAGCATGTTTTGAAGTTCGCTAAAAACGTTCTTTATTGAATTTGGTAAAAATTCGAAAAATTTAGAAAGTTCTCCAAACCACATGAAGACTTCACATCAACACTCGTGATTGCCGACGATAAAAACCTCGACTTATCGCAAAAAAAAAACGCTATCACAATTGAAATAAAAAAATCAAACATCCTTTCTCAAATCAACTCTCGACAGGAGAAGGAAATAGACATTTCCTTCACTAGTACTTGAGGCAATAAAATATTCTAATTAGCAAACAAAACGTCTTTGATGTCTCTCGAACGCAAGTCATGCTTATTATTAGACAAGAATTCAAGTTTACGGGTTTTTGGCTAAAACATTCATGGCATGCGCATAACAATCAGTTTGCTCAAAAATATACACATATTAAAACTGCATTCCCGCGCGCTTGAATAAAATTGAAGTTCTCCAACAATGAGCCACACTCTACATATATATACTCTGTGTAACCGCACATCATATGTCCCAATGCATATCAATTTCACGTAAACTTGAAATTCTGGACGTAATATTATGAGATAGCCATGTGTGTGTGTGTGTGGGGGGGGGGTGTAAAACCGACAGTTTACAAGAAGAGAACATCAATACGTTCAAGTCCAATATTCTATAAAGCTACATTTAACTTAAGCTGAACTTTTGACAACTTTTTTTCACATTAAAACCAATCATAGTTCTGAGCCAAACTTTCTTTTTTAAGGAGTGTTGATGATGGTATAAGAAAACCAAGGGTTGGATTTTATTTGTGGCAATCTACTTTTATTTTTAACTTAGACAAAAGGTGGAGACTGGTTAAATTTGTCTACACTCCACCCTGAAAATTATCTGTGATCACATGTTCGGTACAGTTAGCATAAAGTGGCAAAACCAGTTTGCAAGTTTGTTTGTGCAATGTAAATTTCACAGGAAGTAAACAAAGAAAAAGTTATATAGCACTACCAAACTTGTTGGCTGGCTTCACCACTGAAAAATACATCTATGATTACAATAATTAAGCAAATCTAATGATTCTATGGTATTTTGTAACATCATGCATTGCCAGATGCTGCTTGAGTATTTATTTGCCCAACCCCCCTATATACACCATGCTTGCAGTGAAGAAATCCCCCATTGCACAATGGGAACTTTATTATATTATGCTTCTCTTTATTATATTGACCAACCATGGATTTTTTAAATCCATACAAAATCATTAATATCAATGCCTAAGCAACCAGTAACAAAGTTATTCAAAATCCACTACAAAACAGTTATTCAAAACATTTTGAGAAACATGCTACAACGAGTCGCTACATATAAGGAAGCGGTTACCATTAACTCAGTAGGGTTTAAAATATAACTAAGCAGTTTGGGAGTTTGAGCAGATGAACAGTGGGCTCAGGTTTTTCAGTTCTTCAAAATTTACAAAACCACACACAGAGAAAAACTTAATTTTCAACATCAAAGACTTCATAACAAAATTTGAAATTTCAAAATATTGTTGCAGCAAACAGTGTAATACGTAGTTCAATTATTTAGCTTTTAATATTAGTGCGCTAGTTTCTAAATATTTTTTATGCATATAAATCATTTATATGCATAAAAAATGCTGATTTATAATAAATGAGAATTTTGTTTCCATTTAAAGCTGCAAATTAGCAATTTTCTTACACACTGAGCTGTAAAAACCGATACTGCAGACCGCCATTGTTTATGTTCAATAAATGTCATAACTTTTTGCTTCTGTCAGAGATTTGACGCATTAAGCTTTGTTAAAAACAATAGCACGGAGCAAAGCCTCGATTTCTTAGACGACGTTTGAAAATATGCATTGAAAAAGTTGTTACGTTCGTATGATTTATTCGAGCTCGGCATCGTTTCGAAATGCGTCAAATTTCGAAAAAAAGGAGCAAATTAAGTATTATTAAAATTGTTTTGAATATATCGCTGCAATTGTCACGAAAATGATCTCTAATTGCCACATCATGTTCGTGGATAAATAATTCACATCATTAGCCAGTGTGGCATAGTTGAAATCATGATTCAATAACAAAACACGAAATTACATTCCAAAGGATAAACGTCAACAAAACTTTCCCTCTGTATAAACACGATATCTTCGGCAATCCTCAAGCAAACAAACAACTGGGACGGAAACGAGGCACATATATCAATCCATCTTTAGGTCATTTTTCGTGCAAACTACCGAAATACGGCGCTACGATGGCAAGATAATTATAGACCGGAAGCGAAGGCAGTGCAACAAATAAGTACGTAAACATTACCTCGAGCACTGGTCCAGCACCCAAAATAGTTTTTTCAACTGATGTATTCTCCAGGCCCGATTTATGACTGAGAGCTGTCAAATGATGGAGCAGTAACTTCGTGCTCTCTGTTTTCCCACTGCCACTTTCCCCAGAAATGACAACACATTGATTGCGTTTTTCCTTGAGCATATTCTGAAAGGCCTCGTCTGCGATGGCGAAAATGTGCGGCTGCATTTCGCCAAGACGTTTATTCTGATAGGCATTGATGTATTTCGGATTATAAATCGGAAAGAACTTGTACGGGTTAACCGCTATTAGTATTTCGCCGACATAAGTGTATATTTTACCACGTTCAAAGCGCTCGAAAAGTTTCTCCAGTAAGCTGTTCTCGTTCAAGTCGGGCAATCGGCACAAGTCGTCATCATCCACGTTCGCGTACACATCAAATTGAAAACCACCACCTCTAACCGACTCGTGACAGTCCATCCAACCATAGGTCAAACGATTCACAATATTACGTGCGCCCTGACGTTCCCGTAGAAATAGCCGAAACGCATTTCCAATGGCACCCATTCGCCGCCATGATTGTGTCACCTTTACTGGATTGTCACTGAACGATAGAACACGCTCGCTCGTTTCACTTACAACTATTTTCTCTTCGTCCTCCTCAGATTCCTCGTCCGGCAACGAAGGGGTACCTCGAGCCGACTGGTCATTGTGAACGCAAACCTCGACAAGTTCATATTTCTCGGGAGGTTCCTGTATTTCCAACTCCACCAAAACTAATTTCAACACTTTACGCGTCGTGACGTATTCTGAAACTTTTAATTCTATCGACTGCAAACCTGGTGCAATGTGCCCAGGAAATATTCTCAACGATACAAACACTCCCGCGTTCGACATTTTTCCTACGATTCTGTTTATTTATGGCAGGAGATTTTTTTCCACCGCATTTATTTGATATATAAAAGGCCGTACTTTCTAACTGGAATTTACGTTGTGTTCGATCGCATTGTGACGGCAAATTTTCATTCTTTGAAGATTCCATTCGCGCATGAAAAGTCCTCGTATGCACCTTTGAAGATATTCATGTTCAACTGTAGTGGCCTAAATGAAGTTAAATAACATCACATTCGATACAATCAACTTCCGACGTTATGAAAATCATTTGCAACTTTCCCCTTCGATCGAACGTATATCAAGTATAAAATAGTAGCAAATTAAGGTTATGGATGACTTCGTCGCGCTAAGAATCGCCCCTAATCTACACATGAATCCTGGAAGGCACAAGAGAAACCGAAAATGCACAGATATGTAGGAAATCAGAGAAGATTTTTGCCTTTGGAATGAAAATAACAACTATCGTCGTCGGAAGTGTTTTATTATAACAAATGTCCATAAAATTGAAAGCGGTTTCTTAATTCATACATGCAAGCCACCATTTTGCCAAACAAGGCGATGTACAATCATCTAAACACACTTTAGAAGCAAAACACTGTAAACATATACAAAATATGTCTGTGTGTCAGACATGAAGCGAAGTGCATTGAAATGCTTCAACTATTGTTATCAATAATTTACTTCTGCCGACTGAAGATTTTAAAATTTTCTAACCAAATATGTAATTAAAAAAATAAATACGAGCGACTGATTTGAGCAAGCATCTACAAATATCATTCACTATTTGCTAAGACTTGGTTTTTATCTCAAAATGCCACAAATATTTGATATGCAGTTAAACATCACAAGTGCCTTTTCATATCATATTCACATCAAGAATTGTCGACAATGGCATTGCTCAAACGAACTAGAACTATCGGCCGCAGAATTAAACTAAAATCATGTCAAAGCGATATCTTGTTCCGCCTTTACGTTCACATGTTCATTCAACTTCATACTTGACAAACCATTAAAAGACCGAAGGTATTTCAGACATGCCTACAAAATAACAGACGACGGTAAAAGACGATAAGAACACATACCGTTTCAAGCATTTATTTCCCTCCAATGGACAAGAACATTCTTTAATACGATAGAAGAACGTCACTTCTATCCTATATTTTTCAAGACAGAACGAATCTCTATTAAACAAATGTATATTGAACTTTTAACAACAGCAGACGAATGGCCTAAATCGGTCAACTACAGCATAGTCACTGCTTCCGGTCGGCTGAAAACACTCGCAATACGAGGCCGTCACGCGTGTTTGTCTCTCGTGATGTTACACGAAGAAGTAGATCAGTGGGCATTACCATAACAGATTCACAAGGTGAATTGGTGCTTTCACTTTCACAGATACCAAAAATTAAAGATTAAGCACAACGGTGCATATTGAAATTCTAATAATGTGGCTATTCCGAAGTTATGCCAATTTATCAGCTGAGCTTGTAAAAAAATGTGAAAACTAAACACTAATTAGAAAAGTACAACGTCATTTTATTTTAAATAAAGTAAAAGAGAATCAACAGAACCTATTTCATCTATTTGCTGTCTATATACACGCCACATATAATTTCAGTCAATACAGCAATGCCGTCACTGATTTCATCTTCCATATGGAAAGGGTCGTTTTAAAACAAAAAAAAAACAACAAAAAAGTCATTATATTGAACTGTTTATTCCCGCGAAAAATTTTTTTGTTTTTCTATCCTTGTCATACGTAATTCTCGTCCCGACAAGCGATAATTCTGTGTTGTACAAATTGCGACTATGACCGGAATCCTTACCCTATCCCAAACCCCAAGCCCATCTATATTGCTTGGAGATTGGATTGGGAACTTGCAGGGGGAATCACAACCTCGGCGGCTTGTGGGCCCGTTTCTCGTTCTTGCCATTAATAACGTCACATCGCATATCTAGAAATGTACATACAACGGAAAGATGTAATCGATTAATTTATTAAAGTGAATATTTCGAGAGCAAATTTTCACCAAACTCAAAAGAGTTGTTGCAAGAAATGACTTAAAAACCAAAATTCAACCCGTAGGTTACTTCTAATATATATACATCACCCACGTCGGATGGAAAGCAATGTCAATTTTGACTATTTTTATTCACCGTGTAGGATTTGTACACAACGGCAAAGCCGGGTCAGCGAGCTTCAGTTTAAATTTCATTTCTACCGATCGCTCGCTGAAGTCTGTGTTAGAAGACGTTTTCTTGATGTTTTAGGGTGAACCATGTGACGAACTTCACAAAAAGCTGACTTCGTGTACGGAATATTGACCACATGGTTTGATGTTTGCAACTTCCATATTTGCCACAAAAACTGAAAATGTAGCTAGTAGAGAGCTAAAGTGTAGCTTCAAGAATTATTGAAATGGAAGTAATCACGATTCAGTGGAAATCAACATCCAAGTTTTGCGTCACAAGCTCCTGACCTGAAACTAATAATTTTAAAATTATAACTTGAACATTCATCTTCACATTTTCCTCGAAATTCTCGACTTCAGAAATGTCTCAACTAAATCTTTCGGATTTACATATATATGTACAGTTAAATAGCAGTGCCGCGCTCCAGATTCTGTCTGATCTCGCCAGTGTATTGGTCGTAAAAACGAGACAATTTCTTGTTGAATTTCATGTTTCTCTCGTTGATGAAACTTATGTCGGCCTCGTCGCAATGAGCCCGCCGTCTGCTGTACTTTGAACGTTTTTCAATCCTATGAAATAGAAAAATGGCTCATCAGGGGGAGAGGCAAAGGAAATATAAAAAAAGACATCACTGATCATGGGGCCCCAATTTTCTTTTCTCCAAGAAACAATGAAGGCAAAACGGCAAAGTTTCGTGAAAAACTACGCATTGTAGTTTGCCTCTTTTAGATGCGTCTTATACCGATTACCGATAAGCTATGAAAAAATATTCGATTCATTTTTTTTCTTTCACTTTGTAAAATTGAAAGGTACATCGCTTTCGCTGCATTTTTACTAAAATGCATATCTAGTGTCGCGTATGGGCATTAAAACTTTTTCGACAACCTTATTACTTCTAACCAACACCTAACCTCAATTTTAGCATATTAATTGTTGCCTTCAATCGTTCATGCTGAGCTCCTGCGCAATAGACAACTATTTCACTTTATACAGAAATAACTCTAAGCGCCTTCACCGTCAAATACACGCTTCCTTGAATAATTGCAGGAAAGCAAGACAATATGATGGGTGGGAAAATTGCAGTATACATAAGTGGCCGTCAATAAAAATTACGCATTTACTTATTCTTGGATTGCAACCAACCTCCACGGAGTTATCAAACAATGTGGCTCGCCCACGAAGGTTGGTGACCACAATAGCACTGATGAAATATGCTTTTATATTGAACCACCAACATGGCAGCGTGACTTAATATGCAAACCACCGATAGTCATCAACAGATAACTTGATGACTATAAATCTGTTTTATTTTAGCTTAGGCTGCGTTTACACTATACCGGATTCGCTCATCACGACATCTTCGTTTGCTTTAAAAGGTTAACTGTTCAGAGTAAAAGCTTCTTAAGTTGATCAATTTAGTCTATTTGATTGTATTTCTGACACTGGATGTTATCACTGCCTTTTATTTTTTTAATACGAAGAAAATTTAACCTGCTACGATAGTAATTCAGTACAGTGTAAACAGGCCCGCGCGCATAATGTTTAGAAATGAAAGTTTATATTATGTATTTGATTGTGTGTGCTCCAACGAAAACCACTAAAGATAATTTTTTTCCTATCTCACACAAAAAAAAAAGTTAATGCAATACAAAAAAGAAACCCGGTGAACAGATTTAAACCTTGCAAAAACTTATAATAGAACTCGATTGTTTTGCACAATACTTAAAAGTTAGAATCAACAAATGATGATGATCTTTTTCAAATACTGACAAACGGTTGAAATGAATAACCGAAGAAGGCAGTTGAAACAAAGCAGTCGTTTAACGACTTACAGAGGCTTTATTATCTCTATACAGGGTGAATGAAAAAAAAACTCAACAGTTTTGAAAACGTCGCAAAAGTCATCAGTGCGCCAGATTTGCAAAAACCTTTGGTGCAAATAGAATGATTTGAACACATAGGGTTAAAAAATGGCACATGTTGTTCAAGCTAACAAGGTTTTGGGAAATTTCGGTGGTGTGCACGCGAACGCTTAGCTTAGTTTTCAAATAGCGAATTATTTTGAATTTTTCGTGTTTAAACGCCATCTTGTTATAATCCTCATCAATTATGCGTAAAAGTGTAAAAGTGACTGTCAAAAATTTACAGTTCACTTCGCGTCTTGTTCTGATTCATATTTTGTAATCTCGAGATGTCTTGTTTTTTCGGAATTTGTGTTTTTTACTATAATTCATGAAGATTTTAAGAAAATGGCATTTAAAAAGAAAACGCAAAACAATCCCCAATTTGGATGCCTAGCATTCGTGCACCCTGCGTATCATTTTTACTTCCGTTACGTGGTTAAAGTGTTTATGACACGATCATTTTTACTTCCGTTACGTGGTTAAAGTGTTTATGACACGATCATTTTTACTTCCGTTACGTGGTTAAAGTGTTTATGACACGATCATTTTTACTTCCGTTACGTGGTTAAAGTGTTAATGACACGAAATCTTATCACGAATTTATTTGAATGTATTGTAAAGAACATATAAAATGACTTCACGTGACCTCTTCAGTAGAACTGACTTATTTTACTTTTTTCTGTAGTATAAAAAAGTTAAATATTTAACAAATAGATAACATTCAACCGTTGTCTATACAGTTATAGATATACGGGTATAACGTCATTTGTGAAAAAAACTAAAAAAGCAATATACAATGAAATCAAAAAATTCTTGAATTAAACGATCAAACAGTTCGTTTTCTTTGTCCCCCCAACACTTGGAACATTGAAAAGTCTTTATTTTGCAAATATCACGAGCATAGAAGAATGAAAATAGTGAAAAATATAATTAAAATCCATCCTAGTTTTCACGGAAAAAGCCTTTATTCACCATATAAATAAAGTTTTTTTGACTGTCAATGATATTTATTTTGTTGACTAAAACGAGAACTAGTATCCATTTTTAACGTGATGACTAAATATAGTCGAAAAGTGGAATCAAAATGCTAATGCATTCTTAAAGAAAAAAACTCAGTGGTTCTCGAAAACATTTCCTTATGCTCTTTATTCCAAAATAACGCCTCCCACCAATACACCCCTCACCAAATTTATGAACTACAATCGAACTCTACTTACGGACACCTCACGCAAACAGACACTGTTTTGGGGTTCTTATCAATAAAATATTACCTCTTAAAAGCGAACACCTGCCATGAGCGGAAACCAGATCGTGGACCCAATGGTGTCCGCTTATGGAAACCAGGTCGTGGACCAAATGGTGTTCGCTTATGGAAACCAGGTCGATGACCCGATGGTGTCCGCTTATGGAAACCAGGTCGTGGACCTAATGGTGTCCGCTTATGGAAACCAGGTCGTGGACCTAATGGTGTCCGCTTATGGAAACCAGGTCGTGGACCCAATGGTGTCCGCTTATGGAAACCAGGTCGTGGATCCAATGGTGTCCGCTTAGGACAGGTTCGACTGCACTTATACGTTAGTAAATCCAAAAACACCGATTGGTTGGACAGACAAAACACCCATTGGTTGGACAGAAACAATACCCATTGGTTGGACAGAAACAACACCCATTGGTTGGACAGAAACAATACCCATTGATTGGACAGAAACAACACCCATTGGTTGGACAGAAATGGTTTTACTAATTCGAAAAAGTACTTACTGTTTTTCGAGATCGGCCACCATTCGATCAACCCCCTCCTTTGAAACCTTTCCATCGCCACCATATGCAATGTTGTTGGCACTCGGGTACATTCGCTCTCCGCTGTAGAAAAAAATATTTTTATGCATTTGGTCATGTATATTTTGTGTAGGAATGGCATAGTTCGAGAGCCATTTGGAATAAAAACAAGAGGGAGTTTTACAAAGATCTATGCACATTGTTGAAAAACACGAGAATTCGCAGTTATTTCTAATTTGAAATTTAATCTATTTTACAAAGCAATCACAGTCAAATATCATTTCTTGCTGTCTTACTATTGTAGCTAAAACCTCACGTCTGAAAGCAATGCAACGTCAAGCTTCACTACAGCTTACCTCTAGCTGATCACGTCTGTTTCAAGAGCGCTCCATAACACACCTATAGTCATATCTTTAGCACCCTTATAGTCATATCTTTAACACACCTATAGTCATATCTTTAGCACCCCTATAGTCATATCTTTAGCACCACTATAGTCAAATCTTTAGCATCCCTATAGTCATATCTTTATCACCCTATAGTCATACCTTTAGCACCTCTATGGTCATACCTTTAGCACCCCTAGAGTCATATCTTTAGCACACCTATAGTCATATCTTTAGCACACCTATAATCATATCTTTAGCATCCCCATAGTCATATCTTTAGCACCCATATAGTCATACCTTTAACACACCAATAGTCATACCTTTAGCACACCTATAGTCATACCTTTAGCACCCCTATAGTCATATCTTTAACACACCTATATTCATATCTTCAGCACCCCTATAGTCATATCTTTAACACCCCTATAGTCATACCTTTAGCACCCCTATAGTCATACCTTTAGCACCCCTATAGTCATATCTTTAGCATCCCAATAGTCATACCTTTAGCATCCCTATAGTCATACCTTTAGCATCCCTATAGTCATATCTTTAGCACCCCTATAGCCATATCTTTAGCACCCTATAGTCATATCTTTAGCATCCCTATAGTCATATCTTTAGCACCCCTATAGTCATATCTTTAGCATCCCTATAGTCATACCTTTAACACACATATAGTCAAATCTTTAGCATCCCTATAGTCATATCTTTAGCACCTCTATGGTCATACCTTTAGCACCCCTAGAGTCATATCTTTAGCATCCCTATAGTTATACCTTTAGCACACCTATAGTCATATCTTTAGCATCCCTATAGTCATATCTTTAACACACCTATAGTCATACCTTTAGCACACCTATAGTCATATCTTTAGCACACCTATAGTCATACCTTTAACACACATATAGTCATACCTTCAGCACCCCTAAAGTCATATCTTTAGCACCCCTATAGTCATACCTTTAACACAGATATAGTAATACCTTCAGCACCCCTATAGTCATATCTTTAGCACCCTATAGTCATACCTTTAACACACATATAGTCATATCTTTAACACCCCTATAGTCATATCTTTAGCACCCCTATAGTCATATCTTTAACACACCTATAGTTATACCTTTAGCTCCCCTATAGTCATATCTTTAGCACCCCTATAGTCATACCTTTAACACACATATAGTCAAATCTTTAGCACCCTTATAGTCATATCTTTAGCACCCCTATAGTCATATCTTTAGCAACCCTATAGTTATACCTTTAGCACCCTATAGTCATATCTTTAGCACCCTATAGTCATATCTTTAACACCCTATAGTTATACCTTTAGCACCCCTATAGTCATATCTTTAGCACCCCTATAGTCATACCTTTAGCATCCCTATAGTTATACCTTTTGCACCACAAAATTCCCATACCAGTTGAAAACAATTAATTTCAAAGGAGCTTAATACTGAATTATTATGCATAAATGAATTTGAGCAACCCCCAACTATTGATCTCCTTAAAGCCTTACCCCTACCTATGATTAAGCACACCAAAGTTCCATATACTTACAGTTTCTCTTTTTGTTCTTGATATGCAGTAAGGTCTGGCTTCATTTGCTTAACAAGACGAGAATACTGTCTTTCCTGTGCAGCAGCAAAGTCTATAATATTGATGTCAAATTAAACAATAGAAAAGATTAAACTTTTAAAGAACAGAAAATGTTAAACTTTTCTGTTGTCTGATTTCAAAGGTTCAAAGGTTTCCCACTTTGTAATGCAAGCATTTTAATGTTTGCACACTGTGAAAACATTATTCTGTTATTTAAATATCATGAGCAAACTTACTAGCAGGATACAATTAGTTTTACTTCAATTGAGTATAACATAGTTCCTGAAAGTATAAACTTGTTACCAGTCATACATTCCTTTGGGTACGAGTATACCCCCTAAACAGACTTTAAAAGGGGTTAATGAACTAGTTTTTAGCTAGTATTATGAATTACCAGAAATATATTTTCCAACAAAAATGCCATTCAAAGACCTTAACAATGCATAAAAAAACTAGTTTTCAGCTGGGTTTTTTTCATAAGCATAACCAGTCATATATTCTCAGTACATGCAGTGAATATTGACATCAACAGACCTTATGCTCATGTCTAATAAACAAGTTTTATTAATCAAACCTGAGAATCCAACATCCGTATTTTTCTTTCTCTTTTTTCTTTTGTCTTGTTTATCAGCATCATCTGCTGTTACTTCAAGAAGTTTCAAGCGATCATAGTCCTCTCCATTTGCTTCTGCTTCCTAAGTTCAATACACAACAATATTCAATAAAAAAATCTTCTATACTTTTGTCTTGTGTATGATGTATTCAACAGAAATGATCTAATGTTGAAACTTGAGTTCTTATATATTTCAGTCTTGTGTCTTTAACAGAAAAGATTTGATGTTGAAACACAAGTCCTTTTATTCTACAGTCTAGTGTCTTCATCAGGAGTCATCTGATGTTAAAAGTTGAGTTCTTATATTCTCCAGTCTACTGTCTTCATCAGGAGAGACCTAATGTTAAAACTTGAGTCCTTATATATTCTAATCTAGTGTCTTCATCAGGAGAGATTTGATGTAGAAACTTGAGTTCTTATATACTCCAGTGTAGTGCCTTCATCAGAAGTGATCTGATGTTGAAACTTGAGTAATTATATACTCTAGTTTATTGTCTTCATCAGAAGTGATCTGATGTTGAAACTTGAGTTCTTACATAGTTCAGTCTTGTGTCTTTATCAGTAATGATCTTATGTTGAAACACAAGTCCTTTTATACTCCAATCTAGTGTCTTTATCAGGAGTGATCTCATGTTGTAACTTGAGTCCACATAAACTTCAGTATGTCTTTATCAAGAGTGATGTGATTTTAAAAGTTGAGTTGTCATATATTATGAGTCATATAACAAAAACAAATAACATTAGTAAAAAAGTGAAAATTTAGTAATCCAACTCACAGTTCTGGCTTTATGATCTTCAAGCTCCCACTCCACTCTTTTCTGTTTTGCCTCCCAATTTGCAGGCAACTTATTTCTTCTGTCTTCTTCAACAACTTCTTGATAGTTCATTTTGCGGGCCTCATTCTGAGTAACCACAAACAAAAGATACAAATGTCAATAAAAACAAGATTGACATAAGAACAGTTAATTCTGAATATTCTGTGCTTTGATTTGGTTTAATGTCAAACAAGTAGAAATAGAAATATTTGTCCACTTTGTGAAGGATCTGCCACAAGCAAAGACTTTCAGAAATATCAGTCAAACAAACTGCCATTGGGAAGGGTAAATCATGAATCTTGGAACGACTCAAAAAAGCAGATTTTTGTCAGGTTGCAAATTAGGGATGAAAATGTGCATTATGAATTTAGTTGTAAAACTCTTCTTCTAAAATCCACAAAAAACCCCAAAAATCTCCAACATATCATATCTTGTTTTATATAAGACTGGCATAAGTAATAACACACATTTGATGAAGTGGAAAAGACTTGGTGCCTTCTAACAGCAAACCATTCAGGATAATGTATTGTTTTTGGACAAGATCTGCGGTGTGCACAATAAAATTATTGGTGAGCTGGTGTGAAAATCAAATTTCATGGTGCTCACAGAACAGCAATCCAAAATATCATGATGAATCTTATTGAAATTTTGTCATTGTTGATTCGATTTTTTTCTCAGAAATCATTTGTTACTTGAATAAATAACATCACTTTGCAGTGTTAGACCATATTTCACTTTACTTCTAATGACAAACTTGGATTGGTCTCTCTTTTCATAAATGTGCTTGGCATGCTAAGATAATAAGAAAAAAAATCTGCTGGTGATCAAAAAGCTTTCCAGATTGAATAGCGATGTCAAAAAATGCATTTAAAGACTCAAAAGCAACTATAACAATGCCATAGCTAGCCTCGATGATTAACAGGGGCCAATATTTATACATATATGTTATAATCAACAGAAAATATTTGATTTCAAAGGAACTTTATACGGTGGAACATGATTACGTGAACATGCCCCTCTACAATTATCAAGCTAGCTACGGCCATGAACTATAACAATCCGTTTCCTTCTCAATAACTATTCCTTCATACAAAACTCGGGATCTTAATCAAATTGTTAATTATATAATAATACTGACTGTTGAATTTTTAAAGGAAGAACGTTTCCGACTTTCATGTTTGCAGTGTAGTCTTATGAAAGGTATGGATGATGGATCGAAATATGTAGAGAAAAAAAACACGTTACCCGTCTTAAATGGAGTTCTTTAAGCTTGCGCATTCGTTCATTCTTCTTGGTAAAAGCCTGAAATAATTCCTTGCTTGACTTTGAATTTGAGCCACTAGCTCCTTCGTTGACAACTTCTTCAGTTTCTGTAAGTTTCGCATCACTTTTGTCCGACTTGATTTCGTTACTATCCGATAAATGATTATCTGAACACTAGAAATGTTTAAAATCATGACATGGAGCGGTAATATTTAACAACTGACTAAACATTTAAAAAACAGTAAAATTCTACCTTCTCATTTGCCATGACAAATCGAGATCTGATAAATAATTATATTTCATAATCACTGGTTTCCATTCACTAAAAGTATGAATCGCTTCTGAGCACTGAGCTAAACACATGGAGAGTTAGTCTGATGTCTTTGGAATAAAGACGAAATATTACACCATCTTTTGTTTCAAACTCCTGGATTATCTTGAATATCAAGAAAACGAGATGTCCTTTTTCGGAATTTGTTTTATTTTGTTTTACTTAAAATTGTCTGCTTCTCCTGGTTATTTCTTGCTTTTCTTGAAGCACTTCTCATCAAACACAACAAACCTTTTCTCAACACGGGACTTAAGGCTAGCAAAGAATTACAACTCTTCTCTTAAATTACAATACACTCATTCTACCATCAACCGTGATCGAATGTTTGAAATTCTCTCAGCATATGGAATCCCACCAAGCGTTGTTGATGCAATTCAAGTAATGTACAAAGACACCTGTGCTAAAGTACTATCCCCGGAAGGAGAAACAAACGCATTCAAGATTGACACTGGTGTTCTTCAAGACGATCCCTTTGCGCCTTTTCTATTCATCATTGTTCTTCACTACGCACTCCGAACTTCCATCACCACAAGTCACGCCGAAGTGCCTCACATTCAAGCCGCGCCGAAGTAGCAGATACAAAGCTGAAAAAATTGCCGACTTGGACTACGCTGATGACATTGCACTTCTTGAATATTGTATTGAAGCTGCTCAAGATCTCCTAAAGCGTGTAGAGAATGCCTGTCAAGAGGTTGGTCTGCACCTCAACGCTCCAAAGACTCAATACATACATCTGAATCCATCATCTGACACTCCCCTGTTTGCATCGGATGGCTCTAAAATCGACTGTATTGAAGACTTCAAGTACCTTGGCGGTTATTCAGATACTGAGCATGATATGTCTGTCAGAATAGCGTTGACATGGAGTGCGCTGCATTCTTCTCAGGCAGTTTGGAAGTCTCCAATCAAGAAGTCAACAAAGACTAAAGTGTTCAAGGCTTGCATTGAAACAATCCTTCTCTACGGGTAAGATTCATCGACGCTAAATGTGAAAAATAAAAAGCGTCTCGACGGCACATACACAAGAATGCTTAGACACGCCTATGACATATCTAGGAAAAGCCATCCTACCAACAAATCTCTGTACGGTACGCTTCCTCGTGTGTCTGAAACGGTTCGTCAGCGGCGTTTGACTCTTGCGGGCCATGTTAGTCGTCATGAAGAGCCCGCTGGTAGGCTTCTTTTATGGACACTCTCAGCAAAAAAAAGAATTGGGCACCCGTTTGTCACCCTCAAGAACATCATTGAGGAAGAAACTGGCTTGTCTGGACAAGACCTGTTGACTGCAATGGCAGATCGCCAACGCTGGCACTTGGAATACGTTCATGTTTCACCTGAGCCATCTGGCATTGGATGACGCAAGACAAGACAAGACAAGACATTCTACCAGTCTGGTCTGCAGTTTCAATTCATCCTCTTGAAATACTACACCTCTTCCAACTCTGCATTTGTAAATATCACACTATTTAATTTTTATTGCTTACTTCCGTTTACTTATTTCATGCGTTGTAAATATATATGTGTATGTATGGTTTTAAATACCATTCTGTCTGAGAATGACTTTGAAATAAAGTCAAAAATTTACAGTTCACTTCTCGTCTTGTTTTGACGCATATTTTGAAATCTCAAGATGTCTTGCTTTCTCGGAATTTGCTTTATACTATTTAAATTGTCGGCTGGTCATAGTTTTTGGTATAATACAATTCAATTGTTTTATAAACTTTAGTTTCTCACGGAAACATAACCAGATCCTTACTTAATGCCATGCAAACATTTTGATGAGGCATTAACAGCAAAGCAAATTGTCCTTTAAAGCTTGCTTAGCTGAAACTATGAAACAACCCAATAAATCTGTTGAGATGTTGGTTATTGTTATCAGGATTGTTGCTTTCACACATCTAACATGTTCACAAGCTCTGAAATACATACGTTTGAAATTTGATTATACAGCTTCTCTGTTACTTTCGAATTAACAATTACAATCTGCTAAAATACCCTTTGCTAGTGAATAAAAAAACTCCAATAAAATTATTGATCATACTAACTCACATAACGCTTGATGTCAAACACTCTCAATTTTTCCAAATAACAGTAAATTAAAGCTATAATTTGTTTTTCTTTTCATAATAAACGACAAAGTAACTGACGACATGAAGACAAAGTTGAATTTCTGTGTCCAAGAGAGAGAGATGCAATATTGAAACACAAACACATCATACACTGACTAAACATTGTCTTTATAAAAAGCAATCATCTTTTGGTATAAATAAAACAAATAACAAACACCTGCTATTTTCTGTTAGCTAGAACAAATAATTGTTCTGTTTAACAAAGCCAAATGATAGAACTGAAAGACAACGTGAAATACTTCGACCTTGTCCTCTCGTCGTAGTCGTTAGGAGTTCTCGTGACGAATTCAACTTAAAAACAATATATTGTGTAGCTTTTGCCATTCTTTTCTCTGCTTAAGATAAAGTATTATTCCTCGATCTGCACAAGAGGTCCCTACTTGCAATCAGTCCTGACACTTCGCGACTGAGATATTGACACAATAATATTGCGAATTTCCCTCGAAAATATGCGTATTTTTGGCTCAAAAGAAGCCCCGAACATTGGAAAAGATCTGCTTTTACTTGGAATATCAATTTGATTCGTTTTCGTGTGATAAAAGGACAAAAACTGTTAAAAATAGATCATATTTCTATGCGAGTGAACTGCGACTCTTGTGTAAGTGTTTTGGTTACTTTGTAATTGGCCTTACCATTTGAATTTATGAGACAATAAAATATGGCAGCAGATGGCAGTTAGCAAGCCCGAAAGTTTTGGTCCTGCTATGTAAATTTCCGAGCATTATTATTATCCATTTCTTTAGAAATCTATTGTTTTTGAAAAAAAATTAAAGACTTGCAAAGACTTGAGTTTTAACATCAGATCACTTCTGATTAAGATCGACGTACTTGTTTATAAAGAATCCCACCCCCAGATCCTGTGTCTTGTTTACAAATTACTATATCCTTATTTTTCCGTAAGTTTGCTAACGCGATCCTTGTAAAGCTCTGGCGTATTTGAACTAAAGGAAGATCATTTTGAACCTTGCAGATCTCAAACATCAGGGAATTGCCTTTAAAAATTGTGTATTGACAATAATTGAGCACAAACAGTTATAGTTTTAAATTTTAGAGAGACCTTAAATGATTAAAACCTTGATATCTATGACAAGTAGAACTTCTCAAACATTGAATCTGAGATGCCTCATACCCCCAGATAAGACTGAACTTCTCAAGGAAATACATCATTCTGTATGTGACATTTCACTATCTAAAATTGCTTTAACTTTCTCTTTATTGTTGGGTAGATATTTGTCTTAATGTGTTGACACCATATAGTAATTTTCTTTTTATAGTTGAGGAGATATCCACTTTAATGTGGTGGTGACCCAATGAGTAATTTGTTTAGTATAGCTGGTGGCGATATTTACTTTAGTGTGGTGACCCCATTTAGTAATTTTCTCTTTTAAATTTGGAGGGATAACTACTTCAATGTGTTGACCCAATATAAATTCTTATCTCTTTTATATTTGGAAAGATATCTATTTCAGTGTAGTGAGTAACCCCATATGCTAATTTTCTCCTCTATAATTGGGGAAATATTCACTTATATGTGGTGTTCTATTGAAAGGGATGAGCAGCATGTTCAAACATGAAAACCAGATACTTAAAATTAAACTTAATCCTGGCAAAATCTTGTCTGCAAGTTGACTGCGGGGGCAGTTAAAGTTTCTATTGTACTTCAGCGCTTATATATTTTGAAGTCTTTATTTGAGACTATTTCCTTTTTTGTCCCTCCAAATTATGCGCTCCATTTAAGAACGGAAAAGTTCACCAAACGCTGCGGCGCTAAAACGAGCATGTGCGGCAGTACTACTCTGAGGGATGCAAACGTTTGGTCTGTATCCGACCCTGCCTGCGTTACCAGGAATAAACAATTGAATATTTCTGTCACTTGAAAATTACAACACAAATGATGCTACATCCAGACCAGGTCGAGATATAGGAATTATATTATGAAAGAAAGATTTTACTTTTTTTTAATATATTTGTTCAGTTATGATTACGAAATGGAGATTATGAGCCGCAAAAAAGAGTAACAATTGTTTTTGTCAGCAGCGACAAGAAGTATCTATCTTAAACACGTCGTTTATGCATGTGTTACTGTTGAATTCAATCCATTCCAACACAAGGATTCACCAACACATGTGGAACCAGGGCGACAGCATTTACCGTTATGACAACATTTTCCACCATACCATGGACAACACCCATAATTTACTAAAGTTCCACGACCATCGTACTTACGGCAGCATTTTTTGTGAGGCTCTTTACACCAATGTGGTACTCCATGTATTACTCCACAAGTTACACGATTTACATTCTAGACGAAATTATATCAGTTAGAAATAAATCATAATCCACATCATTTAAGTCACTTTAATCATACGTTTTGAAAATATACGTCTTAGAATAAGTTTTCGTGGCTTAAACTTAAGGAGTCTCGTCCTAGACGAAGAACATGTTGTTTTCATTTAGATTAACAAACGCCCTTCTGTTTTTTATTGAAATTTTTTCACCTTTTCGATAAGCTATGATGTCAAAATATTGACGTTAGTTTATACGAAAGCAAAAACATACATGCGTTTCTTTGATATCTCTTGCGATCTACTGATAGTTCAAAATTTGCGCTGCTCTACGAAGAAAAGTTTAACTCTTTGATTCTTTTCATATGATTTTATGTTTATCGGTAAAGCTTTGCACTTCGCCTTCTCCCCTTTATAATAGTTTGTTTTGATCTAGTATTTTGAAACCAATAAATTAGTCATTGGAAAAGGCATCGCTGGTATCGTTCCTTGTTGACCGAATCAAAGAAAACTAACAAACTCGTGCAATATATTGAATATAAAACGTTTTCATGGCTGAAAAAAGTGCTGAAACGTCCAGGGCTGTAAAGTACAAGCCTGATAAGCAAGCCAGATTGGTCATCTGAAAATAACGAATTGTGTAGAGAAAATAAGGCAAAGAAAATTCATACAGAATCTCGTGACATTCTGACTGATGAAGATGATGATGCTTTAGTACTTCTTGCAATCAAGAAAAGTGAAGAAGAATTGCTTCAGACAAAAACTGGTTCTTCACGATCTGTTGGTGTTTCAACTTCAACTGTTTCGACCGAAGCAAGCTCTTTAGCCCTATATACTTTTCCGGTAGCTAGTTTTCCAACACAATATCGACAACACAATATAGACAAAATAGACACAATATAGACAACACAATATAGACAACACAATATAGACAACACAATATAGACAACACAATATAGACAACACAATATAGACAACACAATATAGACAACATCGTACTTAGGACAGTATTTTGGTGAAAAAAATGTGCGTGGACAAAAGTATCGTTCTCCATTTATACTTCCACAAAATGTAGCATTTGCATTCTAGAAGAAATTTCATCATTAGGAAATAAACCAGAATCCAATTTATTTAGGCCACTTTAATTACGATTATATGTCAGCTTTAAACTGAAAGTTATTTGAACTTGTTATTATACACAATAGAACATTTAAGAATTATGCACGAGTATTGCACGTGATAAACACTCAATTTGCACTAATGATTATAAGAATTGTATAATAGAAGACACGAGTAGAGAAACAGTTGCCAAGGAAGTTTGGACAGAGAAAAGAAGGATCGATTCACTATTTTATATATAGAAAAAGTTATCATTTCATATTTTTGAGAATTCAATATTGAAGGCATCCAAAGTGAGCTAATATCCTCACGTCATAACGATCCTGCTGAATTTACCATACGTAGAAAAAGATTTGCTAACAAACTATACACATTTTCATTTCTATTGATGCACTAATTTCCAAAATCTTTTGCTGATATTGAAAATCTTACTTTTTAAAAATGTTTATACGAGAAAGAGTTTTATCGTGGCTTGATTCCAACTCGTAAGGACAGGTTTATTAAAAAGTTTATGTATGAAAAGCAAGAAGATGACAAACCTCTTTTTTTGTCTTTTCCAATAATGAATTTATCGTTCTTCTTTTTAAGCGCTTGTTTCGTTCCATGTTGACAAATGCAAGAAAAATCATCAGATACAACCCAACGTGAAAGACTTTCATGGCTAAAGCTAAAACAAAAAGGGGAAATGAATTTAATACATGTCATGTAATTAAAACATTAGTTTTTGTTTTCCTTACAACTGATTGGCTAAATTCGTTCGGATAAATTGTCATATCCAATAGCGATGACGTACTAGATGTGAAATCATGACACAATCACGAGGCGAGGCGAACAGCGCGAGAAAGCAAAACCACATCTAAAATTTGCACATTTTCTACAGTCAACCAACGTTTAGTTTCTTAAAATAAACAATGAATCAGTTATTAAATTTGGTATTTGCGTAATATAAAGAAGTATCAAGCCATCGGTAGCTATGTTTTGTGCGCTTCAGGCCTTTCTCTTCGGAAGATAAAACAATCATTGGTACAAGATAATGAACTTTAAGGCAACAGTTTATCAATTACTTTTCGTTTTACTTATCCTCTGCAACTGAAACCAAGATGAAACAGAATAAATTAATAAAATTATCTTCTTTTTTCTTATATTTTGCGTCAAGCTCTGATCACTTGCAATGATGTGCTTACTGTGACATGGTATTTATGCACAGAGTATTATATTTACAGAAGGGTCGCTCTTGTTCACTTGTTCCCAACCACTAAAATGACACGACATCCTTTCTTATATTGAAATATTTTCGTTTCCACTACGAAAAAAGACGTCATGTTATTGCAGTGGATGGAAACAAGTAAAAAATAATAATGGCGGTCGTGATGACGCGGTGCACACTTGAGTGACCCTTCTGTATGGTTATTATTCTGTGATTTAAGTAAGAATTGATCATGTGAGGCTCAAAGGACATAGGTAAAAAACATGTTTTTGAGCTTCTTATGATGAACTTTATACAAAAATGACGTCGATAACCTCATGACATATACACTGTATGATTATCTGAGAAAGCCAAGATAGTAAAAATATCTGGTTCAGCTCTGTAACACTGACAACTTTGTAAGGTATGTAAGAGCACCCTTAGTTGTATGAAATTCTAAAAAAACCTTTCTGGTTATTTGAGGGATAAAATAAAACACTTACTCGACCATGAACGCCCTTTATTAGCATGCTCAAATTGACTTCTGTCACATGTAAAGAGTGTCGAATGAATCTTAATTATGTATATTTATTTGTTTATGTATTTTATTCCTTAAATAGCCTGCAAGTCGCTTACCGAAGGCATATAGATTTAAGTGTAGTCTTACAAGCCTAAAATTTCAAGTTTGTCGGCGTTATAGAGCTAAACAGGCTGTATTTTTTTAACAGTTACACACTTATTTTTGTTATGCATTTACGCTATGTCATGTGACTACAACGTCATCATTAAGAAATCATTATAATGATTATAACCGTACAATGTTTAGTTCTTTTCATCTTTCAATACTTTCTGCAAAATACCTACGAAACACCACATTTTGGAATAAATATGCATATAAGATTATTATTCGCGATCATTTTGTCAAAAACTTTCCCTTAATGCAATTTCATATTAATTTTATATCGCATTTGCACGAAATCTATTATTTCCTACTCACGCAACCATTCGTATGGAGGTAAAATTTAGTTAATTCATTAGTAAGTACGAAGTGCAGGAAGTACGGAGTTAATTGTTGAGTATTGGTTAAAGACTGGATTGTTATTCGATTAGACTGTTGGATTGTTAAGATTGCTTGTAAATAGTCTAGTAGTTTCTTATTAAATTTCCATACTGTAAAACGAATAAGAGAGCAGTTTAATTTACGGAATAATATCAAGAAATTTCTGCGACAGCCTTCCTCAAATGCATTAGAAAAAATAATGAGATGGCAATGTCAAGATATGTGTAAAACGCAACTATGGAAACGTATATAACTCAACTAAGAGAATAAATCAGCTTTATCAGGGTGATAAGTGTCGTATAATATCGATCGACACTTCACTCTTGACAGGAATAAAATATTATTAAAGATGCTCACCACATGAAAATTGTACTAAATGAACTATGAGTTTTATTGTTATTCCTTAACAGTGATATAATTCGCCTTTGCTGACAAACTTATTTGCGATTTCATCTTCCATATGCGAAGGTTGATAGAAATATAAAGAGGAATTAGGGAGAAATCCATTGTTTTCTACAAATTCTGGCAAAGACACATATAAAAATGAGCCTCCCAAAAAATTAGCGAGCTTGCTACGATGAATGAGCTCCACGAAAGACATGTAAAAGTATTAAACAACGAGATAAGATTCTGGTATATTTTTTTCTGATTGACTGATGATGAGAACATTTCATGCAACTGTTCTTAAGAAAAGTTTAATTTTTTTCATATGATTTGGTCTAATCATGCAGAGACTCCCCTCCTCCATCCTACTAATTCAATCTCGATTTGCTCTGAGATTTTATCAGAAAGCTTATATGTTTGAAAAATAACAAGATGGCCAACCTCTTTCCACGTCATTTCCAATAATGAATTCATTGACCTTCCCTTGTTAAGATGATATCGCTCCATGTTGACCAACACAAGGAATGTCAGTAGACTGAACACAATGGGAAAGGCTTTCATGGCGGTTAAAATAAATTGGTTGGACGTATTTGTTTTACGTTCTTTCTTATATCTTTCCTTAAAGTGGTTATATCACGAATTTTAGCCCCCCTCTTTTATGAGCTTAATTGAAAATTTGGATTATTTGAAGAACTATGACATGTCGCTGGACTTAAACAGATAAATATAAGTTGCTTATTTTTGCCTCCAAAGTCGGGTACTATTTGCGAATTTTTTACGACGCCATATTGATACTTGTGACGTAGATAGTTGAACACGTCTGTTTCCGTCAATATAATATTATATTATAGAAGGTGATTTTGTTGTCGTTTTTCTTGTCTTAAAAACAAATAATGACAGTATTTTCAATAAAATATTAAAAAACAAGTTGTCCGGAAAGTATGGCCTCAAATCAGTGCTCAGATAATTCGAATTCGATGTCTGAATGCGTATCTGATTCGAGCTCGAAATCCGTGGGTTATGTCGAGCATTTAAACGACTTCGCATATGACGATGAAATGCTAGCAGATGGTGATGAAGTGCATACTCCAGATGATCCCGATGGAATTCTCCCTGCGACATTAGAACAACGAAGTGATGGCGTAATTCCACTTGGTGAATGGTAAGTTGTTGTTTTCTCCTGTTTGTAATATACATAAAGTTACTTTATAAACCAGAATGCTCCCACGTTTCAGGTGTAATTGTCAATGCTGTCATACCGATTTGTTAGAAGGCGCATTAGAGTACAGATGCTGTAAGGAAATTGGACCAGCTTTGCAGAAAATGACATTCGATGGCAGCATTGAGAAAATATCATGCATAACACAGCATGCCAAATTTGGGCCTTTAGTTCATGAGGCTGTCCTTGAAAACGTCGGGCCACTATTGAGAGATAGGAATGGACGTGCTTATCGCCACCAAGCATCACAATCATTAAATATGTAAGATTGTAAATTGTATGAGAAACAATGTTATAATCAACATTGTTTCATCAACAATAATTAGTCCAACCTTTTTATTTACTTCAGGTACTTGAGAGCTGTGGCATACAGATGGTTGATGCGATGGTTTTGTGGGTCTATGGTATGGGAGAATACTCGGCCTTTACCTGCTTGTGTTTACCACTTTATTCGGAAAGCATATCCAAGTGGTAACACAACAGGTTACATACCATCAGAGGGGCGATGATGGAATAGTCTTTTAACTTGTGCACTGTAGAGACTGCTGACCTTCTTTGCTGAGTTTGGAATGGTCAGGAAATATGCCTAGATGAAAACCAAATAGGAGATACATGGATGCACTATATAAGTTGACATGCAGTTTAATGGTTTGAAACAAGAGTAAACAATAAAAACAAATTGGTGCAACTACTGAGAGGTTAAGCTGAAAGAATTAAATGAAAGAATATCTTTTCTTCAATGTCAGTCTGGGAAAAAGACAAAAGAAAAATACATGGAATTAAATCATAGCATAAATGTAAAAATGGAAAATAGCAAGCCGTTCAAATGGCGAATCGTTTGCTTCCCCAGTGCATACTTAAACATGCTCAGCTTCATCACTAGTAGATGGTACTTCCTCATTGAGAGAACATGTGTCCTTCAGCGATGGCTTATGGAGAGTATGTCGAATAATCTACAAAACTTATATCGAATTTACATATGACAAAAGAAAAATTAACATAAACAAGCGTAAACTTACTTGTCTTCGCTTTCGATCGGTTATTTCGTCCTGTAATGGTTCAGGAATCCCAGCCACGTCAATGGTTGGGAAAGCATCTTTCTTCAACCTTCTTTTGAGCTTGACTTGCACGCTCAAATTAAGGTCAAAACAAGAATCTTCAAAATGCGCAGAACACAGACACGAGGTAGAGGAAGCCTCAAAACCCGGTCTATGTTTACGCACAAAATTTACCTATTTTCTATGTCTTTGCGGCTCTGTTTCTTTTTTAGGAAACAGATGCATCGACATTCCTTCGGTTTTTGAATCATTGGCGCAACTAATTTGATTAGGTCCGCCAGCAACACAGCGTTTTCCTCCGTGTTTCTTATTAAGATTATTAGTAGAATACGCCATGTTGATATATGTGTTCAACTTTCTACGTCACAAGTCATTAGCATACCGATCAAAAAGTTCGCAAAAAAAAATGCTGAAAATCGTGACTTTGAACGTCCGTAAAATCACTTTCACCAATCCAATTTCAATTATAATTGCAGATTTAAAATCACTGAAACAAGGTCTTTAGATTTAGCTAATAAAAAAGGGGGGCTAAAATTCGTGATATAACCACTTTAAGCTCTGGTGATGTCAAATGATAATGTCTACAATATGATCGTAATTTAGTAAGAATTGATCATATGAAAATCAAACGACATTCACGTGCATATTAGCTTGAGATCATTTAACCATTTTATTTATAGTAACATGTTTTAGGATTTTAGTCTTATGATAATTTCTTAACAATTAATAATGATGCTTTAACCTCATGACATGTAATGTGACAATGTAACAATGTCTGGATAGTTAAACTGTTTTCCGTGTGTTTTTCCTTCGACTCACATTCGTAAATTGTTTTTTGTTTCGTTTTTCTTGCGTTTTGCTGTTTGATATACGAAATTTGTTTACATTTGACTATAAAATTACGCGTTATGGATCGTGGTCCATTACGGGAATTGATGGTATCGGCAAAAATGTTTCTGAGCCAATCAAAGCGCGCCAATTTGCTGGAAGTGACGCTCGCCATATAATAATATTAGATAATGGGACGATTGCTATAAATTTGCTGCACTCTGGCATGTCTATCCGTAATTGCACATAAAACTCTAATATTCCTATATTTATATCTATTATCAAAATAACAATTAAAAGTTTAAAACTTGAACAGGTGAAATTGACTTTTCAATTGAGTTCATAAAACACGAGTGACGTTCATTTATTTATTTATATATTTTTTTCAAGATACCTCATTGACACCTCTTGAGTGTTTTTTAGTGGGATTATGCATGTTATAGTTTTTGAAAAATAACTATATTATATTACTCGTTATTATTTACTCGTTAGTATATATGTATACAAACACACACGCTAGAAGTTAAATCTAAAAGTTACTGCCTACTCATGAAATGATCGTAAGAGTCAACAAAAATTAAACTTTTAAAGAGTTGCTATGCTTAAAAAATATAATATATATAGATATGTATGAATGAAAACAGCTTCCATCAAGGCGGTTGTATGTGCTTAATAAACGAAGGACTTGGCGGTCTTAGTTTGTTTATAGAATATAGATTATTTCCTTTGAAAATGAGTTAAATACAGTATATTAAACGCGACAGATGACAGAAATTCCTGTTCTCATCTTGACTAAAGAGAGCTGAAATTTTCGATGAAAACTTTACTACAACCAAAATACAATTAGATAAACTGTAATTCTGGCCAATAACGAAAGCAATTGTGTTAAACGTGGCCGATAAGCGACGGTAAATATATAAGCACGTAGCAACCTTTGCAGAGACGCCGTTGCCATGGCGTCACGTGGTGACAATGTTGTCTGTAGAAGTTACTTCATAAAATGACAAAGTACAATGAATGAAGGACAGTATATGTGCGAATAAATAGCTTGAAGATAAAGAAGCTGCAACAATCGAGGTAAATAATTTCAAATTGAGTTTCATCTTATTCTAAAACAAAGCATGTCTACAACATACATGGTCCCCTCGAAATTTAATCCTGCCGAATGGCATTCTTCGAACGCGACGCATTACATGAACGCCTTTCGCGAAGTCGAGAACGGACGAACGTTGCGAGATGCGAGCAACAAACTGGCAAAGAGCATTGCGTACGATGCGAGCAAGATGCAGAAACACGTTCAAGAAAAGCTTGGGCAACGCATCAAGGATGTCGCATCGTGGAAGTCGGAAGTGGAGAAAGAACGCTCTTGCGTTGTATCCGAAATGGATGCATTGTTGCAGTCCAAAGCCATGCTTGATAAAGCGCTGGCAGCAACTCAGTATCCGTTGGCGGTACCGAAAAAATGTCTTGCCTATCGTACGAATAGGGCTGGCATTGACCTCGTCAAAGACACTGTTGAGAAGAATTTGTATAAGGTATTTATGGTTTATATTTGCGGTCTAGCCCAGTTAAACATGTACTTCATTTTGTGTCATAATCTCCTCATTTCAACTAGCGTTATCGTGTGCTCGTCATGAAAAACTTAAGCACAGTACTCATGAGGACTAGCTTTCTTTCAGAAAAGTTTTATGACGGAGGTTTGCTACATTATGTTGCAAACTTGCAATTCGGTTTAAGACAAGTCATTTTCTTAACTACTGCAATTAAAGTTGTCTGTCATACTTTGAGGGTCAGTTTTTTCCTTTTAATACCAAACGGCCTCGTCAAAAAATTCCTTTTTTATAAGATATAAGATTTCGTGTTTTGCTGCATGATGAATTTTCGATGTAAAATTTCGTAAAAACCCATGACTGGAAAATACGTTTGCAGACGTTTACTTTGGGATCATATTTGTCTGGAAGTCGTATAAAAATTTTGGTGTTTACCAAGCAAATGTTCGGTCATTAATAAAGCTTATGAATCCTAAATTCATAGTACATTTTCATTTAAAAGAACATTTTTCTTAACAGAGATATACTCTCGTGCCTTATCAGTAAGAAAGAAATAATTTATTTGACGTTAATTGACTAAAAAATTATCAACATGTTTATAATTCATTCCATCATACAATTAGCGGTAAAATGGTATAAAATTGTACAAAATTGACACGCAAGAATTCTTTGTAAACACTATTTCCATAATTTCTTTGCAAGTTTAACTGCGATCATTGCATTTCAAACCCATCTAGTCGACAGTGCATTTGTAACGTTTTTGTTTTGTCTACCACAAAATGAAGTCATGATGTTCTGCTAGGCTTTATCAGAAACTTGAACTCTGACCAAATGTTGCTTAGCAACAGACTAGAAATTAAAATAAGGATGGCTGGCTGCAGTTAAAATGCTTACAACAGGGGCGGTAGAAAGCTCAATTCTACTTGCAGTTTAATTTCAAGCGTTGCTTTTTTTAATATTTTTCTAAATTTTAGATTTCTCGTACAGTTTTGTAAATGTTGACGTGTAACGCCCGAAAAATACAGCAAATGTGCAAATTTATTCTTGATGAAAAAGTAAAAAATTCCCTAAAAATCAAGTATTTTACGTGTGACAGATTACAGGATGCCTTATTTTATTGACAACCAGAGACTAGCTGAAATATCTTCTTTCGCATGATGTCCATTACGAATGACGTCTAAGCGAGTTTTTTCTCTGATTGGGAACTGCAGTTGCCAAGAAACAGCATGCTCCACTTTCAAATTTAATTAAGTTTCGGACATGTAAACTTTCCTCGCAAGCTGAAGCTTAACTTGTTTTAGGCGGAACCGGAGCTTTTTTATCAGAAGCCGGAGTTTGTTTTAACCGAAGCTGGAGTTTTCTAGGTCGAAGACGGAGTTAAAACACGCGGAGTTTGCACAGCCTAATAGGAATTGACACATAGTAAATTCTCATTTTCAATTATAAAAAAAACGTTAAAAGTTCACGAAGTAGGCATACGAACAATACAGTGCTAGTGAAATATTTTTTTACAATTTTAGAAGATCTTTGATTCGGAACAAAGCATGTTAGTTTGTCTTCATTTCGGCTCGCGCACGAAAAATGGATTTCCATTTATTAATATTTTTCAAACGGCGTTTCCGGAGCTCCTAATACCAAAAGAATTTTTCAATAGTCACACAAACAAATTATAACATCACCACAAATGAAACGAAATTGGCACTCCTCGAACTTTTTTTTTATTTGGGTTGCCTAGCTATAACGGCTTCTATTTGCTTTCAATGAAATGCTCTGGACGAAACCATTTGACTTCTCTGCTTCAGATTGTGGCTGAATGATTTTCAAAAACAGAGCAACTCTTGCAACTTTAGACAGCAAAAAATTGATATTTAAAAGATAAATTTAACGTACAGAAATTCGTTGGAGTTTATCACTTTACGTTTTTTTCCCTTTTTCATTGTGATTCTGTGTTTATGCACCGAAACATACAGGAAGTTCAATTGATAGAAGCAACACAGGAAGCTCTAAAAAGAACATCAGATCAAGTAATTGATCAATACAGGTATAAAGGCGTAATTTGACATTGAAAAAACAGAACATGAATTCTTTAGGAAACAGAAAAATGAATATTGTAGAAAACGAAGAACATGAATATCTTTGGAAACGGGGAACATGAATATCTTAGGAAACAGAGAACATGAATATCTTAGGAAACAGAGAACATGAATATCCTAGGAAACAGAGAACATGAATATGTTGAGAAATAGAAAACATGAATATCTTAGGAAATAGAAAAAATGAATACTTTAGGAAATAGAAAACACGAATACTTTAGGAAACAGAGAACATGAATACTTTAGGAAACAAATAATACAAATATCTTAGGGAAACAGAGAACATAAATACCAGACATTTTTCATTAATAGGAGATTAGAAAGTGTAAAGAAACGCTTGGATAAAGACAATCATGACAAAAACTCGGCATTGACAATCGATAATTATTGTCACGGTCTAAACAATTATTCTTCTGGCTTGGGTTATCACAAGTTCGCCATTGAATTGGATCCGAGGTAGGTCAATATTATGGAACCTGTATAGCGTGGATGTTTTTGCGATCTAGAAAGAGATTGGATGTTTGTCAAAGAAGTTGCAAAATAAAAGAAATGGAAGCACACAAACTCATTTTCTAACCAACAGATTTACCACTTTGCCAGAATGGGAAAATTTCTCATATGACAACATAACACGAGCTAGATGGGAGAGAAAAATGTCGGAGAACTTGCGAAAGAAAGTTCACGAACTTCTTGTTCGAACTATGAACGAGTTGAAAGAGATGTTTGACAAGGTGAACTTGTCGTTAAACAGACGAGTGATGGAAACAAACAATGCCAAGAAAACGCTCACCGCTCATTTGAAAAGGGTAGGATGGAAACATCATTTCCGGTTTATACTTGTTCATTATCGTAGTAATTATGTTGAATTAATAACAGGTTCATACTTCACTGGAGGATACTCTTAGTTTTGTTTTGTGGCCGGGTATTACCGTATGAATTAGAGGGCATTGTGACTCTTGACCTCCCTAACTTGAGTTGTTATAGTTGTAAATTGTGCGTTAACTTTTTTTACTTATGGCACAGGGGAAGAGTAAATCCTTTTGTATTGTAGCTTAAACCCAAAAATCTGACAATAAAAGTTAAGACTTGTTTTGACATTTCTAAGGTGTAAGTACAGAAAGTTTGCTTTATTACATGTTTGGATTTCTTTAGCATCTTTCAAATCCTTCTTCTTATAATCTTGCAAGAGAATGAATCTAAAATTAAAGATGAGAAAAAAAAGAATGCAAAAGAGAATTCTTGTCTAAAGCGTCGTAAAGTACACTAAAGTCTACATAAAAAAGGCTGCCATTGTCTAGGTTGTTATTCATGATCAAAATATTTTTTGTAAAATGTGAAATAAAATTAATAGCTTTATCAGAAATTGCACTTTTCATGTTTGTGGCCGACAAAAAGGAGGCAGAAAAGAAAATTAAAAATTGTCAAGTGTGCTTAAAACTTGACTTCTGAACGGCCCTCGGAACGGCTTTGTTCATTTCAACAGAAAGACGATAAATGTGTGTTTGGTAAAGCATTTTTTCTGAAAATCTAGGTTACAGATGAAATGGCAAAAATGAGAGAGACTATCGACATGCTGAAAAAGTCCATATACGAGAAGGAGAAATACATGCAGGTCGCTCAGACACGTCTCGAGAGACGCGGGTACAGACCAAACATGGAATTATGTCGCGACATTCCCAAGTATCGATTGGTCGACGAAGTACGGATCTTGAGGCTGCTATTGAATCTCTAAAGCGCAGACTCCAGGATGCGATCCGCGGCTATCAAGCTTTGGAGCAACAAAAAATTTCTTTGGAGCAAGATATTGCAGTGAAAACGACAACCTTGGAAATTGATCGCGATCTCTGCTATCGCATGCGACAAGGGATGTCCTGGCAGCCATTTCTTATGAGTACTACTCCTAAGTTAAAAGATGGTGCGTGCCATCGCCAGGCAACGCCACCGCGCCTTCTGAGCCGGCTGTCCAACCGACCAGTCACAGCGCGTTCGATTACCACGCCTTTGTCAAGATGTGGCAAACTAGAGGATGGCGTGCGACATCAGAGTCCCGCTGGTGATCTATTTGGTCTTCCACCTTCTCGTGGAGGCCTGCGAAGTTCAAACCGGCTTATAACGTCGGTTTTAGACTAAGAAGTCAAGACACCTTGATTCGTTGATGACAAACAACAAGCTGTTCAACTTTTCTAATTTACCTATTTATTTCAACAAAACTTTATCCATATTTACTTCGCGTGAAGTAGCTAAAAATATTCTTCAAATGATTCAGTGCACCAATTTTAAATAAATCGTCAAGCAAATATTTTTCGTTTGATACCTCAGCATGATTGATGGTAAAACTGTTTATATTACGAAATTTTATCACGTAGTTTTTGGTTTCATTGCAAAGAATATTTAAAATGACTCGACGACTTTAATAAAGCGTGTTTGTGTTCTTTTCAGAGTTATTTAACTTTAATTACTTATCATGCAAATAACTTCCTTGTGATATCATATTTCTTCAAAAACCCATTTTATAGAGCATCCTTTTCGTCCGTGGTTAAAGCATTCTATTAATAAGTGCAAGACTTCATGAAAAAATAGACAGATCCACTTGTTTATGTGGGTGAAATAGTTTTAGAAATGAGACATCTTCACTGTCGAAAAGAAGAGATAGGATATAATCATGTGGCAAAGTTTGCTTGCAAATAAACTTACAATAAAGCAACACTGGCGAAAACGTTTGTTCCACACCCCTCCCACCGTCCATTTATGGAAAAATGCAGAAAAAATTCTGTTTGTCGTTCTGTCGAATCGTGGATCTAGGGTGTGCCAAAATTGGTTAGTGAAGCTCAATGGATCCACTACTTGTGCAGTCGATGCAACGTATCTATGCTGCCAAATGCAATAGGTTGTAAAAACGCACCCTCCTAGAAGTGGTGTCACCACGATTTTTTGGGGGAAGGGAGAAACTATCGAGACTCTAGAATATCGAGAATACTATCAAGATGCGCTGTCCTAGTGATTTGCGTTACCCTGTGAAATTTGTTACTTCAGGCAAAACTGTCTTCGAATATGAACGAGTCATGCGCGCAAAAAGTTTGTTCGGTAAATTTTATTGTTGATATGTAGTTGACCACAACATACAATAAGCAGTCTCAAAGACTGTTTTCTAATATTTTACTAACATTTTAATAACTAATATCTAAAACGGGCAATGCCTATATTTTCCATCGCCATACAAATCATCAACGAAATTGAATTTCTGAAAAAAATCAAGACGATAAACTGCTGTTATCATTGCTGGTAAAAGATATGGCTCTTCTCCTAAAGATGCGTTGTAGTGCATTTTAGATGCACAAATTTCAAGGGAGCACAAATCGATGTGATACAGCCCCCACTTTCTCTAAGAATGGGCAATAGTGAACGAACTTTATGTAAATAATAGATTATTCTTTTGCTATCAAATTGTTTGTAGTGCCTAGAAGTCCTACTTTTATCTAAAATGAAGAAAAAGTCGATTTGCACAAATATTTTGGGGAGCGACACAAGAGCCAGAGTGAAGGGCTTTATCGATATCGAGATCAAGCTAGAAAGCAGGACAGACTGGGTAAGCAGGACACGCGGAACAGACTGGGTGAACAAGACAAATTGAGTAAACAGGACAGATTGGGTTAACAAGATAGACTTGCTTACCCTCATACCAATAAATTTGCTTATTTATCGGACATTTGCTTTCAGGATGGAGCACATGCTCTGTTAGTCTCATGCATCGAACTAAAATACATGGAACGCTACCTGTAATACAAAAACCTAATAATTTTTTGAAGCCAAATTTTACACTCAGACACGAGTGTGTAATCAACAATTTTCAGAATCTCAAAACACTAAACACGCGTGTTTGGGTCTAAACTCGCGTGTCTGAGTGTAAGATTTTGCTTCAATTATTTGCTTAAGTTGGCGTTCCATATATTTTAGTTCAATGGTCTCATGTTGTTAAACAATTAAAATTAGTCAAGATGGCGAATAATTTTTCATCTCCGTACGAGGTTTTCCTTCGTTTTAAACATCGTTTGTTTTTAATTGTTTTGGCAAAGAATTATAGTCTGACAGCACATCAGTAAAATCACCAACTCTACGAACGATAGATATATAAAAAAGCAAGCCATAAGCGAATGCCCCCATATTGTACATAGTTATGCGGTTACGAGTGATTGCGCTTTTCTTGAATGCCAATTTGCCATAAAATTTTTCAAAAGCTTTTTCAATATTAAAATGGCAGAGATTGTTTGGCAGACAACTTATCAAGATTAGTCATCATCAAAAATAAAGCAAAATTGAAAATGAACTGCCTCTGTCAGACGAAATTGATAGTTATAGTTAGTTGAACAGTTTATTAATATTTACAAATAGCAGTTCATAGATGTAAATTACATACACAAATAGTTTTATAGAAAATGCTGCTATGCATGAAGCATTAATAGTATATAGTAATATTATTGAAAATAGCTAACACTAACACAAATTTATGTTGAAGGAGCAAAATAGTTAATAAAACAATCCCCAAATCGGTCCGCCTGGAAAATAGGAAATGCATCTTTTGCATATGATCAAAGTTGAAGGTCGTTTTAGTTGTAATTTTACTATGTTGCATTCGTATCGCAGTGATGGTGGCATGAAAACACTCGGGTCTTCGTGTAAGCAGTTTCAAGTGGTGTTGGAAATAGGATTAGGTGATAAAAATAGGCAGATATTGTTTTTTTGAATGACACGTGCGCCCGTCATGCATGACCGACATTTGGCGACATTGTGACACGTGCCACAATAGACCTGTTGAGACTATGGTTGATACACAATACCGCCATTTTCGTGAATCAATAGCAATCACTGGAAACTTTCTTATCATTTTTAGCAACGTAGGACATTTGCTTCATCATCATGATCTTTTCGTTCATTTTACTAACAATTCACGCTTTCTTTCTTTCGCGCTATAAAACTTACCGATGGACGGGAAACCCAGACAAAGAAGCGTGATCTTGAAAGAACTCCATTATTCTAATTGTATGTTTCATTGCAGTCGACCATTTTATGTCGACTGTGTCAAAGAAGCTATAAATGGAACACGTTACTAGCGTATCCAACACATTGATGTCAAAGATCCCTTTCAACTTCAAACTATCCCGTCTTTCTAATTGTTTCATTTTTTTATTTTGTTTAATCCATTTTGTTTTTACTATCAAAGCAACTATAGTGCTTATAAAAAGTGCATCGAAATTTAACATGTTATCGTGTACTTTATAGTGTGTTTTTTGTTTATGTTTTACAAGCCATAAAACATAAGCATTTCAGCTTTCCAATGATATGTTTTTCATTTCATAACAATCAGAAATGATGGATTAACCTTCAAATAAAATTGCCTTTTTCCACTTTTGGGAATTGAATACATTTATTGAAGATTCTCTTGCGTGTTACCTGGTTTACTGCACACAATTCTCAACCATGGAAAAATGCGATTTGGACTTGTATTTATTTGAGGAATACTCTATCATTTCTGAGGCACAATATAGAGAATATACAGTAGAGCCGCTCCATTGAATTTTCTTGTGCCACGCGTATCTACCGTAGTGGCAGCCTGTCAATTGTAATTTCTGACCAATAGGAATGATGAAATGGCTTACGACATCCAGTAGTCTTATTAAATATACAGCATATTCCCTATACTGTATATTCCCTATACCAGGGGTGGGCAACATACGGCCCGCGGGCAGGGTCCGGCCCCTGAAGGGATTTTGACTGTATCCGACCATCTAATATTGAATATTATTCATGTAATAATTCGGCCCACCAATAACTTCATTTTCCTAAATCTGGCCCGCCGACTGGAGAAGTTGCCCACCCCTGCCCTATACTGTGTCTGAAGGTTATGGAATGAAAAAGGATATCATTGGAAGCTCAAAAGCTCTTTGTAATTTAACCAAACCGCTGACGCAAACTCGACGACTCAAGGATTATATGGGAAGTGGGGGATACGAGAGGGCTGTTGTAATATATGAGTCTAAAAACATTTTAATTTTCCCACTAAATACAACATTTGCGCGCGGAAGTTGAATACAAAACTGTTGGACACCAGTTGGGATCATATGAATGGCCTCGGCAAACTTGCTAGCCCGGCTTAGGCAGGCTGGCCCGTCTCATACGAACAGGTTCATAGAACCCAATCTACTAAATATCTCATACCACCAAAATTCTATAGTTATTAGTAAGGCAAGCCGCCATCTTGAGAAGTAGAAAACGTACGATATTTAGGACTAAAATGTGCTTCTTCTGCGTTTATATACAGTTGTAAAATTTATAGTATGAGCCTGATGGTTTTTATAATGTTTGATAGAATTGTTTTACGAAAGTTTCCTTTAACTTATTTTTGCTGAGAGCTTTGCTTTTTGCCACCTTTAAGATGCCACACAGCCTTACCTGGGATAGTTATAATTTTGTGAAATTATTTTTTACAACCATGCTCTAAAAAATCATTAATAATGATGATTCAGTGTTGGGAAATGTTACAAGAAGTAACATGAAAGCGTTGACGATACTTGTGAGCCTGCAATTCATGACATGCAGGCACTGCCTGCCGAATGGTATTTTCGAAGCCTGGTTCTGAAATACTTGGCTCATTCGTCTCTAGAAGGCAAGACGATAGGCGATAAGACAGAGTTTTATCCAAAAAAAATGAGACAATAACTGAAACGATTCGGTTGAAGAAACACATAAGTTCAGAACAGATTAAAGTTAGAAACAAAAACTTTGCAAAGTTGCCCACGATTCGCGAATCTGATTCCATGACCATTGTGAGGCTGCCATAAGTGAACGCGCATATAAAAAATAATAATTTTGCACTGTACTTATTCGAAACTGGCCTTTGAAAGGAGTCCCGTTCAGCTAAGACTCGAACTTGTTGGGATCTTAGTAAACTTAGGCTTGGGTTAAGAGGAATTCAACTGAAGAAACATTTTCTTTTGTCATCATTACCAAAGCATTCGCTTTACTAAATAAACAAATACAATTGCATTTGCATTATAAAATGGCAGGGACAGTGTTTCCTCATAAACAAGAACGTTTATTCTACTTTATTACATTCAAAGCGAGAGAAATGTGAGCTTAGAAACAAAATTGCGTCAAATTTCTCAATATGAACGGATTATTGTTAAGTCGAGAAGCAAAATTCCCATTAGTCAACTCAAGATAAAAGCAGCTGGTGGCACTGTAGGTTGTTTGTGCTGTAAGTCCAACAAAAACCTTTTAACGTCTTTATGTACTCGGTTATTGAAAGCTAAAGATACTCCGCTTGTATTTAAATCCTTTTCACATAAAATTTAATCCACAATAACGAATTTCGACTTAATCATTGTTGTCAAAGAATGCTTATTGCCTTATGAAGCAGTTGAGGCCGAATTTGTTCAGCAAACATATGGATATAAATAGTTTGTTTAACACAAAGCGAAAGCAAATATTGCTTCAGAACACTGGAGTGTTTGCGTCAATGAAAGCGCTAACTAATTTACTTTTAAGATAGCTCTTTTCCTGGCGTTGAAATTTCAAATATAGTTGCAAATTACACGTGTTACAATAGAAATATACGAAAGCGAATGACATCCGAATGCGTCATTTTGGAAAAGGCTTAACTCTCTAGACTTTAGTCCTTGTGTGACCAACACTGTTTAAGATATTTGTTCAGTTCTTAGTAGATCGAAGCTATGTAAACACCGAGACAAATGTAAGAAAAATGATGCATCCAATTAATCTGTCTGCTTCTAAGTGAAGAAGATTTGGCAAACAGTTTTTGGATATTGGTCCAAGGTATTTTTCAACTGCAAACTTTGACCAAAGTCAAATAGCACACCCATCAAAATGAGGCCCCCTGCCATGCCCAAGCGTTTGAGATAATACATGAATGATTTTTGCTCGATTCTGAATTAATGATTGATTCTGAACTACTAGTAAATTCTATCGGTTTGTTGTTTAACCATAGACATCTTAATATTAATATAAAGGGCATATAATAGTGAAACTTAAATAAAAATTGATTGCAGCATTGGTAATATGCAAAATTTGAAAGTTTCTACAGCCAATCATATTAAAGGAAAACAACTTCCCGTCGCTCTTTGTAAGAGTTGTTATTTCTAAATATAAGTCGTAAACCCAGCATGTCAAACAGACGACGCAAACAAACATTCACGAGTTACACGACAGCACAAATCGAGAAGCAAAAACAATATACTTTGGTTTTCAAAATCATGTGCAATCCTCAAAGCAAATTTATCAAAAACCAAACCATCTTCTCAACAAGATTGTACTGATTTTGACACGGAAGTTTTTCTCGCTGATATTGTACGTCATCATTATTAAGGCATATTTAACACCAGGAATCCCACACACCTGAAAAGAGAACTCCTTGTTAAAGAATTGTAGAATTCCTCTTTAAGGATAAGTAAAATTCTAGAGTTAAGTCATTAAAAACAAATTTTATTCATAAAAAATGGAGCAGTACAATTATTTTACTATACATAACATAAAGACGTGACGTTGCAATTACGCTTTTTGCACTTAATAAAAGTTTTTATCTCGTCTGCAAGCAAAAGATAAGATGTAGATTCTAAATGCTTTTCTTTAATATATTATATTTTTTCACTGATATACATGTATAATTATGAACATTGTTATCATGCATAAATCGTGTGGAGTTTAAATTTTCATGAAATAATCTGGTTGTTGTATTTGTTCAAGGATCGAGAAAGACAAAACGGTCCATGCATCCTTATTACCTGTATTGAAAGTCTAGCAACTGTGCAAGCTTTGTCTTAGCGTGTAAACTAGACATTAGACCAGCATGCACCATCGTGGGAAACTGAATTTTTACAAGACACTTTTCCACTTCACCTGCCTTGCAGCACTGGTGATAATTTAATCGTTGTGTTTTCGAGTAAACGTGGCTTTCTTTTAATGGCCACATCCTGTCTCGCAAAATGCAGTAAAAATACAACAAACCGTTGAAAATACGCATCAGCACAGCGCTTTGACGTAGAAAAGATTGCCTGGATAGCTTTTTGTTTTATACATAGATAGTCATTAAAATGTAAGGTTTGTGTTTGATACATTTGTGTTCTCTATAGATCCAGATGAATGCAAGCCAAAATCACCTTCAATATATTTAATTATGAAAGACAATTAGTAGTTTCCTATCATGGCGAGCTTTCATTTCAGTCAATAATACAAAAGCATTAAGCTGTGTATCTTAACAAAAACGTCATCTAAAGTTTATATGGAAGATAATAGGGCTTTAAACGTGTTATCTGGCGGTCCGTGAAAGCGGTCTGAGAGACTGAGACGGAGCAACTAAACATTACCCAAAAACATTGTCTGAATCTGACCTGAAGCCAGTCAAAGCTTCTTTAAATATGGACATAACGCATCGCGACTTTTATATAGAAAATGCTCAAAATATATTCATGTCAAGCAAAAAGAATTTTTATACACTTTCAAAGAAGTACTTCAAAAATATATGACTATAGCCAAAGCACACTCACTGTTTTACGAATTGACAACAAGCTTAGAGCATTCACATGAAATCCAAAGCTCACGTGATTTGATCAAAAGACGTATAGAGTCCCACGTTACACATAACAAGACCTGGGTGAGTGTGTCCAATATTATTTCGGTTTTTTTTACCCTGTTAACTGTGTTTATGTCTGGTTTAAATCCCTTTTCTGGGTCATTCATGCGCGATCTGTATTTTATAACAGGTAGTATATACACAGATTAACTGTGCTTAAAGCTCGTTACCAATGTTTGTCGTATTGTCTAGCTTGTCTTCAATTGTCGTGTTTGTGTCATGATGTCAGTCTCAGAGATGTTCTCGATTGTCTTTTGCTTGTATGTTGCTTGTTCCCATAAAATCATCTCATTTGCCATGCATTTTGTTAACGGATTACATACGCTCCCTTTCATGTCTGATAGGATTTTGAATATTCTCCTAACCAAGAATAATTTGGCCCAAACTGACTCCTAATCACTTGGCATTCATCAAACATCAGTGAAACATGCCATTTAAGAACGATTGCGAACAATTCTCGTTAATTCTTTAAGCAAACAATAAAAAACAGGTTTGTCTACAGATTTTAAATATAATTATAATACCGATTCGCGTTCTTTACATCCAAGTCTGTGTTGCAGCAAAATGAGAGCGAAATCTTAACAAAGAATCTTCTCTGCTTCGTGTTTATCAAAAAAAGATTTTATCTGATTAATGATCTTCATAAATCAGGTTAATAAAACTATATTTCCCGCATATTTTAAAAAATATAGATATATACCGACATAAATAAGTCTATATGAATGGCTTGGATAGTACCAAGTACGGATATTGCACATATTTTATTCTGCCATAAATATTTTCTTTTTAATATTTAAAATATCACACGTTACATGGTAAACATTATGTTAAAACCTGCAATCCATTTCAAAATTCCTAAATAGCCATAATCACTGTGGGGAGTGATGTGTGAAATGAATATCGAAATTTTCGTTTGTGTACAAAAAATACGGGCTTTTTTCGACATCGAACGTAGAAAAACATTGAAAAACCGCTTCAGATACAAGACAATCGATATATAGTATTGCCATTACCCACAATTGCAACAATGAACAAACCAATTTCTTGCATGAGAACGTTTGACGTTGAATATTTAATTTAAATTACAATACTTTGGAAGAAAACGAGACAATCATGAATTGGGCGAATGAACATACCGTACTAACTAAATTAATTGATTGCTAATTCCTCCCATTAATGTATAATCTCACAACTAAACTCCCATAGGAGGAAAAATAAATTCAGGCAAGTTTATACGGCAGCAACCCGCTATCTTTCGCTCATGAATTCATCACTTCACTATTAAACACTTGAACACACGAGTGTGGATACAAAGAAAGATCTTCAGTCACGATATTGTATGCTAGGGGGCGATAGGTATAAAATAACTGCTGGCGTTTGTGTCCACATTGTGCAAAAGCATTTTATCGAAGTTCAAACTTGGTCTGCAGATTCTTTTCACAGAAAGATGATCCTCTTCTTCGATTGATCTTTTCCGCGTGTGATTTTTTATAAGAGGGCACCTATTTTTAATGTCTGTCGTTTTTGGTGAAACGCAGGTTCTACCTTTAGAACACTCGCTAAAAAAGAAACCCGAAATTTCGTCGTCCTCACTGTCAGACACAGCGCTTTCAAATTCCAAGGCTTTAGACGCGATACTTTTGTTTGCTTTGACAGGACTCACACGACCCGAGTCCATAGTGAATTGTTGGCTGACAGTAAGCTGGTGTTTTTTGTCCGTAGAGCGTTTGGGGCTATTTCTAGAACTGTGTCTAATTGTTGCTTTATTCGCTTGCTTTTGAGCGCGATCGTTTTTCTTTGGCATAAAGTCGCCATTGGCTTTAAACTCGAACGGTGAAACAGTTCGTAAGACCGCGGTGTCCGTAGTGAAGCCGAATTTCGGTTGTAAATATAACGCGTAATCTTTCGTCTGCCAACGTTGTCGACAATCCGGCAGCTGAAAGCTCTCTTTGATCGACTGTCTTTCAAATTTCAAAGCCACATCTTCGATGAAAGGGTAAAAACCTGTTGTTAGGGCCATATTTTTTTGAGTTGTAAAACTAATGATCCCTTCGCTGTTGTTCTTCTCGACGCAATGGTGAAGCGAATGAGCACTTCTCGAGTAGCTCGCGCGGTAATCATTCATGTACGGGTCATATGCAAGAATAATGGCACTGGGAAGACCAGTCAACAATTACTGCTGTGCACTTGACATATCATTAAAACGTTGCGTCCTGATTGGTGGAAATACCATAATGCTAACGTGCAATGTGGACAAAGCGTAAAGCAGCGCAAATTTCTACCGATTTCTTCAAATGATTCATAAATGTATACAAGGGAACGCTGTAGATTTTGTTTTATGTATCACGTTAATTAAAGGTTGTAGAGGATTAGCCTAGAATAAGTTTTATTCATGAAAGTTATCATGAGTCAAGCGTATCCTTCATTCTACAAGTCTTGCGCAAAATGTCCCTTTAAACGAAGACTTTGTCTTTGCCGTAACATATATCTGCTGGTGAGTTTACCTAGCTAGAGTTCCAATCGATTATAATTGCTACATTAATAATAAAACCACGTGTTTGGGTTTTACGGCATTCGTTTGACTTTTAAATAACAGCAAAAGTCCACGTCAAGAGCACACACAGGGCGGGTAGCGATAGCGTGTCAATAATGACAATAATAAACTATTTCGTACGTTGTTCAAGGTAAATTTAGCATTGCCGATACGAAAATGTATCAACGATGTACTTTCAATATTATCGAACACAATTTTGACGTCTCCGTACCGTTTAACGAAAAAACGTACTTTAATTAGCGCGTCGTGCAGGCACTGCTATCTATTTATAGTCACTCTTATCTTTTTAAGGATTACGTTTCGTGTTTCGGAGCACATGATAAAAAACTAGCACACGTACTTTGCAAGAAGCGAGCTATAGCTACGCACAATATTGAACGAAATCTATGTATATCAACGTGATTGTTAGACGAGTTTAACAATTGCAAAAGCACGCTTCTTGTAACAAGGAATAAGTCTGTTGGGTTTACGATACAGAATTTTTTTTTGTAAGTTCGTCAAGTCAAGTTTTGCGCATTTTAAATGCTGTGTGTGTCAGTGTGTGTGTCAGTGTGTGTGTCAGTGCTATGACGAAATTGTTATTAATTTGAAAAGCGTGTCTAGTTGCAACAGGATTCTTTGCAAGACTGCATTAGCGTATGATCATCTTTTGTCAATGTAATGTTAATATTATATTCCCCCTTGTTAAGTTTACGTTGTTGCATACGTTTTGTCAATATTACTGAAATTCACGACCCTACAAATAAAATAATAATAATTATTTAATTACTATAGCTGTTCATTCAAGCCTGGATAAGGCAAAGCTCAAGTCAAAAAGTTTGATTTAAACTGAACAATCAATGGATCATAAAACATTTCCCCGTTTCTGAACATAAATTACGAGCCTTTAAATGTCTATAACTAACGGACTATTAAGTCAACAGAGCTTTAGGTAAGACTATTTTACGAATGAACGTCCGTTAAGAAATTTGTTGGCAAACATACCGATTGTTGCTCAATTAATAAGAATAACAATTCAACTCTATTTGCATAACTAAACATGCAACTGTCGACAGTGAACTTGAAATTCTCTCTTCATGTTTAATTTTTCGATAAAAGTTTCTAGTTTCCAGAATTGTTATGATGAAACGTGATTGACCGTGGTAAAATTGATGAAATAGCAAATACAGATGACGAGAATATCGACTTAAGATGGCTGAAGTATAGACCATGATGTGAACCCAGAAATCCAAAAGAGGTGATAATTTCTTCTCTTAAATTTACCCGAGAATTGCATAGCCTTTACCATTGATAATACAGCACCAGAAAAATAAAACTACACATTGTATTTAGATATGATCGAACTGCAAATTCTCCATACAATATAGTAATGTTTTATGTGCAGGAATATGCTAATATATTGTAATTGACCAATCAGTACATATTTTGGTAACTTTATATTAAAGCTATAAAGTAAAGTCACAATTAAATCCCTTATATCGAGAAAACAAATACGACTTCACATAAGATACCGTATTCGTAAAGATATCAGGTTTTTGAAGGCTCAAATGACCAAACGCTACACGCAGGTTAAAAGCGGCTTTGCTTGTTAGCGGAAGTTTAAAATTAAATTCGTCGCTTTTTGACCGGACATTGCTTTTAACAGTTCATTTTAAAGCCATTAACCGCGTGGAGAACCCTGTCAACACACGCACATTGGTTACTTAACAATACACAAGGCAGCTGAAATGTGTTATGTTTATAATATTCATTTAAAATACATCGCTAATTAGTGCATAGCATATGCTCTTTGCAATTGAGGCAAGCCCAACCAGGCTTTGAAGGCAACAGCAGCAGCAAATGTGCGGCTAAAAAAATTTGTGATAAAAAGCTTTCAGTTCTTTATATGGCGAATCCTTGTCAACGTTTAAATTGTAAAACGACTTGAAATGTGCGAAAATAGGCGAAAAATGATATCTCCATAATCTCCATTATATGTATGAAACATATGCTTCCATTACAAAATGCAATCATTGTGAAAATTTGAATGGAACAAAGGCTTATCTATGTAATACATGCTTCATTTTTCATGTCAATGTAGCAACTGCTACAAATTGTGTAACAGCCATATTTGGAAACTTTGGTCATACTATTACAAAATAGGTAAAAAAAACCGAATTGTTTGGAGAAAGAAATATTTTTCAACCAGCGACCTTGACCGATCAGTGAGCAAACGGCACATATTGAAAGACATATTGGCACTGAAAATTCTAATCTTGTTCTATTCAATATCGATCAACAAAACCGTTCATTCATTTAAGCCGTCAAAACAAGACAAAAGATTGTAACAGACAACTTGAGCAATGGTAGAAATAGAAAACATCTATCCAGTATATTGCTCAAAGGAAGTGCCTAAATTTTAATGATAATTTCGTCAATGGCACCTTTCAGTACCTTTGAAAGATATAAATGGGCGAGGTAGACAAAATAATGCAAATTGCTACATATCAACAATCGAGTCAACAATAGTTACAGTCATTGCAACGACTAACTACTGTTAAGATTACAGGATTAAGTAGTTTTTCCTGTTTTGCAAAATAAAAAATTTTGTTATGACACTGTCAAGCGTATACGTCCTGAATGGAAATTCAACACGAAAATAAGAACGTTTATCGTTCGAGATCTTGTTTTTAACGGAAAATTAAAAAGAAAGTAAATAGCCCCAACAGGAATAGGGAAGGACTAAAGAGTTATTATTATGGTAAGATACTTCATCGAAACCCACCAGCAATCATGAACGGGGGTGCGACGAGGCTTTAGGCTTTGGAAGGCGATCTTAAAACCAAATATCGAAAACGTATGTTTCATTTATGTGACACGAATGACAAATTGTTGTTGCCAGCGCAATAGGAGTTTCTTTCCTCTACTTTAGGCAGTTTAGTCGTCATGAATAACAAGTGCGCCGCCATGTTCCACTCACAAATATGCAAAATGGTTTAAAAAGTTCTTTTAATCATCGCCATGCTTAAAAGAACTTCACGCTTGCTGCATGGCCATGAATATAAGTATCATTTCATAAATCAAACATCTTGCCGACGCCTTTATCGCTTTGTCAAACCAAATATCCCCTTTTCATTCAATATAAATTGAAAATGTTGAAACGCAAATATTGTGAAATGCACAATAAAAGTGTAGCTATTCTGCCTTCCCATCTCAGCTCGCCGATAAAAAAACATCCAGAAAGTTAAGTAATATTTCAAAATATAATATTGCTGCAAGCCTTATAAGTATTATTAAAATTGCTCAACATGCAATTGTTTACCTTGCCATTTTAGCCAAAATATCTTTCACATTTAATAATCCCCGCTATCATCAAAAATATTGTCTTCGGGTTCACAAATGAACCAACACGTGTATTAGATTGTTATTCAAATCACCAAAACAATGACAGCAATTAAACACAAAGACAAAATACTCTTGGACTTTGCATTGTGAGCAACTCTTTAGGTAAAATTACTATCCGTCAACACTGGCGAAAATGGTAAATGCATGGTTGGAGTCAGATAAAACATGAAGCTTAAAACAGATTGACGCGAACACGCTTTCACACAACTTGATTTTGTACAACAAATATTGAAGTTATTAATCACCTTGTGTGTTTTTCACACTTCCTCGGGGATCTTATCGACAGACTAAGAAATATTTTTCCTTGTGGTATAACTGAATCGTAATACACAAAGAATAACAATACCTGCGTGATGGCCATTGCCTCGTAAACTTGAAGAGTTGTGGTCTTCTGGGATACTAAAATGATATGTCATTTTCATTGATTGTATTCAAATGAAAAAGGGACCGATTTGAGTCGTGAACATCAGCATGTTTGTAGTACTTGTTAGTTGTTACCTCAATAAACAAGTTTGTGTATGAAGATTGTCAAGGTGAGTAGAGTGCTGAGAAGGACTGTTGGTATTGATGTAGAAACGTCAGTCTACATCAATACCAACAGTCCTTCTCAGGACTCTACTCACCTGGACGATCTACATCCACAAACATGTTACGATACTCCCGGGTTCAAACCATTTACTTCAATAAACAAGAGTATCTCATCGTCTTGTTTAATCCAAAATGTTGTGATTTATCCATTTTATTGAAATAAATACTACATAATAATGAACCATTTTACTGTTTGAGAAGTATTCCGTTTGAAGGGGTTCAATAGAGTAAGGTGATGGCAGGCGTATTTACTAAGCTGAACACACAGGTTACATTCATAGTCTAATTTGACTTGAATTGCAATTACAATTCGATAAAAATTATCGGACACAACGCATGCGCAGAACTATAACTAGAAAGGTTTGTAATTCTCATTATCGTTTATGTTTTGATTCATAAAAATGAACATTCACAATTCAATTCAATACGTGTACAAACGTAAAGCCTTTAAAAAGATGGCTTTTGACTGAGCTGGTGACATACGTTAAATAATCACGATGTTTTCTTAGATCAACAAGCTCGCTGGCATGAGCTAGTCAAACTTAGTACTTCAAAATAATTTAAATATTTGGGAATATACACACAAGCACAATCGTTTTGTGTGAGCTGAAAGTTTTAGGCGAAATAAAAAGTCGCTTTTTGTACTTAGAAATACATCATTCATCAGGCACAACATACATACATGAATTTGCAAATCAACTGATTTTGCTAGGGTAGATTTAGCGTACAAGTCAAAATGAATCAAAACAGCTCACGAACGGATGTATTCACAATTCAGAATGTTCATATAAACAGACTCTATTTGTAAAATTTTCAGTATATTTCGAAATGAAAAGAAAGTGTCGATCTGTATGTTCTTCCACAACAAAGTACAAACTTTCTATTGCAAACTTTGGTAAAAAATCATTTTCGTAGCTATAGAGACGTGTTTCAGATGAATGAAATTTATGAATTTCCTTAGTAAATGAAGCGACATTATATAAAAATATATTTGTCTATGGCATGTGTATTTTGTCGAAAACAACGTACACGAAAAAAACATCAATTTTTATGATGTGCCAAAACACTAGATATTCAAATGCGAGAATTTGGATCTCTGTACCATTTTGCACTCGAGTTGACATTGCACAACTTCTTGTTCATTTGCATTCAAAAGTTTAAAGGACAAATTCACAAATCAATTTTGAGAACTCAAATTATTTACTTTAAAGAATGTGCATCAACCAAGATGCACTGCGCGCTTTCGTTTATGTTCAAATCGTTAGCTTTTGAGCTTGAGGCACACTGAATTCAATTTCATTACTACGTCGTCTATATTTCATCTGAAAAAGTTAGAAAAAAATATGGATTAAAAACTCTATTTTACATCAATTATCATCGTTTGTCTATGAGTTGCATGAACTACAATAAAAAATCTGCCATTTTCTCGACACACAAAATGGCTGTCACGCTGTGAATAACGCGCTATGCATTATTGTTGACATACATTCTTTAAGCTAAAATTGACTGAATATTTCAAATTCAGAGTAAAAAACAACAATAATACCATAACTAGCATATCGTCGTCAGTTAATAAACGCTTGTATGGTAAGTGCTCATTCACACACTCTCACTGTGTGCGATGTTAAAATCACGATGTTTCTGATCTTTGGCAAATTAAATCATTTCTACTGCGATGACAAGATTTTCTTTGAAATATTTTAAATCATGCAATCGGTGTTGTGAAAATGCAGTCCCGATGAATAATTATGTGATGATTTCTAATCCCAACTCAATAGTGAGGGCGAATTTGTTTTTAGAATACGAGCGAAATTAAGTCTTTGGTAGACAATATGGACTGAGAGAGCCAGTGGACAAACTTCGTTTCCGACACGACAGAACACGAAAGACACTGCTGTTTGTGAAGGTTAATCATCATGATGAAGCAATATAACTTGCTCACCGAATGCCGACTTTAAAACTTCTCGGCATATTGATTCTGTTATCAAACTGCGCTCTCATGTCGCTTGTCGGCACGCGTGCTCAGACAATTGTGTTTGTAATGGCTTTCAGCAATTTACAGTACAACAAACGAATTCTTTGTGTTCTCGCACACCCTCACACAATATAATGAGATAGTAATCTTCATTTCAAGAAGCTGTCTCGCTTTCATGTAATGGTCACTTAACTGAGCACATGTGTTAACAGGGTAACACAACACGACTGTTTCCTGATTACATAAGTGAGCGCTCTATAAAGACCGACATGAAAGACTTCCTGCGCAGTTTTAAGATTTTGATAATTTTTGTTCGAGATTTGAATGCAGCAAAATAGCCGTTTTGAGAATCAATTTCTTTATTTTCTCGAATTTCAACGCTTTCTTCTTTGCTATTCCCTTATTAAGTACTGCTCACAGATATAGTGCAGCCGAGTTTCTTAGAAACTATACATTTATACATTACGGACATTACAATCCTTTATCATGTCGTAATCATTCTTTTAGACTTTACAATTTACACAAGATCATTCATGGGTCCTTTACGATAACGAATCATAAACCTTACATGTTGGTTTAGTCATGCATCCTAAAACTGCAATACATATATAGCAACATGTATTTCAATAGAATAATATGATCCTTAAACAGCTTCCCACGATAGTTCGACATATTATTGTACATTGTGACCGGCTTTATTGGCCCATTATTACTAATGAAGTATTGAATACTGGATACTATACAGTATATATTTATATTATGTACTTATAGTCGGTATTCTTGACGATAGTGTTATTTTAGTAAATTAGTCAGCAACTAAAATAGTCATTGAAAAGTCAAAATAAAACATACTTGGACGGCGCTGACGCAAAAATAGATTTCTGAAGAAACGAATAGAAATGTTCTCTCAACAAGACCAAATTTGATGGCTAGCCGCGATACTTATTTCGAGACGACAGATTATTAAGAAATTATAATTGGAAGATGTTGAAAATAAAACTGCAAGCATGTCTTTTATTGAAAAGTCTTCTCTCATTGATACAATAGTACAGTAAAATAAAAATGTATGTGTTACACATGTAATATGCCGCCCCAAGTAAAACACGTCAATAAAACAAAACTACGTTAATTTACATGCATTCGCATAAAACTTCAGAAAAAATCCAAAAATTCATGCAATTTGCATTTCCATGCATTAATAACTCATATTTACAGAAAAAAAAGTTGAATTAACGAATAAACCATAGACGGATTTTCATATTTTTTACAAGGGTGGTGCTAAAAACTTTAGGGGAGGGGGTTGAGCTGGTAATGAAGTGACGTAAGACAATGTAAGGATCCGGAATTCAGGGCAGTCTGGTAGTGCAGCCATCGAAAGTTGTGTAGATAGTTGAAATATTGCCCTGAAAAACTCAGTTAAACTGTACCTGAATTGTTTTGATAAAAATTTTGGGGTGTGTGAAATGATTCTTAGAGGGGTAAACAATATATTTAGGATGGTGAAATCTGATGTTTGGGCGTGGCATTCCCTTGCACCCACAGTAAATCCGTCTATGGGATGAACTCTAAAGTACATATCATGTGGAAATGACATTGTACGTCAATAAGGATGTTACATGCATACAAAAAGAAAATGATACATAAGAAAATGAAAGTAATTAATTTTCTTGTATTTGTTTCATAGTGAAGATGGTATATAAGAAATAAATGTTCTTGATTTCTTTACACTTATGTCATAGTGAAGATTGTAAATAAGAAATCCATGTACTTGATTTCGTTACACTTATGTCATAGTGAGAATGGTACACAAAAAATCAATGTACTCTCTTTAATCAAAGTGTGACTCCCAACACTATAGTGTTTACATTGTCCTGTCATACATATACAGATTTTCTAACACCTTTCAATGCACATTTCACATGGCAATAAAAGTCGATGTAGATACAATTGTAGTACACTCTAATACACTTTCGTTTAAAAGCAGTGGAATTTTTATGAAAAACTGACATACTAAAGAAAATTTTTATGCCCCAGGCTTTTTCTCATCTGTCATTATACATTTATAGTCCCTAAAAACTTAACCCTCAGAAAATTCGGTAAGAAAAGATGATTTTTAGCAAACAAAAAAAACACCAATACACTAATGTGAAAAACGATTATTGCCTTTCCTTGAGTATCAGTGCGAGGTTTTTAAATGAGAAGTTCATTTATCACTCAAATGAGGAACTTTTTTACGCTTGAGAGTTTTCGCACAAGGCCCAATAGCAACGACCATTTTTTGGAAAAATTTGTATTCCCTCTACCTCCCCCCGACGCCAACCGATAGCAACGACCCCGAGCTGGATGCTGTAAAAATACTTTCAAAACATAACAACATCGATTGGAAAACACAGTTTAACGAACCTGGCCATTTAACACAAAATGCTTTCTATCAAGAGGATTCGAAAACAATGTGGGAGAAAAAGATGACTTGTATGTCATCGATATTACTGGCTGTTTGATTGAAGCAATTTGGCCATAAGAGCTTATTACATCATTCACGCAGACCACAGATGAGCTAAGTGGAGCTGCAGCTGAGTAGACGAAAGGAGAAAATGATGTACGCCCCGGGTACGAGAGGTACAATCGTGCTGTATCTTTATCTGGTAGAATAAACGGTACCGGTCGTAAATCATGTTGAAACGTTGATACATGAAGTACGGGTTGCTGCTTTGTACAATGTGCAGGTTTATTTTGAAATTCACTCCATTCAGATGGAAGTTGTATTCCAGTCTCTTTTAAGCTGAAGTCAAAAGGATAAATATGAAAAGTCTATTATAGCATTCTCAGGATTCATCTGGAGTGATACAACATAGAAATTTTAGTTATTATATACTCCATTCTAATGTCTTCATGGGAGGGATATGATGTTGAAACTCGAGTCCGTGTATATTCCACTCTAGTGTATTCATCAGGAGGGATCTGATGTTGAAACTCGAGTCCTTGTATACTCCAGTTTAGTGTCTTCATCAGGAGTGATCTGATGTTGAAACTCGAGTCCTTGTATATTCCAGTTTAGTGTCTTCATCAGGAGTGATCTGATGTTGAAACTCGAGTCCTTGTATCAGAGGCGTAACTAGAACATTAATTGGGGGAGGGTGGGGGGGGGTGCATATTCATATATTCAGTTGTGCCCTACTGATTTCTTTTGAAGTGAATTGAATTTCATCATTCAATATAAATCATTAGGGCACAACGGAATAGGTGAATATGCACCCCCCCAATTAACGTTCTAGTTACGCCTCTGTCTTGTATACTCTAGTCTAGTGTCTTCAACAGGAGTGATCTGATGTTGAAACAGTGGCGGATTACTAATTACGGGACCTGTAGGCTAAGACAAAGTTGTGGGCCTTTATGCAATATCTATTCCTCCGATTAAGTTCAGCTTTCCTTTGCTTTAGAATTTCCTGTTTGTAACCTCATAGGGTAAAAAATGGAAAAAGTTCATTTTAAAGTTCAAACGAAATTTCGAAAATCAATGACATGGTCAAGGAAATAGGAAAAGCCAATACTTCATGAGTTCTGAGCATTGCGCATTTAAACAGTAGATAGCACTAAAGCCATTTTTCCTCTGCATTCAATTGCTCGTATGGGTTTTCATTAACATAAATGATCTAAGTAAAGCACGTTTAGCTATCCCGGAATAGCAAAAATGTCCAAATCATAATAATATCTAGATACAACTGGCCTCTCAAAAGCCTGGGCCTGTAGGCTTAAGCCTATTTAACCTACTGGATAATCCGCCCCTGTGTTGAAACTCGAGTCCTTATATACTCCAGTCTAGTGTCTTAATCAGGAGTGATCTAATACTGAAACTTGAGTTCTTATGTATTCCAGTCTAGTGCTTTTATCAAGAGTGACCTGATATTGAAACTTGAGTATATTTGAACACAACAAATTTGTATTAAAAAGTTAACGGTTAATGATTGACTTTCATACCTTGAAGCATCACATTTGTTTCTATTCTTGCCCTTACTATGTCGTCTTGGTCTGTACTTATAATCGGGATGATCTTGTTTGTGTTTCCATGTCAATCGCTTTGCTTCCTCTATATACGGCTTTTTATCCTCTGCTGTCATGCCTTTCCAAGTCATTCCCAGTTTCTTACTAATCACAGCATTGCTCATTCCTGGGTTGCTTTTGAGAATTTCGCATCGCTTTTCCCGACTCCACACCATAAAACTGTTCATGGGGCGACGAATGTGGCCTTGACGGGAACTCATTTTTCTAAAGGGACAATTTTGCTTCGAATAGTTCATAGTTCATACATTATTAGGGTAATTGCCTTACTGACATCCAAATATCACGGACAATTGTATATCCCCGACTGAAACTATGGTAAAATGTATTAAAATTACTCTCTCTATTACGGATAGTCTCTATTACGGACTTTCCCCATATTTCCATCAATATCTCCTTATTGCGGACTATAAATCACGTTTCCCAGGTTGTCCACAATATCGAGAGTTGACCGTATTGCAAATTTTCTAGCGTCGTTAATAAACTTAGTCAAAAGAAATACATGACTGTGTCAAGTTTTTCAATGTTTGGCGAACCAAATCATGCAGAGAGAACATGCAATATTCCCTCACTCTGAACCCTTCTTCGACTTATTCGATTTGAAGGGCTTACTTTAATTGTCCTTCTAAGATTCGTCTGGACAGCTTATTTTGTTTGTCCTCTTGTAACTTCTTCACTTAAACTGTTAGAAATTGTTTGAAAAACTTACTTCACTTGCCCTAATGTAACTTGCTTAGAGCATAACAGTATGCGCACTGTTTTTCGCATACTGTTGTAAAAAGTAGAGAGGAGATGGAAATTGTTGGACAATATATCTACTGGAAATGAAAGTCATTAAGCCAAGAAACTGATCGAGTTGCTCCTCCCTATCCAAGCTCGTGTTTTTTGGCGAGAAGTGATACATGTGTTATTCTCTTCAAGTTTGTCATTTAGCAGACGTACAGCCAATTTTTTCGCACTTTGCGTTGTTTTTGAAATCCTGTGATCAGAGCCCTACCAGCTCTACATACGAAAGAGCTGGGATAACGGAAATAAAATGTCTTAGCGTCCGCCATTTTTGTTCCAAAAGCCAGCCATTGTAGAGCAATGGGGGAAAGAAAAATTTTTTGCTGTGTTTTTGTACTCACAAATAGACAGCGATCGCTGTCGGAATTCAGTTGTTTATAGATGTCATAACAATAGAAAAGCATGTATTTAATGCAGTGGATGTAAATTATACGCCTTTGATATTGTCCTTGCCACAAAGGAGCGCGTACATTTCTATTCTTCATCGCTTTGATAACGCAGAAAAAATCATTGTAACTTTTTTTATAATTTTTCTGTTAATATGTAAAAAAATTGTTGTAATTTGCACTTTTGGAACAAAAATGACGGCGAGATACCCACGTGACCATATTTACCCAATCACCATGATCTTAATGCAAAATGCTGAGACAATACGCGTCCCAACTTATATACATACAGGCCTATAAAACTCTGCCTACGACGATCGGTCATAATCAATAATGGCGATGCGTTCAATTTTTTGCTGAACTCACTGAACTGTATACGTAGTAGCTGTATAGACGCAGTTGCTAGGCAGGGTTCATCACATGATCCTATGAGTTATCATCTTTGAGGCTCAACATGTTGAGAGCATTTGCACGGGGCTTAAGTAACAGAAATAAGTATACTTCGAACCAATTGAACACATTGGTTTTGAATATAAATGCTGACGTTCACCGGAAATTAAAAACTGCCAGGTAAGCAAATGTGCAGCACCGAAATACATTTGCAAAGAGTTGCTAAATATTATACAGTTGTGTACAAAAGAGGAGGGTGTTTGCTGAATATTGTACATTTGTGAACAAGGGAGGGGGGAAAGACGGTTGCTCATTTACAAAAGGGGAGGGTGGTTGCCAAGTATTGACATTTGTGTATATGGAGGGCAGAGGTGTTTAAAGCTTTGAAAATATTAATTACGTACTAAATGGACGGCCTCCAACAACAACCGACGAAAACTATTCAATTCAAATTAAACATCTCTATTCATCTCCTTCTGTTAATTGATTAATGACGATTGTTTTTGTAATAAAAGGATTTAATTAAAACTTCGTTGTTCTGATGTTTTCCATTTTTTTAGTTAGTACGCAGTCGAATTCGGTTAGTATGTGACGCTAGCATTGCTTTCAGCGTTTGCAATATGTTTTTAAGCACAGCTCGGTAAAGAGATTGCTCTTTGAAAAATATGTTTCACGTGCGACGCAATTTCATACGCATAAAACCAATGAACAAAGAAACTCGTTTTTAATTTCGGTTTTTCCCATCGCCGTCAAACAATACACAATACCAATAATATTCCAGCTCTTCAAGAGCAGCTTTCAACTTACCAAAGACTGGCTCTTTATTTCGCTCCTTCAGTGTCCGCGTGAATTTCGAAGACCGTTAATGTCAACAGCTATTTGAAAATACGATTGACAAATGTTAATGAATTTGTCAAGACACAAACTGGATTTCTAGCTGTATATATACATTTACCTATGAAGAAATGCTCTCAAGAGAAGAAAAGCTCACAAGTCCACGTTTCCAACGAATTCAAATCGTGTCCCCGACAATAGATGAATATCAAGTCTAGCGCACCAAGGACTCTCTTTCAATTCAAACTTAAAATGTTGGCTCGGGCGTTTTGCAGTAAAAACTAATGCAGTCCAAATCTCCTTTGCAGTAACTTCGCATTTAGTCTTTCTTATCGACGACTGCGCCTTCTAGAATCACGGTCAACCATGCAGATAAACAAAAGCGTTACGAAAGTTCCCTCAAAGTTTGACTTCTTCACTTGTCCCTTCTGTAGCACTGGACTTTAATGTAGCTTGGAAGTACTTTGAAATAGCAAGAAAAAGTCAAAGAAATAACAAAGTTTACTGTACTATCTTTTAGTTTAGTTCTGTCCGTCAAGACCGCCGACCTTCCACGTTCAATCTAGCCCACGATCAATATGTATTTATGCAGAAATCTACACACGCGCAAACAAACCAACGTGTTGCAGAAGTTTAGATCAGCATGCACAGGTACTGTTGTCATCGACAACCCGCTGAGAAGATCTATGTGGACATTGCACTTTGCAGAACTATTATGAACCAATGAAAAAGGCCTAAAACATTCATTGCGTAATGGAGACAGCATAGAGATTTTACCTTATAACGTCTAATCAAAACAAAGAAAGTTTCTTTTCGTTTGGCGTTACGTCCTTTAAGACCATTTCGGACTTTTTTATGTACCTTCAAATGTTTTTTTTTACGGAAATATTGTCATGAGAAAAGAAACTAGCGATGTACATAAATTATCAAATAATCAGCCGTGTTGTTAAGGGGGGGGGGGACCTCCCTCGGTATCATCTCATTAATGTTGTCGGCGTTTGAAAAATTAAATAAATGTTAAGCATAAAATGTTATAGCCCTTTTGGAAGCTTTACACCCCTCTAGCTCACCTTTCGGATGCCACTGCCATCAAAACGACAAACATTGATATGCAATAGCTGCGTCTCAAAGTCAGAGCCAAGTTGACGGCTTAAGTATGTTGTGGGGTCTGCGATTGGCGATCCAATAACAACAATAATTTTGAGACAAGTTGAATACAAAGTCAGAGCCAAGTTGACGGCTTAAGATATGTTGTGGGGTCTGCGATTGGCGATCCAATAACAACAATAATTTTGAGACAAGTTGAATACAAAGTCAGAGCCAAGTTGACGGCTTAAGATATGTTGTGGGGTCTGCGATTGGCGATCCAATAACAACAATAATTTTGAGACAAGTTAAATATAGCAGTCGATCTTTATAGCGTATTAAAAGCATCTGATAAATCAGGCAACACGGGTCGAAATGAGCACCTGCCGATGAAAAGAATCTACAAACGACAAATTGAAAACAAAAATAAACCATGTAATCAGATCTGAAAGAATATGAAAAAAAAGACAAGTAGAATCTATAAAAAGACAATACATTTCCATAATTGAATTAGTTTTCGTCGTACGTACTTAGTACTGGTGCATTAAACGTGGTCTTTTCAAGTTGCTCACGAAAATAACTACAAGTTCGCAGCGTGATGTTCAATAGAAGCGAAAAAAAACAAGGAACATAGCTAATAAACATTTTAAAAAACATCGATTAAAGTGAAACGTGTTTAATATATATTGTTGAATTATGGCCATTATTATAATTACAATACACGCTAATGTGTTCTTTCTTCGCCGCAAAGTCCTGCGGGGAATCGTTAAACGGCGTAATTTGTTTCAAAGCGCACGCGAACATGGCGACAAAGAAAACAGGCGTGCTTAAGGAACTGCATATTAGTGAAACAAACGAAGCACTATCGCAAATGGTTTCTTCATCATGATTTTCTTCAGTCGTGATTTCTTCATCATAACTTCACTAGACGACATCGATTTCAAATAAAGTACAACAAGTTTATTTTAACTTTTATAAGACAAACTTTTGCATTTCGAATTTAATTTATCTGATTCTAGAATGCGATTCGTATATAGTACTCTAGCTCAAGCATAGACATAATATATTAAATTTAAAACAAACTTTGTCAACTGAACTCCTAACACCAACAGTTAAGTTGTCGTGGTTCTACTGTGCATGTCCCTTTTTACCGTGTTGGATTTTAAACATTCGTAAATTTCATATCTAAATGAAACATCGGCAAATATTGATAGCACTCACAAGTAAAAAACAGCTCACAATTACTCATAGTTGGTTGGGAAACTGCAGTGCCGTGAAAACAAGAATCCAACACGGTAAAAAGAGACATGAACAGTAGAACCACGACAACTTAACCGTTGGAGTTTGGAGTTTGAGTTGACAAAGTTTGTGTTAAATTTCATGCATTATGTCTATGCTTGAGCTAGAGTACTATAGTATAATGCTCTATCACAGGTGTAGACATAATATATGAAATTTAACACAAACTTCAGTTTACAGTTTACAATAACTGTTCATTGGAAACCCTTCAAGCCATAAATTTTGCATGCACTAAATCCAGGGAAATTGAAATTACTTTGTGTGTGTGTGTGGGAGGTATTATCGGGGATCTACTAAGCCCGAAATAGTTTCCATGAAGTTAAAAGTTTACGATAATTAATTCTACAAATTTGCAGAATTATCAACTGACGCCATTTTCGCAAACAAACACTAAGTCACATCAATTACGGCCAATAAATCATTCAAAATTTAAAATCCTTCAATGTAAAACTACGAACATGGAAACTTTGACAGCACTAGCCCGGGAGAACAGATTGAATCCCTGGAAATCAAAAACTTTAATGAAAGTATTATTTTTCCTATTACACAAACAATTCAGACTGAATGAGAACACATGTTTGTAATCATGTGATGTAGCACATGTGTTTATTTGCGTAAACATACTACAATAAGATAACGAAATGCGATAATCTAATTTTCTTCACCGAAGTGAAATTCTCAAGAGGTAAGCAAACAGAGACTAAAGTTCTAGGACTAAAATGATTTTAGCACATTTATTTCATTAATCTACTCGAATAATTTCGTATTGTCGAATAATTGAAAATGTCTTTGTGTTGCGATAACACTAGGATATTCTTACAGTTAAATCAATTATGGCATATGTTGTCAGCCTTTTTGTTCTTAAAACGTCAAAATACTATGTTGAACGCACAAATTCCAATGTGTCGGTAATAGCCAAGTAAAATAAGATTAGGATTATGGTCAGGCTTATTTGTAGAACACGGAATTACTTCGAGATTTGTTCAACAGCATCCGCGTGATCTTATGACGCTTGCACTTGCAAGCACTACACGGAAACGCAACAGCAAACAGGTTTGCTTCATTCCCGCAAAAAGTTGCTTAATATTAAAATAACTATTTATAGTGTTTTGGAAAGTGCAAAAAAGCAAATAGCCGAAAATTTTTTTTCCGAGTACATTACTATACTTTGAGAGAAGCAGGGAGGTAAACAGAATTTTGGAGACAACCAAATTTTTCAGTATCGAAGAGGTCGGGGCAAAATATCCAATGCGAACTGACTCAATTCTAATAAAATATTATAGTAGAATACTTCTTCCATTAAATATCAACTCATAGAAATCTCGAGCTCGTAATATAATTGTTAATTACAAACCCTAGCACGCTCTTTCGTTGGATGATAAAGTTTGACTGTACATATGACAATGACTATGTTCAAAGAACGTGACGTTTATTCCTAAAGTTTGAATGTAAGTATGACAATGACTATGTTCAAAGAACGTGACGTTTACTCCTAAAGTTTGAATGTAAGTATGACAATGACTATGTTTAAAGAACGTGACGTTTACTCCTTAAGTTTGAATGTAAGTATGACAATGACTATGTTTAAAGAACGTGACGTTTATTCCTAAAGTTTGAATGTAAGTATCACAATGACTATGTTCAAAGAACGTGACGTTTATTCCTAAAGTTTGAATGTAAGTATGGCAATGACTATGTTCAAAGAACGTGACGTTTACTCCTAAAGTTTGAATGTAAGTATGACAATGACTATGTTCAAAGAACGTGACGTTTACTCCTAAAGTTTGAATGTAAGTATGACAATGACTATGTTCAAAGAACGTGACGTTTATTCCTAAAGTTTGAATGTAAGTATGACAATGACTATGTTCAAAGAACGTGACGTTTATTCCTAAAGTTTGAATGTAAGTATGACAATGACTATGTTCAAAGAACGTGACGTTTATTCCTGAAGTTTGAATGTAAGTATGACAATGACTATGTTCAAAGAACGTGACGTTTATTCCTAAAGTTTGAATGTAAGTATGACAATGACTATGTTCAAAGAACGTGACGTTTATTCCTAAAGTTTGAATGTAAGTATGACAATGACTATGTTCAAAGAACGTGACGTTTATTCCTTAAGCTTGAATGTAAGTATGACAATGACTATGTTCAAAGGATGTGACGTTTATTCCTTAAGTTTGAATGTAAGTATGACAATGACTATGTTCAAAGAACGTGACGTTTATTCCTGAAGTTTGAATGTAAGTATGACAATGAAGTTTGAATGTAAGTATGACAATGACTATGTTCAAAGAACGTGTTTGAATGTACAATGACTATGTTTAAAGAACGTGACGTTTATTCCTTAAGTTTGAATGTAAGTATGACAATGACTATGTTCAAAGAACGTGACGTTTACTCCTAAAGTTTGAATGTAAGTATGACAATGACTATGTTTAAAGAACGTGACGTTTATTCCTTAAGTTTGAATGTAAGTATGACAATGACTATGTTCAAAGAACGTGACGTTTACTCCTTAAGTTTGAATGTAAGTATGACAATGACTATGTTTAAAGAACGTGACGTTTACTCCTTAAGTTTGAATGTAAGTATGACAATGACTATGTTTAAAGAACGTGACGTTTATTCCTAAAGTTTGAATGTAAGTATCACAATGACTATGTTCAAAGAACGTGACGTTTATTCCTGAAGTTTGAATGTAAGTATGACAATGACTATGTTTAAAGAACGTGACGTTTATTCCTTAAGTTTGAATGTAAGTATGACAATGACTATGTTCAAAGAACGTGACGTTTATTCCTAAAGTTTGAATGTAAGTATCACAATGACTATGTTCAAAGAACGTGACGTTTATTCCTGAAGTTTGAATGTAAGTATGACAATGACTATGTTCAAAGAACGTGACGTTTATTCCTGAAGTTTGAATGTAAGTATGACAATGACTATGTTCAAAGAACGTGACGTTTATTCCTGAAGTTTGAATGTAAGTATGACAATGACTATGTTTAAAGAACGTGACGTTTATTCCTTAAGTTTGAATGTAAGTATGACAATGACTATGTTCAGAGAACGTGACGTTTATTCCTTAAGTTTGAATGTAAGTATGACAATGACTATGTTCAAAGAACGTGACGTTTATTCCTAAAGTTTGAATGTAAGTATGACAATGACTATGTTCAAAGAACGTGACGTTTATTCCTGAAGTTCGAATGTAAGTATGACAATGACTATGTTCAAAGAACGTGACGTTTATTCCTTAAGTTTGAATGTAAGTATGACAATGACTATGTTCAAAGAACGTGACGTTTATTCCTTAAGTTTGAATGTAAGTATGACAATGACTATGTTCAAAGAACGTGACGTTTATTCCTAAAGTTTGAATGTAAGTATGACAATGACTATGTTCAAAGAACGTGACGTTTATTCCTTAAGTTTGAATGTAAGTATGACAATGACTATGTTCAAAGAACGTGACGTTTATTCCTAAAGTTTGAATGTAAGTATGACAATGACTATGTTCAAAGAACGTGACGTTTATTCCTTAAGTTTGAATGTAAGTATGACAATGACTATGTTCAAAGAACGTGACGTTTATTCCTAAAGTTTGAATGTAAGTATGACAATGACTATGTTCAAAGAACGTGACGTTTATTCCTGAAGTTCGAATGTAAGTATGACAATGACTATGTTCAAAGAACGTGACGTTTATTCCTAAAGTTTGAATGTAAGTATGACAATGACTATGTTCAAAGAACGTGACGTTTATTCCTTAAGTTTGAATGTAAGTATGACAATGACTATGTTCAAAGAACGTGACGTTTATTCCTGAAGTTTGAATGTAAGTATGACAATGACTATGTTCAAAGAACGTGACGTTTATTTCTTAAGTTTGAATGTAAGTATGACAATGACTATGTTCAAAGAACGTGACGTTTATTCCTTAAGTTTGAATGTAAGTATGACAATGACTATGTTCAAAGAACGTGACGTTTATTCCTAAAGTTTGAATGTAAGTATGACAATGACTATGTTCAAAGAACGTGACGTTTATTCCTAAAGTTTGAATGTAAGTATGACAATGACTATGTTCAAAGAACGTGACGTTTATTCCTTAAGTTTGCATGTAAGTATGACAATGACTATGTCCAAAAGACGTGACGTTTATTCCTAAAGTTTGAATGTAAGTATGACAATGACTATGTTCAAAGGACGTGACGTTTATTCCTGATTTTGATTGTAAGTATGACAATAACTATGTTCAAAGGACGTGACGTTTATTCCTGAAGTTTGAATGTAAGTATGACAATGACTATGTCAAAAGACGTGACGTTTATTCCTGAAGTTTGATTGTAAGTATGACAATAACTATGTCCAATGTAAAACTGAAGCTTAATTCAAAGGTTTGATTCAAACTTCGACGTATTTGCTAAAACGCAGTGTTTATTGATGTATAAAAAAAGCAAGCTCAGTAAAGTCCGAAGCGACAAAAGTAATAACTGTTTATTGAGAAAGGATAAACTTGACTGCAGTTGAAATAGAACACCCAATCATCCCGATAGCACTAAGGTATCCAAAAGAACCACGTAGCCGATTTTTAGGATCTAAAACATACATAAACGTACTTAATCTTCGAGCATTACTGGTCTCAAGTCAGCTTTCTAGCGTTCTTGGCAATTATTAACCTGTGCGTATTGCGCAGTTACACGGAGGAAACTGTATTATATTGGTCACGGTGGGACAAAATTGTACTTTATAGATCACGGAGAAATAAAAACTAACTTTCTCCAATGGTAAAGCATGTGAAATGACTAGCCTATCTTGCGTAGCTATTTCTTAAGTGTCGCAAATCCTTAGAAACGACAAAATGATTGTGTTATAAAAATAAGAACAACGCAACACAGTTGCGAAGCAAAGAAACTTCTTTCAATTTTCCAAAATATTTAAATTTCCTTGATGGCATGAATTGATCCAAAAGTAGTTTCGACCAACTACATAAAATTAAATGCTGCAGTTCAAGATTAGAGAATAAATACTAAAAACTAAAAGTTATGATTCACTGTCAAGTGTGTGTAGTTAAGCATGAAACAAAACGTTAATTCCGATACAAGTTAGCAAGTACCTCCAGTATAGTAACCAAATGCGTAGACAATTCTCGATGCGATGAAGATAATACCAGAAATGGAACTGATGCACTACAAAATGAATACAAAGGAATACAAATAGAGAAAGAATGGTAATGAAATTTATGGAAATATTAAATGTGTTTTTAAGTATTAAGATCAAACTACTCTTAGAGAAAACACCAGTCTGAAGTATACAAGGACTCAGGATTCAATAACAGATCACTCCTGATGAAGACACTATACTGGAGTATATAAGAACTCAAGTTTCAACATCAGATTACTCTTGATGAAGACACTAGACTAGAGTATATAAGAACTCAAGTTTCAACATCAGATCACTTCTGATGAAGACACTAGACTGGAGTATAACTCAAGTTTCAACATCAGACCTCTCCTGATGAAGACACTAGACTAGAGTATATAAGAACTCGAGTTTCAACATCAGATCACTTCTGATGAAGACACTACACTGGAGCATATAATAACTCAAGTTTCAACATCAGATCACTCCTGATGAAGACACTACACTGGAGCATATAATAACTCAAGTTTCAACATCAGACCTCTCCTGATGAAGACACTAGACTGGAGTATATAAGAACTCGAGTTTCAACATCAGATCACTTCTGATGAAGACACTACACTGGAGAAAATAAAAACTCAAGTTTCAACATCAGATCTCTCTTGATGAAGACACTAGACTGGAGTATATAAGAACTCAAGTTTCAACATCAGATCACTCCTGATGAAGACACTAGACTGGAGTATATAAGAACTCAAGTTTCAACATCAGATCACTTCTGATGAAGACACTACACTGGAGCATATAATAACTCAAGTTTCAACATCAAATCACTCCTGATGAAGACACTACACTGGATTATATACGTAAGGACTAGACTTTTCAATATCAACTTTATAAAAATGTTACTTACAGGATGTTTCAATCCACCAGTAAATAAAAGCACGAGAAACATTGGATATATTTCCAGTCTACAAATCATAAATTGAAATGGCATCATACTTTAACAATATTTGTAAGGGCTGCTATGTCGTACAATTTACTTTTTGTTCCTGGTTTGCAGCCCGTAGCCACATTCATTTTTATTGTGTAAATGTAAGCAAGGTAATTAACACATGTGCATGCCACCCCCCCCTTCCCTGTGTCTCAAAGATTCAGTTCAAATTTCAAATCATGTTTAAGCCAAATGTTTCTTATCGTGTATGAGGAAGTTAGAATTCACATTCTGATGCTCTCGTTATCAAATCTTAAGTCTAAACTTACGTGTTTTGGTGAGCTCTCTGATAACAATTAAAAATTGGATGTTCATCATCATACATCTTAGGATACTGTAATAGAAAATAATAAAAAATTAAACCTCAATATAAACTACTTCATGTTGTTATCATTGTATATGAACAATGTAAATACTGGGTTCCTTCTTTGGGTTGAGCACTTACCCCCCTCCCCTCAATGTTTTTTCTGCTTTCACACATAGCTGTCTCTTAACATTATTTCAACTTCCATAAAATAGTAAATCATCATAGTTAGATTGATAATAAGTGTTCAATACTGCCATCATAGGTAATATAGCTGTACTACATGCAAGTGCTTGAAGATCACTACAAAAATCATGAAACAAAATCAAGCACACTGGAGAAATGTAAATAATTATGATTTGTGATTTGTCATAATATTTAGCAATATTTTAAGAAATTGTGTTTGAATGTGTAAGAATAAACAGTTGACTAATTCACATTATGTGCAAATTTTTCGATTGTTTTTTATTCAATTGAATGTAGTTCAGTAGTTGATGTAAGACTTGTCTGTCAAGCAATTGATTATGGTTTAGTATTCAATGTAAGACTTGTCTGTCATTCAATTGATTATGGTTTAGTATTCAATGTAAGACTTGTCTGTCATTCAATTGAATATGGTTTAGTATTCAATGTAAGACTTATTGGTCATTCAATTGAATATGGTTTAGTAGTTAATGTAAGACTTGTCTATCATGCAATTGAATATATGGTTCAGTGGTTAATGTAAGACTTGTCTGTCATTTAATTGAATATGGTTTAGTTGTTAATGTAAGACTTATTGGTCATTCAATTGAATATGGTTTAGTAGTTAATGTAAGACTTATTGGTCATTCAATTGAATATGGTTTAGTATTTAATGTAAGACTTGTCTGTCATTCAATTGAATATGGTTTAGTATTTAATGTAAGACTTGTCTGTCATGCAATTGAATATATGGTTCAGTGGTTAATGTAAGACTTGTCTGTCATTCAATTGAATGGGCTTCAGTGGTTAATGTAAGACTTGTCTGTCATTCAATTGAATGGGCTTCAGTGGTTAATGTAAGACTTATCTAAGTTTCATTATGCAATCACTGTGACATCACTTTCTCCAGAAATCGGGCATAACAAATCTTCAATATCTTGAGAACAAAAAGAGATATGACTAAAGTGTTTTGGAAGGTACACTGTCATTTTAGTGAGTTCTTTTCAATGTAACTATATAATTTTAATAGCAAATTTTTTTCTTTGTACTGGCTATTTAACAAAGTGCAAGTTGATAAAAATAAAACTTTGAGTTTTCAATAATTTCGCTGTGCATTGCCATCGAGGACACCAACAAACACTAGAGGCAGTTATGCAGAAATGCGTCCTGCAGTGCTAGGCGCGCCACTCCATGGATATTTTTTATAAACTCCCTCGCAGAAAATATGTACAATGTTTGCACCTTGCAGCAAATTTCGTAAAATATAAAGTAGATTTAGAATACGGGTGTGTCAAACTGGAAACAAGTTTACATGATTGTAATCTGTATTCCGTAAAGTAAATACCATTTACGTATTTACACTTACAAAACCACTAACTACGATGTACGAATGCTTGTTTCAATAAATATTACCGACAAAATTTCACAGGAAATTAGATAGGTTTAGCAGGACATTTCTATTTATGAAAACCTGATGGATAATAATTCATCCAGACTCGGAGAAGGTCCAAAGGCCATAGCAGTTCCTTCTACAGAACATTGAATGAAATACTTACGTTGACTTTAAATTTCTTTCTTGCTTTGCCCACTTGCGATGCCAAATACACATTCATAAATACGCTTGCAACGCCTGTCAGTATTACATAGCCATATTCCGGAGATAAAACAAACGTAGACATATCCGAAAAAATGAAAATGGTTTGTTTGTCAAAGTCCACTTCCAGGCTTCTTTGCCGCTTCGGTGCTTTGATTTGATCTTTCAAATTTTGAATATTAATTATTGAGTTTTATGTACAAAAATAACTGGATGGGCTAAGTGGACTGGGACGGAATGATAACTCAGGGGGAAAAATTGAAGCCGTGTTTTGTAGGTAGTGCCAGTCCTTTGTAACCTTAGTTTTTCAAAAAATACACTTTTTATATCGCTAAATTTCACCCTTTTCTGATTGTTTAATACCTTCAATATTTAGCTTTGACTATAGTACAGGCATCAAATTTTTCACTCAAGTAACTACATTGAACAAAGGTCGTTTAGTTTCTGAAATATTATCTGACAAAAATAAAAAGTGGCAAGAAACCGCGCGAAAATATTCTCACTTTTTCTGAGTTATAACCTGTTTCTACTGCCAAAATATTGTCGTTCCCGGTTAAATACACAAACTATTAAAGTTTATAAAAATTTGAATCATCAAATAAAGAGGAAAATGTGTTTTTTAAGAAGCATTTTTCATGTCACGAAGCACTAACATTGCACGTACATAGCTCAGTGTGTCATAATGAAAAGAAAAGATTCTCGCAGAGAAAACTATATAAAACATTGGCAGCCCATAACTACGGGTTTTTCGTAATAAATATGAAATAATTAACCTTTCTTACTCCTGAGTAACTTGATGACTTCAACAATTTGTCTCGCATTGATCGATCAACCTCGCGCGACGTTTGTGTGACGTGTAGTCTTATCAGTTTAATAATTACACAAGTTAGGCAGCTAAAGTAAACAAATCACTGACCGTTAACATAAACACTTTAAAAACTCACGAAAAAAGCTATTAAATAACAACAATAATGAAACAAAAATTACAGCCGATTGAGCACGGATAAATTTACTACCGAAGATGCTACAATTGTGGCCACAAAGGCCACAAAATGAGCCAAAGGAAAAAAGTAATGACAGCTAATGAAACAGAATTTCTTTCGTGAACATTGAAATTAACAATGATGTACTTTTATTATATAGAGTTCAATCGTGTGAGAAGAAGTAAGTTTCATTGAGCTAGTGATAAAACATCAGCTTGATTAGATAGTTCAAAACTTCAAGCTGCATGCATTATTGTTAACAGAAATTAGATAATGACTCCAAAAATATTAAAGTATTGTGAACATACAACTTTCTTTTGAATATTCAACAGGAAGACTTTGCTACATTTGCAAAAGAATAGGACACCTTGCCAAACAATGTAGGAAAGCAAAACTGCCAATAAAAATGCTCTAAATAATTGCAGCAACTTTGTCGCACATAGTTGATAGCTTCCTAGAGGGAGACGATAACTGGAATCTGCAGTTGACTCGCTGTTACGAATTGTAGGTTTTTATCGTGATTTTCGTCATAAAAATGCTTGGCAAACCATTATTAATACACACATACTTTTTTCTCGATCTTTCTTCAGGGGGGAGTGAAAAATTGTGAAATCTTCGGAAAAGCAGTAATTATCGGTAAATCTCAGCGGAAATAGGTCCATTCCGCCAATTTTTCGACAGCCTCCAATATTTAAAGCCGCGCTTGAGTTAGCTCCAGTTATTATAGAACTCAATCATATTAATCATATATTAATTATGAACAGTAAAGTGAGCCTGCATTCCCTATGGCATGTGGTAATCGGAGATGGGTTGAAAAAAGAGCGGTCGCTCAAAAACAGACCTTTTGGAAACAACGACATCTTGGTCCGTATTCTTCTAAAATTAAAAAAATACATCAAAACATGCATCAATATGCGGTAGGATTGTTAATTACGGGGTCTGTAGGCTAAGGCAAAGTTGCAGGACTTTAAATGATTTCTATTCTCCCCCACTGTAAGATTAATCTTTTGAGACGTTTGCGTTCCCCATGTTTCTTTTCTTTTGTTGGATAATTAGCTACTGTTTGAAAATGTTATTTGTTCAATCATAAGTTTAATGCTTTTTTATAGCTATGTTTCACATTTTGATTGTAAGACAATTGACTCTAACAAACTGTCTAGGGATAATGAAAAAAGGCCATGACGATTATAGGATATTCAACCATATTTTCAAAGCTTCCCACAATCTTTTTCCCAACATGCGAATTATCAGACGAGTTTTAAGCGTGTACACTATGAAAACTATTCATTTCCGAGTTGACGAATACGGTGAGGATTGAAAACGCATTAATGTCGAAAATAAAACTCGCTAGCAAAATCCTTTAAGCGTTAGCTCAATATGTAAAATGGTAATGAAGTGCAGCTCATTGATGGATGAGACCAAAAGATTGATTTGCGTAATCTCGTGAATACAGGAGAATCCGAATTTTAAATTCGGGCACACGTTCGGTAGTCTTAGTAATAAGGTTACGATTTATATTTTATTAACCTTGCTAAAAGAAGCTGTGTGACTGCATGGAGTCGGGAAAATAGTACATACATTATCCTTTGCAATTAGCTCTACATGTTTTACTGCAACGAGTTACAATTGTTCACCGTAAATCCGTAATTTTCACTGGTTGTATTACTCTGAAATCTATATGGCAGGGCTACGCCTTGTCCGTGACTACAAACAAGGGTATTGTAGTATTTAAATTCTAATCCATTTGTTTTGTCTGCAAAGAACTCGTTCATCGTGTCAAGCTATTGGCATAGTTACCAATAAAACCACTTTAAGAATAGTTCTTCCATTTTTGAGTGGATGTTTATGATGAGGTCTTGAAATAATAAAAGAATTTTCAAGCCAGAGTTTATCATTTTCAAGGGATGCCAAAAAGTGCAACGCTAGAGCCTAGCAAAAGAAATAAAAAAATTAAAGTGAAAATGGCGTAAAAATGGCTTTATGCCCATATATGGACGAGTTTGTCAAGTAGCCAGCAGCAGCACAGACAGATTTTGAGCCAGTAATAAATCAAATCATTAAAAACTAGAAGTTACTATCGCAAGGTAACTGCTGCCTTTCGCACCGAGTAGGTGAAAAGTGCCATTTGCAAATTGCTATTGAGTGTTTTCCATCATTTAATTTTTATCATCTGTTATAAGCGACAAAATACCAAATGTACAAAAGCACAGTAATTTTTAAAACATGCAATTGATATGATAAGCAACAAACTGAAATATCTTGTAATTCGTATATAACTAATTCAATTTATAGAAGAACATGCAAAAAGTAACACTATGTATGTATGTATAACATGCTAATATTAAATTGGAAATAATTGGACGAGCAGCTTTCCAAAGTTCATTTTACAAAATTTGCATTCTATATGCAAGCGGTAGCAAAGCAATTGCTTCATTTAAATTATTGATCTTTACATGTATATGTTGCAGTTGACATGAAAGTTAGAACTCAGCCAATAACCAATTAAATCATGTTAACTGGAGCTTAAAGGATGTTTTCTGTATTTTGTTCAATTTGTTGCCAACCAGAACAAGATCAACACATCCATTAACACCAACAACAATTATATGGTGTCATATATGTATCTCTCAGCTCCCAGTGTTTGTGCGTAAGTATATTATTTGATTTCATCTGGATTCATGTTACTCAGCTGTTTTCAGCAAGGAATCACTTTTATACACATACAAACTTGAATGGTACATTCCATGTTGCGGTCATTATACACGGCACCATTAGCATTCTATTTACATACATTATACATACAGTCATTATGAGCATGGAATTGATTTGTTGTATAGGACTGATTACACATTGCATTAAACAAAGGGGAATGGGACCTATTGGACCATGTCTTTCGCAAACTGTAATGTTTGTTCCTTAAAATATTAAAATGCACTGCTATGTAAGTGTCACGCGCTCGGAAGCTCGAGGAAGCTCGAGCATAAGTATATCCGCTTCCGGTGCTTTACTTGCCACGATTATAGAGACGTCCTCGCAAATTTAACACAAATTCATTGCTATTTTGAATGAAAACCGCTTTTATTAGATAAATACTATATCGTCATTTGTCGTCCAAACGCTTTGTAAAGAGTAAAAGCGTCGCTCACGGATAAATCGAACGAAATTTTCTTCTGTAAACGAACAGAGTCAACACAGTGATGGTAAAATGAGTTTAACATGTCAAAGCAAAACTTTCCTGTTAGTTCAAATTATAATTCATCTAAAACTCTTGCGGACGTTGAGTTCCAGTAGATATGAAGACGAAATATTTATAGTTGTATAATTATGATATGTGCGTGTCAGTCTATTCCAAGGTCATGTTATCGTTACCAAATTGATACATACTCTTCCATAATTGGCTCCACTACAACTCTCAGTTCGGTACTTTTCTTGGCCATCACATTACACATACGTACATATTTTAAAACGAAAATGATTTGAGATGCTCAAACAGTTATACAGCATGAAACATTTTTTGGCTCTGAGACTGTAGAATCACTATTGAGGGCTTTACTTTTCGAACCGAGTGAATTGCCTTGATGCAAATCAGCATCCGTTAAATAAAACATTCTACTGCTAGTATTAGTATTCTTCGCAAATTTTCTTTTTGTCGTTACAAATTTTTATCAACAGAAAAAATCATGCGTGCGCAACTTAACATTTTTACCATCCACTCCCCCACATTAAAAAATCTTCTAAATTGTGACGTCATGTCCAAGAAAAATCTTAACAGACACACGCCAAATCGAGATTTCACCACTATATAGGTCGCATAAAAGGACTGGGTGGCGTGAATTGACTAGTGTGAAGCCTTGCTGACGCTCGACAGCAATTAGAACAAAAGTGTCTGTGCCTCTCCCACCTCCTCAGTACTTGCAAGAACTGTTCCCCGCATTGAACAGGTACACGTACTAAAATATTTTCGCAGTTGGCGTGGTGCATGTTTACAGCATGTTCAGGACCAATCAAAAACAAGATTTGGAAATTTCCATTTTAAATAAGATGAAACTCAAATCCGGTGATATTAATGCTTCATCAGTTTATAGACAGTTCAAAATTAGTTTTTACTTATGTAAGCTGTTTTCTTTTCAAAGATCCTTATTCGCGTTGATTAGTTTGTAAAAAGCAAATGTTGTTGTATCAGTAGGAGTGTTGTCGCCCGTATTGATTACAAATACGTGATGAGAACCTTTGATTTACACAAACAAAATTAGCATAAGCACAAAGACACGTCAGCTCTATCGCCATATTTGAAGAAATCTGCTTTCAAAATAGCAAGAAATCGAAATAATTATTAGATCGTTCCACTTATTCCCCAGGGATCCACATAACAATGGATGAAGCAGCCATATTGGCGTTCCAAACATAAGAAAAATATTTTTAACCCAAATGATTTACGTAAAGAGATTTGAGTAAGTTGCAATAAGTGGTTGCAATATACTGATAGCTTTGCATTATACGGGATAACATCAGAAATTTGTAAATTTAAATGGTACCTTCACTTTTTCTTCTCTGTATTCGTTAACCCCTCAATCATCGCGTATGTGCATGCACAGGAACCACAGCCAAATGCTGCAAATTGACGGATGTTGAATGATACTTTTCTCGGCCACATCGTTTGATTAAAGCTACGTTCCATCGACCAAATGTTTTAAAAAGTTTCGTTGGTATCACAACGCACGGTCAGGGGTATAAGCTGCTTGTCTATCTGACTCAGCAATAACTCCAATATGTTTGTAGGCATTACTTCGTTTCATAAAAGGCCAGCACCGAATGACAGAGGTTTTATACAAATGAGATTCTTGCTCGACTCTAAGCCATACAGAATCCCCACTCTCCAATAATCATATGGTACTCCCATCAGTAGATAAGCGTAGATCAATTAATTAAACTGAAATAGTTCGCTAGCCTCTACGCTTCTTTGTAAAATACTATCTTCTACAAGTCAGTTGCGTTCTATTTAACTTCCACATGTTCTGTTTAGCTACATCTTCCGCATTTATTATTCAAAAGAATTTAATTATTTATGTCTGATAAATAGCATCCACTTTCAATAACTTGTTTTTACACGCTTGTGTGCAAGGTTTCAGCATGTCGAAAGACTGAAAGTCTGAAAGTCACGTATTCCTCGTCATTAAATTTGTAGATTCTGAATTTTTCTCTATGGTGTAATAATTGCAGCATTAATCCAACTCTAGCTTTCATTATTAAAGAATATTTGTTGCCGTAATGCTTTAGTCAAGACTAATTTGACCACAAATGGGCGTCTTCCATGCTGAGGTCAAGGGCAAAGAAACAAAGAAGCCATGGGCAAAACCCCTGCTTTCGTTGTTGGTTGCCGTCGAAAATATTTTGGCAATAACGTCATGTGTTTTTTCCGCGTTATTGTTATAAACGTTTTTAAGAATATTTTCCCAGCAATTGCATAAACGTTTCTAATGTCATTCTTAATGACAATATCAAATGAAAGAATTTTGCATAAAAAGTTTTAAGAGGCAAAATTTGCAAATTGAATGATCCAATAGGTTATGAAACGACACGACGGTCGACCATATTCAACAAAGTACTCGGTCGGTCGAAAATTATTACTACTAATTGACCATGTGAACAAGAAACGATCGATTTGAAAAGGACTGAATTCCAAAGATAGAAGCAACAAGAAAAGGCTTCGCATTTCACAATGTCGACACGTGCATCAACAGGAAATAATTACCAATACTGTTCCTGTAGCGCATTTCCTTATTTGGTATTGGATGAGGCACGTGAATTCACGATTACAATTGCTTGGTGTCGAACGGTTAACAGGATTGGTCGTTATAAATAATTGCGTACTGTTGATTGGTTAATATTTTCAATTGTCGCGACCCTTCAAATTGGCCAAACCTTTGCCGTTTTAACTATTGTTAGTTGTAGTCGCTTGTGAGAACGTCCACTTAGGCATACGCGGATTTTGTTTGTGAAACGGTTTGGAATATGTCTTGCAAGTTGTTGATCGCTTTCGTCTTCGTCTGTATCGTGTTCCTTGCAGTTGAAGAGGCCCAATCGTCCAATCATACTACGAGTACATCGCCAATCATGACATCTACGTACGCTCCGACACAAAATATAACGAAAACTACTAGTGGAGCACCATCGACTGTATCAGCAAGTTTTGCACTAATATTATCTTCGCTGGCTCTTCTTTTTTGGTAAAACATCAAAATGATGCCGTGTACACCAACATAGACTGACATTTTCCTTTTTGTTTGAAGTATAATTTTTGCCATTTATTTGGCTATTATAGATGAACATTTATGATTAGTAAGAACGCATTCTCAAGATTCAAATGATCTTCGTCCGAAGCATGATCGATTGAACAGTTTCGTAAATTCAAGCCAATGTAAATTGATGCGGAAAATGTCAATTTCAAGGGTGATTTTAACGAATTTTTCTTAGTACAATAATTAACTGCTGGAACAATACTTTAACGCTATTACATAGAATAAACATCTTATTAAAATGTTCGTATGTTTGAAGAAGAGAAAGCCAGTTGTTTGTAGAACTCATAGTGGCAGGCCTTCTAATTATTTGCCTCAGTGCGTAGAAAGCGTGCGCTCGACTAACGCCTTCTTTTGTATAATATGTTTTGCTTAGTAAAATTGATTCGACGCCGTATAACTTAATCAAAGCTACAAAAGCGAAATGTTCGTATCATCAAAACCCGATGCTGTGGTTTTTCTTCCATGCCACAGTAAAACATGCGGTCTATTAGTTTAAGTCCAATATTTATTCAACGAGTAAAATCGTTTATCGAAAGTGATAGTCATCTGCTTTTCTTCTTACAAACGCCTGTTTTCTTCGTACAAGCGATACAGGCTTTAATTTTTGTGTTTTTTTTCTAGAACAGAGGAACTTTCGAAAGATAGCACTAAAAATTTCGAATGCATGACTTGGTACGCATTGAAAATATATACAAGTGCTTGGCCTTGTTTATGCATGCATTATAAATAAATTTATTCAAATGTCGATTATTATTGAATGCCTTACACGAAGATGTGGGAACCGTTTCAAGCGCACCGTGAGAAGTGTCTTTGTTGCTTATTTTTTATAAAGAAATAAAAACCAACATTTTGGATATCGTTATTTTCGGGTAAAGAAAAAATTAACTGCTTCGTCAGTTCTTTCATTGAGAACAAAGATGTACTTAGTCGCGTCCTGTTTGAATGCATTGGACTTTGAAATGTTCACATGCTCGGCACACGGCATTTCGTATTCAATTTAGCCAAATGAAACAGGACACGTCAGCGTTTACCAAGTATTATCGAATGCGATTCATCATTTCCGAAAATTGCATCTAAGAAGTCATTTCAGTCTATTCCATGGTGGAATTTCGCCCTGTGGTTGTTGAAAAGATCGTATTTAGTAAAATACTTCAATGGAATAAACATGAAATCCTCCTGATTTCATGGTGAATTTTCTCGCAACAAGAAAGTTTCTCATTTGAGTAGTATTTCACAAAAAATATTAAACATGCAATTCATCTTTATTACATTTACGTACGTGCGTTTTATCAGATTGAAAGAGATATCAAGATAGGTTGTATAAGAGCTATCAATGCGTTAGTTATAAATCTTATTGTACAGCTTTCTTGTGCATTTCATTATTGAAAAATCAACGCGCCCTATTGGACCCTCGAATGAAGACGTCTTAGCAAAGCCTTTCTTTCATTTTCTCTCTTACGGTAATATTTACTTGTCTAATGTCTTTACAACCCTAAAATTAATATGCAAAACACACAAATACTCTCGCAATGATGTAGCGGCAAAAACGTCGAGGTTGAATAGTGCATTTGCTTTCACATAAATCACGTATATCTTGATTTTTGAAAGCTGGGTGGAAAATAAAATAGAATTTAAGATAAGAGCGGCAGCTGTCCTCCTGTTCATTCAAATTTATGTAAATATTTTCGGTCGCCACCAGCTCGATAAACATAGAAATTGAAAATGCGATAAAAATTGCGTGATGGTCCAATGTATGGATAAGTCCACACCAGTTTCAATTAAGCCACTTTCAATTGTCTTGTACTGTACGTACGTCGTATTGCCTGCTGAAGAGATGAACATAAAAGATAAAACCTTTGACAATTTAACAGAAATTGCTGTACACCATTCATATAATATTGTTATTTCAAGCAAGTCGAGTATTATTAAATGTGGGAGACTTTTATTGCTGTTGCAGGTAGTTTTTAATTAAAGAGGAGCTTAACTTATGTATAAATAAAAGAGAAATTACCGAGTTGAACAAACATTGTATTTTGGCTTAGCGAGAGCTAATATGTTTATGACTCCAACTGCCGTAGCTCACCCGTAACTAAAGCATGTTAGAAAATATTGCCAAGAATTTCCTTTCTGTTTTGATCATGCCGCCAAAGACCTTTCATAACTGTTTGTCGATGGCAAGGACATAAAAGACGGCAAGTCTGCTACTAAAGCATCCGTTTCTCAAAATTATTTCACGGTAACTAATGATAAATATTAAAAATTAATTTTCAGTATTAAATTGTTTTGTCTTAACCAATTACCCACCACTAGCAAATATCATGTGCTTGTCGGATAGATATGGAAGAATGATCGTTTCGTAACGAATTATGTAGCCTACGTCATACACCCATAATTTCTCGTAGGAGTTATGTCAAAAAAATCGCAAGTTACAGTTGAACACCCCTAGGACCACAACTTGGTGCACAGCCTATGTAGGTGGCTTCGTGTTCTAGCATATATTGGAAATTAGCTTAGCTTCATCCGTTATGATTGCGTGTTTGAATTTGAAGACAAAGAACTTTTACATGCGTGTCCCTTTAACTTTTAACATTGCGTTGGCAAGGTTTGTTTCGCCAATTTGGAGGTTTCTTTCAATTTAAGCAATGTACCAAATGTCACGCGTTCGGAAAGCCGACGGTAAACTTCCGGCATAAATATCTCCAGCGTGCTTTACATTTTATTTCATTTCACATTTCAAATATTTTTAAAATGAATTAAATGCGATTTGCGAATGAAAATATTTTTTTGAGATGATAATTGTATCTTCAACGATTTGCCTTTTTTAAAAAGTAACGGTAGTTAGTTCGCTCAACAGATCAATAAAACATATATTTGCATGCGTAGAAACAGACAATCAATAAAATTTTGAAAGGACTTTTTGCTGATGATTCTATGACGATTGCGACAGAATGATGTTCAATCTTTAAACGCGGAGTCATCGCAAATATTTCATTTTATCCTTTGTCCATAGCTAAACTCGCACCATGCGTTAAATTATTTTTTACTTTCTGTTATATCCGCATCGATATTATAAGAAATCATAAAAACTCGAAGAAAAATAAATACATGGTTACACAACAATTTACTAGAGTGATTGTAGTACCTACTGTTATTCCTATTCAAGACGTTTAAAATCAAACAAACGTTCCAAAAGGTTATACTTTATTGTGATTGTGCGTTGCCTCTCATTCCGTAATAATCCCCCTCCCCCCGGAATGCTTAACAGACAGTTCTCTTACTCCCAGGGAGATGGTTGCAACCCACCAATAGATCGCTTGAGGGAGTTGGTTGAGGCATGTCAAGAATTATGTGTTGCCACGCAACAACAAGTTTTATAAATGCAAATTAAAGATTGCTTTTTTTTAATAAATAAATATTCGCTCTTTTTACGTGTATTGAGCACTCTTTAATTTAAGATTAACGATTTGTTAAAGAATACATACAGGCCGTGGACCAGATGGCAAATATGTGCTCAAAAAATGATTTCGTTGCACACATCTCACAACCAAAAATTTTTTCATAATGTTATAGACAATAATGGAAAAGTAAGTAATCAATGTGGCCTCAAGCGATAAGTGTGCACAATAAGCAGAAATTTACGTTTTATTCACGATAATGTCATCAATAGTTTTCAAAGTCAAAAAATTTGCAAATTCAAAAAAACTCTAATTAAAGTAGTATTAAAGTAGTATTAAAGTAATTAAAGTAGTAAAAAACTTTAATTAAGTAAAATTCGATAGACTATTATGAGACGAGTAAAAAAGTATATTACAACATTTACTTTCAGTAAATCGTTTATGAAGCATCAGCAAATGTTTTTACAAAGATGCTGACTCAGCATTTTAAGGTCTTGTTTTATACCACAGGAAGCCCTGCCGATGTGTCCAGTTTGTCACCTAAATATTAAGGAAAATCCTTAGAAAACCAGATTTTTCATTACTTTTACTCTTCTTTAATGACTTATAGTTGGTGAAATAATTTTGAACAAATCATTTTATATGGTATAGATTCAAATTTTCCACGCACTTTCTTACTATTAACAAGAAATCCACTTTTTTCTGTTTGCTGTTTTTATACGATTCTCTTCTACCGAGTTATTTTGTTCGTCAATATGTTGGTGAATACGATTCACTCAGTGTTAATTCGTTCAAAATTATTTTACTAAAAATATGGTATAGCAAAATCTTTAAAACGGAAGAGAGTGATTGCAAATCTGGTGATTTAAGGATTTGTTTTAATATTTAGCTGGCAACCTATAAAATAGAGCAAGTTGGCAAGTCTGCCTGTGGTGTAAAAGTAAAATAAGACCTAAAACGCTGAGTCAGCATCTTGGTAAAAAAATTCGTTGATGCTTCATAAACGAGTGACTGAAAGTAAACGGTGTAATATACTTTACTACTCATTTCATACTAGACTATATAATGGTACAGAGAATTTTTTAAATTTTCAAAGTTTTTAGTTTTAATAAGTAATGATGACGTCATCGTGAATAAAACGTAAATTTGCACACTTACCGCTTGAGGCCACATTGATTACTTGCTTTTGCATTATTCTCTATAACATTATGAAAGAAACTATTAGTTGAGAGAGGTGTGCAGCAAAAGTTGTGTTTTTTAGCACATTGGTCCACGGCCTAGTAATAAATGATATTATAGCGGAGTTTTGATAACACATTCCCTGTATGACGTCAGATCACGTGTTTTCATCTCCCAGTTAGGTAAAAAATTCCCGACTTTGAGAACTAGAAAATGTACGAAGATCTAATTTTTGAAATATAAAATTTATTGCAAATATGTTTAAATCCTTCAAAACTATCTATATAGCCATATTGCAAAAAGACGCTATAAGAAAGCAATTTGAATGAAGCTAAAACCGTAAAAATGTCAATAACGACATCGAAATGTCAAACATATCAATTCATTTAAATTGTCCTTACATTTTACAGCAATAAAATTTTACTTTCACATTTTCCAGACCATTTCTCAATTCATTTTATATGATATACACAAGCCTAGCAAATAATAAATTAATTTAAAATCCATTAAGTATAGTCACATCATTGAACTAAAATACATGGACACTACCTGTAATAGAAAAGCCTAATAATTTTTTGATGCCATATTTTACACACAGACACGCGAGATTACGCCCAGCGACGCAGAATTTCAAAACACTGCACACGCGTGTCTAGGTGTAATCTCGCGTCTGGGTGTAAGATTTGGCTTCAATTATTTGGTCACATACAACATGACATAACAGCGCATGCCATAAAAATAAGATCAATAATTTTTTATGATGAACTTCATTTGTTCAGTCCACATTCTCTGTAGTTCAAAATCAACTATGCTTTGTACATCAAACAATGTTAAAACTTTCGCCTTCGGGAATTTCATAAAATTGGGAGGACTGCATCTACTTCTTCCCTCAAACAAGCAAACGATAATCAAGCGTCCAAAATGCTTGGGAAGTACCTTATTAAACGTCAGCGTTCATCAGCAAGCCATACGAGGATGACGGGCTCACATCCCTTTCCTAATGTTTTGGAAAGTTTTGACGCATTCCAAGCACCGCCAGCGCAGATACTCCTGTAACCCTTCCCAAAGGTCAGAACGAGCCGATTATGTGTTTTGCGCGGCATCAGCGGTATCAAGATTCCACGTGACTGGCGTGGTAGTCAATGGCAACAACGACTCCAGATAGGATTTATGACATCGTATAACGGAGTAGACTAAAAGCGATAGACTATTGCAAACCAGAAAAGCACCACTACTGGTACCAATGTATAGTTCTTTGTTGACCACCAACAGCGAGAGCACTTGTGCTTCGGTGACTGAAAATTTTTAACATTAGTAACGTTGGAAAACCTTTTAGGTTGATTACTCAAAGCTAGTAGTTTAAACGCACATGAGTGGTTGGTGACGTCCTCATTATTTGTTGACAACTAATCATGACGAAAAATTGATTTTGCGCGAGGAAAATACCGCCTAGGGAAAACAGCCTTCAATGAAAAAATTATATCAGCCGAAGTCTGATCTCGTGCGCTATTCAACTCTACTTCCTGCGATGACTCGCTCACAGTCCCAGAGTCTCAGGAGTGTTTGAAAGCTTTGTCACAACGGAAAACCTTACAGGCTGTTAGTAAAAAACCGTTTCTCCTAGAAAGCCTTTATTCAAACAGGATGTTGTTTGAACAAAACGACAATCTTGTTTTGAAACAATACTTTGAAAACAAACATTTAAAAGGGCAAGGGCTTGTGTAAGAAAAAATTTCGGCATTTCATACCTTTGTGTCTTTGGTCAGCGGTATAGCTATGAGAACCTGGTAAAAAAAGAAAGTTTTCATCACTTAGGTCTGATTATATAAAGCGCTCAGCTAACCTTGGCAGAGGCGTATCGAAATCATTCAGAATAGAAATTTCAACTATTTTACCAACTAAGTCAAAGTGTGTATAAAACGATCAAGATAGATACAAGATCATCTAAAACTGTAAAGGACTTATGATCTTTGCATGTTTCCTTCTGGAACTATAAAAGTGTTTGTGATATTTAAATCAGATGATTTATGATCCATCCTTACTAAGTTGCATATGAAAGAATGTTTTATGCAGTGCGGTGCTTGAAATTAAATGAAGATATGATCTTCGCACTTTGCTGGACAATTTAAGCAATTGTCTCATGAACCTGAAAAATTCAGGTGACTCAACGGGATTCGAACCCATGACCTCTGCGATGCCGGTGCAGTGCTCTGACCAACTGGGCTATGAAGTCACAGTGGTGAGCAGGTCAAATGGCCTGCATAAAACATTCTTTCATATGACATTCCTTTCACGAGAAAACATGAGCCCAACAAAATTGACCTGCTCACCACTGTGACTTCATAGCCCAGTTGGTCAGAGCACTGCACCGGCACCGCAGAGGTCATGGGTTCGAATCCCGTTGAGTCACCTGAGTTTTTCAGGTTCATGAGACAATTGCTTAAATTGTCCAGTAAAGTGCGAAGATCATATCTTCATTTAAGTTGCATACGTTAAAAATCATGTTTCACTTTGTTCTTACGCTACTGTTCTGCTTGCGCTTTACAACAAGTTTTTAATTGTTATGAAAACTGATCACATAGCAAGTAACGAAAATGTAAATCAAAAACAACTGACGATAAATTATCTAATTTTTCAAATCACAAAAACGTCACTATTTCAAAAAGTACGAATGCAAACATTAATTTCAAAATGAAAGTTTACTATAGATTTAGGAGATGTGTCAATGAAGACAGTAAAAAAATTTGTGTTGTATGGTGAAATTGAAAAATCACCAGTCAGTCAATCTCACGATAAAATCATATCAAAATACGAAAGCTAATTAAGCTTTATTCATTCGCCCTATTCACACGTCATAAACTAACCCGGGTTTAACCCAGGTTAAATATTTTGCGTGAAAACACTACTAACCAGGTTTAACTTTAATTAGTTTATGTCCTGTGAATAGGGCTATTAATGGTACAAATGTCTGATTCGTTTTAATTTTATTAATGTAAAAATCAAAATGGCAACTTGCTTTGTATCAAAATTGCAGACATGTGTTTTAAGCTTTCTTGGAACTTTCTTTTATTTAAACTTTCAAAATGTGCTAAATGGATTGGCTATTTTAGCAAATAGAAATCAATATAGAAGCATGTGTAGCGTGAATTAAGATGCGCTGGCAAATTTGTGTAAAAATTTATTCAGCTCCCAACCTATTTTTAGCCCCCATCCCTTCTAATAACCCCCAACTTCAATAGTTGCAAAAATAATAATCCCCACAGGCGACTAAATAGATGAAATACGGAAACTCACTGCAATTTACCCACTTATCCCTTTCTATCCCCAGCAAGCCACCACTTCCAATTCATTAACATCACACAAAAAACATTAAGATACAGTGATAATGCTCTTACCTTCTTCCGCGAGATGATTCTGCAAGCAATCCACACTATTCAACAGGCATTTCGCACGTGCGTCGTAACGATACACGCACGTGCCAGGGTAGACCGCTATCCATACAGATGTGGCCAGGGGATCAAACTTGTCAATATTACCACTAAAGGTTTGGCAGGTTTGCAATGACGTCACGGCCAGATTATCTAGAATTGGATTGTCTAGTTCGCAATCTTCTGCGGCTATCTCTTGTTTCTCCTTGAGTGTCTCGGCATCTAGAATTAGTATGCGGCCTTTGATTCGTCCTAACCAGACCTCGTACTCTATCGCTACTGGTCCCTCGGTTCCATGGTTGTCCTTAGGCACGCCAATGATGGCAAGACTGTGGGCGAAATTGTCACCGACATAAACGCGTAATGGAGTGAGGTCTTTAGGAGAAGGAATATCACAACTTTCTCGAAATTTACTGTAAACGTTGTCAGAATACGCCATTATTTGCCCATGATAAAACGATACAAACACACAATTACACTTGGGCGCGTGAATCATCGCCATTATTAGTTTGTCGCTCGCCAAAGCCCCTGGCAAAGCAGTTTGTACGTAATGGCGCAATAGACAAGTATAACACCCGACTTGGTCCCAAGCCACACCGTATTGCCCACGCTGCACGCAACGCGTATCGTGTATTTGTCGAGCACAAATTCCTGTCATGGGCAAAAGTGTAGAGTATTAATTAATCGCAGAAACTGGATGCCTGGGATAAAAAATGTTACCGTAAATAGAAGCCTGGGGGGGGGGGTGTGATATCAAAACAGATATGGATTCACATTTCCTATGGCGTTAGGAAATCGGGGATTAAAGCCCTGTTTACTTTTCGTACCGGATATGCCTTTCGCTTTAACGGTTCCGCGGCAATCCGATACGCTTTGTATCGTTTTCCTGGAGCGTTCCGTTGTCGTGTGAACGCTCGAATCCGATAAGTTCCGCTTTGGCAACTAAAAAGTTCGTGCGACTTTTCAAAAATGAAAGCAAACATAGAGATACAAACTATGTTTTCAATGAATAATTCCGCCAATAAAAATAATATATCTTGAGCTAGGCATGTTTAAGCTTTTAACAATGTACTATCGTAGTGTGAAAAGCTTCTTCCTAGTGTTATTGTAATGGCAACATATATTCCGTCGTATTTGGACTTTATACTCTTCCAGTCCTTGCGCTCATTCGTACAGAATTGATCCAAAACCTTAAAACGCTCAAGAAAAAAGCTCTACTTTATTATCTGACAAAAAAATTTCTCATTTTCTTACGAAATATTTGAATTAGCAACCATCGTTGTTTTTGCTCGCACATACAAGTACTGGGGCGAATTAAGAACTTATGTTGCGTCTTACAAATCCGGTATCGTGTGAACAGAGTGCATTTTTCATATCAGATTGCTCAACGAATCCGGTATCGTGTAAACAGGGCCTAAGGGACTGATTCTATGAGCCAGGGTAGCCGGGATTCAGTCAAGCGTTATGTGATTTTGGCGAATGGAAACGAATCAATACTTATCATCATATAAATCTTTTCGACCAATTTCACAATATTCTGAATCAATAACTACGCAAAACATTTAAAATCAAAACAGCTAATTTGGCATAACTTGAGAATTACAACAGGAATGACTTGTGGCGCTTAACAAACAGTTGTATTTTAAACCTTGAAGTTTTGGCCCTTTTCAATGCTTCGAAATCATTTCACGCCACACTGAATCCCGGCCAGCCGGGATCATATGAATATCCCTAACACTTTAGCTTCAAGTTCAAGTTTCACCAAATTCACATCAACACAAAATAAAAAATGAAAATAAGTTTTATTGTCGAACAAAGAAAAAGGCAAGGGGGGGGGGAGGGAAGGGACACCAGCTGGCTAAAAACATGAAACTTAGGGGTAGTACTCCAGGCTCCACAAAGTATGCCGAAAATAAGGAAGAGAGTAGATACATTGTGAATGATAGCCTACCTCCATGTGATCCGAACGTCCATTACTGAAAGACAAAACATCCACAATGTCTTTCGTGACACCTTTAATAAATTTACTGTGAAAAAGCCACACTTCTTTACCCACACTGAGTTGCCCATCTGCGCCTTGTCCTGTCGTTGAATTAAAATGTATTAGTTAACCATAATTACTTAATTGAATTCATTGAAACCAAAACCGAGAAAATATTGCGGAGCCTTTATGGCGAAATAAAACAATTCTCACCCTATTGAAGACTACGGTATATGGTGTAATTAGCGTCCAAGGCGTTAGACAAATTCTAGCTGTTCTAAGGGAGGCGTTTAAGAGATAAGAGTCGTTTAATATAGAGTTTACATAATTTCTATCACTCTAAAGTGAACAAACGAAAACAAAACTAAGACTAAATGCACGGTTTCTGTGCCCAATCAACAACACATTATGATAAGGATATTATCATAATTGTAATGTTGCTTGTGAGTGTTGGGGGGAGGCGTTTATTAGATAGAGGCGTAAAATAGAATCTCACTCCTCGACGGGGATAGTTCGAGACGTGCATTTGATAGGTAGCGTTTATTATATCATTTACGGTGGCGGAAATGTTTTAAAAGACCAAGGCAGAAAGAGTGAATAAGACGAATTTCAGTAAAAAAGGAAAATCCATACGTAATAATAGTTCAAGAGAAAAAACATGTAAAAACATAGTGTAATGTTGCAATCAAAACCATAAGCACTACAAGAGTCGTTCGTCACGACAACTTGGTTCGTTTTTATGGCGCAACGGTTTGTAGCAACAAATGCATATCAATTTGATAGATTTACTCCATTTATTCGTGTTTCTGAAAATAAACATAATCACTGTCTCCGAAAGTTTCGTTCAACACGAGCCTAGCCATTAAAAAATCAGACGAAATTCAATGAAAAAAGCCCCGTAATTTTACTAATCACGTGATCGACTCGTGATAGGTCACAGAAATTTACTGAAAGCACTTGACAACGCACCTGCATAGTCACGTGATCGAGTTGTGATAGGTTTAGAGAGACTTGTCGCTTCGTTAAACGTTAACACGTCAAGTAATCTTGGAAACTCCGAACACGTCGATATTGAATAGATTTCGTTGCTTGACGGACGCTTCTCGGGATTCTGCGACCAGCACCATAACATTAATTCTAATGCAAACACTGGCGCACGTTTGTCCTGTGGAAAAGACGCCTTTTATTGATTATTTCTGCTTTATTGGCAATACATATTCGTGAGACCTATTGGTTGAAATGTCTTAAGCAATACAAGGTACATCCGGGGATGAATCCGGGATAGTTTTGTAGATTTGAGAGGAGGGAAGGAGATCTACTTTGGATTAGATTTTGGAGGCTAATTCTTGCTGCACCAAGTCAGAATTTTTTGTTAAATTATCCTATCTTTTTTTTATTATGACAGAGACATATTTGGAAGTGTGCCAGTGTGCTATATCAAACAGCAAACACAATTGGTTTTGCTTAATTGTTTGCTTTATTATTATTTGGTAGGGACATTGGCACCCCTCCTGCACCCTTTCAAACCAAGGCTCTTCACCCTCTCCTTAAATCCATCTTTGGATCCCTCTATGTGTTACACTGTTATTCAACCCTCTTTAAAAGGATCACATGAATTATACCCAAGAATTTATTTTTTTTGGGGAGAAGGAGCGTAAACTACGACCCGGGTTTTGGGACTTGAAGAATCGGAAGATTTTTCGCACAGTTAGAAGTTTGTAATAAATACAGATAGCAGCATCAAACACACATTTCTAAAAACCAAAAACATTACACCGATGAAGTATGCTTGAGAGGTCGATCAAGTAAAAGAATGAAAACAAAGTAAGCAGTGCGTAGATTTGAATAACCTCGACATGAGCTGAGTATTTAAATAAAGCACAATTAACAAACATAAAAATAAACGAGACGCCGATAAAACTTTATTAAAACATCTTTAGTGAAGACCCAAGGTCATTTCTTATTGTAGTAACGGAAATGAATTCGAATAGAAAAAACACAAAGAAATTTGCGTCAAAATGCTGCAAAATCAGTCTTTCCTTTACACATTTTTTCATGCAAAATGCCCTCTTTTTCGTTGTTCGGTCAAAACGACTAGCAATAATCAAGGGCCGTTCCTAGAACGTTAGTTGGGAGTTGGGTGTTTATTCATATATTCATGCAGTTTTGCTCAAATGATTTCTTCTGAAAAAATTCCAAAGTTTTACAAAATGCAATATCAACAATAACATACCTTTGACGTTAACAGTGGTTGCTTCCCTTCGACTACCATCTGTTTAATCTGCGCTTGGTTCAGATCGGAGAATGGTTGATTCAATGTGATTAACTCGTACATAAACATCCCGAATGAAAAAGAATCGACCTAAAAACAGAATCGGTTTTATCTAATGCTCGGACTCTAAATCCCATAGAACACACGTGATCATGTTCTGACCCTTACACATCAAATTGCTTGCGAACATTTGTATGTTTCTTTCAGTTAATAAAAATGCAAATCCCCTTCTTAAACACTTTAAGAAAATGTACTCTTTGAAAATAACAAACCGAATCTCTTCACTGAGATTTCCGGTGTTTGAAAAATGCCACCCAATGTGACAGATTATTTTTTACGACTTAAATTCACCAATCCGTGTTTGCATCAGACCATCCGTGTTCATATAAAGTCAGGGCGAACACTTGAAAATAAGTCATATGATTTTGGATCAATGTAGCTATTGTAAAACGTTTTAGTGTTTCTACTTTTCTTTTTAACGTCACATCGCCTGCTAAGAGATATTATGTTTCAACTTGGTCATCAAGTTCCAGTTTCTGTGGTTCCATTATCCAACAACACTTAGTTATAGAAACTTATAACCAACGATGTACCCACAATTAAATAAGTAACAATTGTAATGGACACCATTAGAGCGAATGCTTGAGAAACATGGCAACTTGCTGCCAGTAAGTTTTCCTCTACGGAAGTTTTTATGAAATGGAAATACATCGAAATGCATGCATGTAAACAAACAATATAAATTCAAAAAAGTATGAAGCAGGAAATAATAACTACAATTACAGTTATAGTAGTATGAGCAATCAATTAGCATGGTTTAAGCACGTGGAATGCATGCATGTAAACAAACAATATAAATTCAAAAAAGTATGAAGCAGCAAATAATAACTACAATTACAGTTATATTAGTATGAGCAATCAATTAGCATGGTTTAAGCACGTGGAATAGGATGTTGTGAACAAGAGCTTGAGGTCCTTGTGGCTAACTATTGTGCAATACTTTAAGTAAATACATAATTTTGGAGGAAATTGTTTGCATATGAGTAAAAATTTTATGTAGGTTTGGTGAAAGCAATCTCAGGAATCTTACCAACACAAAATTCCTGTTTAATTATTCTTCGAAGCACAAAGCTTTACAGCACTAGTGGCAAAATGATAACACACAAACCTTATCAGTGTAGGATTCCCGTCCTGAATATTTTCAATCTCCGGTGCCATAAAACCAAGTGTGCCACCAAGTCCTTTAGCGCCAGCCATTGACGCTGACCTACTGATACCGTAGTCGGCTAACTTGATCAAGACAGTATGTGCGCTCTGATTGGGTGTAAACGGCTCCGGAAATTCCCAAACAAGAATGTTTTCGGATTTGAGATCACGATAAATAATGTGACGCTGGTGAAGATATTTCAGCGCAGCGGAGCACTAAAAAATGTAATCAGATAAGAAAATATGGGGTTAGGGTAAACGATTCCTAAGCAAAGCAGCAGACACGACTAAACTAGATGTATAAATAATAAAGTTTCAACATGATGAGATCTTTCCTGATGAAGGCATCAGACTTTAGTACATAAGAACTCAAGTTTTAACATCAGATCACTCCTTATGAAGACACTAGACAGGAGAATATAAGAACTCAAGTTTCAACATCAGATCACTTCTGATGAAGACACTAGACTGGAGTATCAAAAGATTCAACTTTCAAAATCAGAAAACTCTAGATAAAGACATTAGACTGGAGTATATAAAGACTCAAGTTTCAAAATAAGATCATTTGAGATCAACGACTGAATTCATTCACCAACTTTCATACCTGAACTACACATTTTGAAGAACAAAAGGATCAAGTCGTTGTCCTGCTCGCTTGTAGTCCGCTAGAATTCGATCTAAACTCTTCTTCGGTGCGAACTCGAGGATTAAAGAAAGCGGATTAAGGCAGAATCCCCTCAACTGGAGAATATGCGGGTGATTTAGATTGACCAGAATTGACAGCTCTTGACGTATGGTTCTGGTTTAAGAAAATTTGTGCAGAAATTGGTTTATAAAAGCAGTAATGAATTCGAAAATGTTCAAGGATAGAAAAATAGGAGTTAGTGGTGTTACAGATGACCACATGGGAAAGGTGAAGTGGGTGTAGTGATGCTGTAAATGGCCTTGTGGAGAAAGTGGAATGGGGATAACAATGTTGTAGATAGCCACGTAGGGATAGTGGAGTAGGGGTGTGGAGTTGTAGATGGCCACGTAGGGACAGTGGAGTAGGGGTGTGGCGTTGTCGATGGCCACGTAGGAACAGTGGAGTAGGGGTGTGGCGTTGTGATGGCCACGTAGTGAAGTAGGGTGTGGCGTTGTCGATGACCACGTAGGGAGAGTGGAGTAGGGGTGTGGCGTTGTGGATGGCCACGTAGGGACAGAGGAGTAGGGGCAGTGGAGTTGTAGATGGCCACGTAGGGAGAGTGGAGTAGGGATGTGGCGTTGTGGATGGCCACGTAGGGATAGTGGAGTAGGGTAGTGGAGTTGTAGATGGCCACGTAGGAACAGTGGAGTAGGGGTGTGGCGTTGTGGATGGCCACGTAGGGATAGTGGAGTAGGGGTGTGGCGTTGTGGATGGCCACGTAGGGATAGTGGAGTAGGGGTAGTGGAGTTGTAGATGGCCACGTAGGAACAGTGGAGTAGGGGTGTGGCGTTGTGGATGGCCACGTAGAGTGGAGTAGGGATGTGGCGTTGTGGATGGCCACGTAGGGATAGTGGAGTAGGGTAGTGGGTTGTAGATGGCCACGTGGAACAGTGGAGTAGGGTGTGGCGTTGTGGATGGCCAATGGAGGGGGCGTGGCGTTGTGGATGGCCAGGGGATGGATGTGGCGTTGTGGATGGCCATAGGGAGAGTGGATAGGGGTGTGGGTTGTATGGCGGGAGAGTGGAGTAGGTGTGGCGTTGTGGATGGCACGTGGAGGATGTGGCTTTGGATGGCCAGGAAGTGGATAGGGTGTGACGTTGTGGATGGCCACGGGGAAGTGGAGTAGGGGTGTGGCGTTGTGGATGGCCAAAAGTGGAGTGGTGTGGCGTTGGATGGCCAGTGGAGTAGGGGTGTGGCGTTGTGGATGGCCACGTAAGTAGAGTGGAGTAGGGGTGTGGCGTTGTGGATGGCCACGTAGGGAGAGTGGAGTAGGGGTGTGGCGTTGTGGATGGCCACGTAAGTAGAGTGGAGTAGGGGTGTGGCGTTGTGGATGGCCAAGTAGGAAGAGTGGAGGTAATATATTAGGACTTGACGTTTTATTGGGAAGAGGTATAAGAGATACTCAATAGATAAATCATAGAAAATATCAATCTGTGATGCATGTACAAGCATCACGATGTTAACACTATTAATATTTGAACAACATAGGCAATCTACTCCATTTATTTTTACCACGTCCAAACGTTAATAGCACACCATTAAAAAGCTCACCATTTCACTACCCCATCATTAGCCCTTCACAATTCAACCATCAACCTACATTATTCAATCTCACCATTCAGCAACACCGTTCAACCCTAACCATAAAAATTCAACCTCTCAAACTAACCTGTACGCCTCAGTAAAAACCAAATGTGGCACTTCTTGAATTTTACGTTGCAACATTTTTGCCTCATTCTTCTCCTCTTCGCTCGCATTCTCGTCCACAGCAGTGTCCAGGGGCATTTTTAAAGCGACCTGTTCAACACTCCCATCATTAAGCTTGATCTCAGCAGCATAAACGGTACCAAATGTTCCTCGTCCCAGTTTCTTTCTTCGATCAACGCAATTCGTGTCGATGTTTAATTCCGGTGCAACGTCGGCAAAAACCTAAACAGTTCACAAGCTCGAAAAACATAGAATGCAAATATTATTGTTCTTAATCACTGGAAAACAAAAAACGGAATTATTTTTTTAAAGAAACGAATAAATGTTTGTATTGACGGAGTAGAACACGGCTGGCTTCATCTCTGAATAATTATAATTTTCGAAATAACCCTCAAATAAAGGCTTAATGACGTGGACGCTTTAAATTTGATCGCACATATTTCATATGGCTACCCCATCAATACGCTCATCTTATTTCGGCTACTAGGGTTTTCACTGTTGCTGTAAGTGTAATAAGCCTCGCCCTCTAGCGCAAGCCTCATATGCTTTGTTATATTTATGCAGAATGCTTTGTTATATTTAGTGAAACGTTTTTTGTGGTATGGAACTTAGACGTTATCTTTAAATAAAAGTGCTTAATACATGATAAATCCAACTTACTACATCCGGGGCTTCCTCTCGAAAGAATAATTTTCCATCGATGAGGCAGTACACGTGATCAGACGTTTGTGAACTCACGACACACTCCTCGAACGAAAATGTCGCAATTAACTTCGCATCAAAGCTTCCCCTATGCTGGGGACTGGACTGAACGCCAGAAGTCGCTGAGCTAGTTGAAAAACCGTCCGTATCAGTGTCAGATGATTGTTGCTCGTACCCATTCCCGTCGTGGTTGTCTACGCTAGAGGCTGGTGACGACTCACGTGACATTGCGTCAGAATCAGTAACAGCAAAGCCGCTCTCGTTCTCAAATCCAAAACTCGAATCACTTCCGGAAGACGGCGATATAATCCCGTTCTTAGACGATAAAGGCGTTGAATGAATTTGAGGACTATTTGGAGGTGTATTAAAATAGAAAACACTTTTGTGTGAATTTGGCCAATGGTCGTTTGATGGTATATTCTTTGGTTTTGATGACGTCACTGTTGCCGTGGTGATGATACGACGCAAGCATTTTGAACATGGAATAAGCCTATTTACTAAACTCTCACCGTAGATGTTGATGGAATCGAGACCTGGATACCAGTCTTCTAACAGGTTGTCGATATGGTGAATGGTCAAGGCGAGAAAACGAGCAGCAGTTTTAACGTTTGAATCCTTCACTGATTTGATTGAAAACGAGAAGTAATTTTTTGACGGTGAATCTTGCTGACCTTAAATTATGAAAACCAGACGATTTAAATCAAGAAAGTTGCATTAGACTCATTGCAATGGTAAATCTATGGAGATAAAAAAAAAGTATTGATGATGAGTTAAATCATCAGGAGTGATCCAATGATGAAACTTGAGTTCTTATATACTCCAGTCTAGTGTGTTCATCAGGAGTGATCTGATGTTGAATCTTGAGTTCTTATATACTCCAGTCTAGTGTCTTCATCAGGAGTGATCTGATGTTGAAACTCGAGTTCTTATGTACTCTAGTCTAATGTCTTCATCAGTAGTGATCTGATGTTGAAACTTGAGTCTTTATATACTCCAGTCTAGTGTCTTCATCAGTAGTGATCTGATGTTGAATCTCGAGTCCTTTTATACTCCAGTCTAGTGTCTTCATCATTAGTGATCTAATGTTAAAACTTGAATCCTTGTACAGTAAACTGCAGAAAAAAAGTTTGATTTGGTGTTGATAATTTAGTTCTTACATCCTCCTATATTAAACTCCAATCTACTGTCATCACCTGAGTTTCTTCGTCCAAGTGGTTTATTCACGACAGACTTTTCAATTTCCAGCATAACACTGGGAGCTATAATTTCGACAACATTGGACGATGATTTATCCTTTTTCTCTCCATTAATCAAAAGCTGTATTCGTTCACTATCTAAACACAAAACCAAATTGTTATTAAATTGTTACTGCTACTTCGGCTTCTCCGAACAACTTATAGGACGTTCTCTGTTTCCTTAACGAAATTACAATTACCATAATTACATTTATTTGTAAAAAAGTAAATGGTTTGAACCCAGAAGTATCGTTAAATGTAAAATTGAGTTTATTACACCGCTGGTTTGTGAATTGTCAATGATATAAACATTATAGTAACTAAAGTGAATGGTTTGAACCTGGGAGTATGGTGACATGTTTGTAGATGTAAATCGTCAAGATTAATGGAGTCCGGAGAAGGACTGTTGGTGTTGGTATTGATCGACAGCAACACCAACAATCTTTCTCATGACTCTACTAATCTGGACGATTTACATCTATAAGTAAAGAGCACAGAATTGAAATGTAAAGAGTACAGTATTGAAAATATTATTCCCTCCCCACGCCTACCTTTTGGGCAACCATAAAATGGGACTCCGTCCTCCAGTTGACAAACTCGGAGTAGTTTGACACCATAACAGGACAACTCGAGACCAGTCTTCCAACACGACCACTCAGGTTGTGCAATTTTTGACTTTTCTCGATGTTCTAATATAACGGATTGTTGATTCATTGTGAAGGACAAGCAATCGCCGACCGCAGATTCTAACTGTTTATCGTTGATCATCCTACATAAGCCCCAGAAATAAATGACGTAATGCAATGTAGCAATGGAAAATTTTTTGGTAGTCTTAGGAATACCAAGAATATCAAACCGAGGTGTTTCTGTACTAACTGTTTTGCAAATATTGACGTTCGCTCCTCTAGTTTTCCTCATTAAAAATAAGTCATCTGAAGTTGCGTCATCTGGATAATACAACCCAATTTTTCCGACAGACATTCGTGCACGATTTTTTGTTTAGCTTTTATGCATTTCACAAAACTATTGATGTTTGCTTTCATTTTTTTTACATTTGTTTCTAAAATTACGTGTAATGGACCGCCGCTCCATTACAAGAAAGTTGTGGACAGACAAAAATGTTTCAGAGCCAATCAAAGCGCGCTACCACAATAAAAGTGACTCTTGCCATAAAACAAATAGATAATGCGGTCTTGAAATAGATGGTGAGTTCAAAATTAGTTATTTTTGAAGTGTCTTCTATGGTAGACGTGCTTACAGGTCAAGTAAATTGTATACAGGTCAGTGTAGACTACCTTGTGATGAGACGAGCCCAGAAACCACTTGGAACGTACGACATCAAGTATTGCCGCCTGATCACTCTGTTCTCGGTATACGTCATCATGTTCATCGCCGTAGCAACAACAGTGTTTAAGCCTGGTGCGGATATATGATGGCCTCTGATTTGTTTTCAGGCAAAAGAGATGGCACAAGAAGATGATGAGAAATTAACGGTAAAGCCATCTCAAACTTGTTGAGTAGATTAACGTATTCATTGATGAATTGTGATGGAAAGCGATCACTCTTGAAAATGTGTGAGAGATCAGAGGATTTCATTACACCTGAAATTAGAAAAATTATTTTATAAAATACAGTGAAGAGAATCGCTCAATATTTGTTTTTCGTTTAAGTTTACATTTCTTATTTAGCATTTGTGTTTTATCAATAGTTTTAGGTACCCAGAAGTATCGTTATATGTTTGTAGATGTTCATCGTTGGGTTCGTTCAACCAACAGAACTTTAGATGGATCCTTAGATAGTCTAGACGACTATCGCAAAGTTATCGAAACGATAGTCAACATCAACATTAACACCAACACCAACATCAATACCAACACCAACATCAATACCAACACCAACACCAACATCAATACCAACACCAAGAACAACATCAACACCAACAGTCAACACCAACAGCAACAGCAACACTAAAACCAACATAAACACCAACACTAACACCAAAGTCGATACCAACAGTCAACACCAACAGTCAACACCAACACCAATATCAACACCAACACCAACACCAATATCAACACCAACACCAACACCAATATCAACACCAACACCAATATCAACACCAACACCAACACCAATATCAACACCAACACCAACACCAACACCAACACCAACATCAACACCAACACCAACACCAACACCAACATCAACACTAACGCTTACGGTCAACACCAACAGTCAAAACCAATACCAACACCAACATCAACATCAACACCAACAGTCAACACCAACAGTCAACACCAACAGTAGACACCAGCAAAAACACCAATACCAACAGTCAACCCCAACACTCAACACCAACAGTTAAAACCACCAAAACACCAAAACGAACAGTCAACACAAACATCAACACAAACACCAACAGTCAACACAAACATCAACACAAACACCAACAGTCAACACAAACATCAACACAAACACCAACAGTCAACACAAACACCAACACAAACACCAACATTCACACAAACAGCAACAGTCAACAAAAACACCAAGACCAACAGTCAACACAAACATCAACACAAACACCAACAGTCAACACAAACACCAACACAAACACCAACAGTCACACAAATATCAACACAAGCACCAACAGTCAACACAAACACCAACAGTCACACAAACATCAACACAAACACCAACAGTCAACACAAACACCAACACCAACAGTCAACACAAACATCAACACAAACACCAACAGTCAACACAAACATTCCACACAAACACCAAAAACACCAAAACCAACACAAACAAATAACCAGCCCTAACCCCAACACCATTTATCATTATAAAATCTTGAAAAAATCTCAAAATAGAAAATATTATTCCTTACAATAGAAAACCTACCATTTTGAACGAAAGGATTTACATCTCTGATAGCAACGACATGAGCCATCATGTCACAGAGCCATTGTGGATCAAGAAAATATAGTCCAGATAACGAGGGATCATCGTAATGTAACAATATACCATTATCGTGAAGAAATTGACAAGCTTGTGCCAGTTCGTCGTCATCTCGTAGTTTTACATGTTTTAAATCGAGTTCATGTTCAACCTTTTGTCTGAAAAATTTGCAGGTGAAGTAAGCGAAAAATTCTTGATGAAGTGTGTGACTGGTGATAATTTCCTGTATAATGATGTACATGTGTGGTCGACGAATGAAACTGTTGGTGAAGTGGGCGATTGGTGTTTATTTCTTATATAAACATCTAAAGGTGTGGTGGACAAATGAAACTGTTGGTGAAGTGCGCAACTGGTGAATAAGGCTTACATTTGTGCTGTATGGGTAGGTAATGAGCAAGTATCGTCAATTTTTTTAACTCTTCAGAACAAATAGACCTTTAACCGCACTCAGTGTCCGTAACATTACCTGAAATCGTCAGCCATCAACACAGGAGTTTGATTTGCATAATTGCACTTTATTGCAATGTTGAGAACAGCTTCCTTAACAGCAAGATAACTGGCCGGAATTTTCTGCTCTTCCACTAAGGTATAACCACCTTAAATAGTTAATCCGAATAAATTTCTTTGTTCGGTATGAAAATTCAATTCTCCATTGTTCATCCAACCTGGTTTTCATACATCGTAAGTCATCGCAGTTCAATGGAAAGCTGTTATTAAACTGCACCCCTTGACCTAACTCCCAACCACTACCAAACCGAAGATGGCATCATGAGATGTCGAAACATGTCTATTTTCAAAAACTTGTCGTTTATATTAAATGCGCACTACCAAACCCTGAGTTCATATTCCCAATAACAGCTCTCCTAAGTCAAAACTCAGTGCCGTAGCCAGCCTTGATGATTGGGGAGGGAGGCGATATATTTATATATGCATGTGTTAAACCGTAAAAAAACAATTGATTTCAAAGAAACTTAATGCGGTAGAACATAAATTTTTTAATATTATCCTCCCAAATTACGAGCTAGCTCCGTAACCCCAAAAATCTTCTTACAATGACGTCGCCAGGTTGTTCGCACTGGGAGGACATTGCTAACGTGAAAAGGTGCGAGACTTTCCACCTTCACTGTACGTTCTCAAAAATGCTATTTTTCTGAGGCAGGCTTTACGATCTAAAAGACACACGATTTAAGAAGGCCAGTTTTCTTCTAGATGTGTGAAAAAAAGTATTCAACTTAATCTTAGAGACAACGATGCTCGAAGATTGCTGTTTATTACACCGACTTTGCCCATGTGGCAGTTTCCAGGCCTTCATTATCCATTGTACAGCCCCTTTATTTCTTTTCATGTTTTAAAATCTCAAATTGATCTTTTGTGAAGCCACGTCCCTTCAGTTTCCTCCCTTGCGACGCCACTGCCCTCTTAGGGGCTGTTTACACGATCCCGGCTAACCGAGATGCAGTGAGGAGTGAAATGATTTTAAGGCATTGAAAGGGCAAAACTTCAAGCGTAAAACTAAAATGTTTGTTAGCGCCACAACTCATTCCTGTTGAAATTCTCAAATTAGGCCAAACATGTTGTTTCAATTTTAAATGTTTTGCGTAGTTATTAAATAAGAATTTTGTGAAATTGCTCGAGAAGATTTATCTGAGGATAAGTATTGAATCGTTTCTATTTGCCAAAATCATTTAAAGCTTGGCTGAATCCGGCTACCCGGGCTCATGTAATTAGCCCCTTAGCCTATTTTTCTTACTTCAGCACCTACCAATTTAAATTCTCTACCTCAAGCCGACTTAATGCAAACTCTATCTTCCAACCAAACCCCTTATTCCGACCCCCTATGCTTCAAATCTAATAAAATCTAGCCACTACCAACAACTTCACTAGCATTTTCATATTTCCTACCGTGTCCTTTGATTTCCAAAGCAGTATTGTAAATGATTTCTCTCAGTTGACTGATCTGATGACCGGTAGTACAACTAACGTCGATCGTCCGAACAACGTTCGGAAGACCACGTTCGCGGGGGATTCCGACACCACCTCCAAGCTCCTTTCCGACATACAATTCACGAATAAGATTGTGCATGCGATCGACAAATCCGCTTTTCTTGTCTTTTGCAGAAAGTTTGTCGTAAAAAGTCCCGACAATGATGACCACAGAGTCAGGTGCTCTTGCCTGAATTAAATTTTGCAAGATGAGTTCTGAAAAATGTTCGGTGTGTATAAAATTGACCAACATTACTTAAAATTGAACAAAGGGTAGCTTTCGGACCTGAATATTTAAAAGCCAAGAATATAATTTTCGCACTCCATCCTCACCATCAGTCAGTTTCCATATGGCAAGGTATAATGCACGATGTGTGAGAAATAACTGATGAGTCGCGTAATATTCTTTCTACAAAAACAAAAGTCAAAAGTTTCATATTTACACAACTTTCTTCTAAGCTTTAAGATCCTTATAGCTGAAGATGGTACTTAAACGATAAACAGTAGGTAACTAAGCACTACATATCAATTACTATCAATTGACATAGAGTTTGTTTAAGATAGAAAACTGAAATATTTGATCAAGGTGTTCAAATATTCTATTGGTTTGAAAACAAGTGCGTGCCAAGTGTGGACTTTGAATACACTTTAAAACACTTTCTTTCATAACTAACATTATAGATAACATCACGTCGTTGTGATGTACTCCAGTATAAACAAAATGATATTCATTCTTCTTTCATTCTTCCACAAAACTAATGGAACAGGCTATGATGATAAAAACACAACCCACATCATGCCAATGGATTCCAGCTCTTAAACACGGTTCTATTCATATAACAGATTACAACTGACCTACAACATCAATTGTGGACTATGATGATATTTTAAAACATAGTTCTAGCTTCTTTCATATCTTAACATCATAGGTAATAACATCACGTTGTTGTGATGTATTCAGGCATAGTAACAAGACAATCATTGTCTCCAATATTCTATCAACTGACTATACGATCAACTGTGGTCTAGGATGATGTTTCAAAACAGGGTTCCAGTTCTTTCATAATGTAATACCATAGATAATAACATTACGCTGTTGTGATGTATAGTAATGTTCTACAGAGGTACAGGACTTACTGTGGACTATGATGATATTTGAAAACACAGTTCTAGTTTCTTGCAAATCTTAATATCACAGACAATAACATCACGTTATGATGTATTCAGGCATGGTAACAAAATAATCACAGTCTCCAATGTTCGACTAACTAAACTGCGAAGCAAAGGGTCGACTATTATGGATGAAATGTTAGCAAATAGAAGTCTCTCAGCTTTGACCAAATCAATGTTATACTGAACAAATGTAAGCATGGCCTTCTTTAATCTGATAATTTAACTAATAAACCGTTTCGTTTTAAAATTATTTTAAAGCACAGTTAGCCGTGTCAAAATGAATACATATAACTGTTATTCAAGTTCGTTTGCCTAAAGCTAACAAGACAGCTATGTGCGTTAAATTCCTTAAATACTATAATCGATGATTTAAAATCCCTATAAATGTGAAAATACAGTGTGAAAATGAGACATGGACGCCATCTTGAAAGATGGCAAAAAGCTAAACTCTGATGTAAAACTAATCCTATCAAGCATTTTATAAATCAAACTATACAATTGTACATTAACGCAGAAGAAGCAGATTTACTCGTAATTATCGCCAGTTTGACACCTTTCTAAATGGCGACTTGCCTCACATACAACTATTTTGAATTTTGGCGGAGTAAGGCATGTAGTAGATTGGTTCCTAGGGCATTGACTTGTCAATGACGATAACAACCAGTCAGCCCGCTTCACCCTCTTCACATTACATGCCCTTACATTCGCGGGTTTTCGGAAAAATAAAAATCAACGTACGTGGCGTTTTCTGCAATACTTTTCTCTCATGCCATCCTTTAGTCGTATTTGTATCTCCTTTGAGCTTCCCCAGCAATGTGGTTTTGCCAATATTGGAAACACCAACAAACATAAGTTTTAAGCTTGGATATGGCTGAGCCCTGTAAGAACAGACGTCACAATCCAGACACGGTTTGCTAAATCTACCAGTAAAAAACTTAAAAAAGTTACTTAGTGATTAAATGTACTCAAAAGCCGAAAAAGGTCGAGTAGTACTATGATTGCAGAAATGTTTTAGTCAGTGCTTCACACATTGTGAACGATGGTGTAAATTAAATGTTTTGGTGTTTATGGGGATGCTTTGCGGTGATTTCAAGCTGGAAGTTCGGGCATTGTTTGTAAGACTACGAGTACAGATGACGAGCAAGGTCGAATAACAAAGCTACGACTTTGAATTTGAATACACGAATTCTGTAAGGTAAATACGTTATAAACTCGTCTTACTAGAACAATAGAAATTGAGGAAACCTTGGTGACTAAACTCCCGGCAACAGGCTATTTAGTTACACGACAGATAGTTCTTTAGTTCGTTCTTTACATTTTCAAAACTTAAATAAACCTTTCCTAAGCCCTAATCCTTCAATTCAAGGATGTCCATTTAAGGACATTCAAGTTTTGCACGAGCCCTTTTTGTAATTTATTGCATTTCTGGACAAAAACGCATTTAACGGCATGGCTGCTCCACGATAACATCGTCAATCATATCGTAATTTTCCGAGTGTTGGGTATGGCGTCATTATGACGTAAATTTCTGAGTGCTAAATATGACGTCATTATGAGGTCATACGTTATACATTAACTGTAGGTCGTCTTATGTCACAATATCCGAGGCCTATATTGGTTAAATACCACATCAAAGTAAGAACAAAAACCTCCTAGTTATAATACGACGGCAATGCCTACAGATATATAATTAAATGGAGCGTCCTTTTTTATGTTACAGTAGGGTAGGCATACATTCAAGTATCATAAAACCGAGGGGGTTGAACGGAAAGAACTGAGAGCACTGGTAATATGTACGATCTTGGTCCGATATTTCTCATTGAAGACTCGCGTTCGGTAGATAAACAAATGGTCAACCCAGCTATATTATCACATTAAACACTTACTCATCCAGTATTGATAACAGATATCCGGTGATAGCCTTGGTTCGCTTTTCAAGAACGTTAGGAGGTGGATCGTACAAATTCAATCCTTTCACATTAAGATCCCAAAGATCCCCTAGCAATCCTATGGAAGGTGGCAACTTAGGTACACGTGTCAGCGGATTGTAACTCACATCTAATGAGCCAAGTTTAACTAGTTTGCCAAGTTCTTCCGTTAAATACTCCAGTTTATTATGGCTCAGTGTTAGCGACATAAGATTTGGGTAAACACAAATATCACTGTCAGCATTAGGGTGTTGTAAGCGAAATGTATTCTCGACAACAGATTGTTGTTCAGCTCTAGTCTTTTCAAATGACGTAATTGTCGGTGCCTACAATGACGACACCACGTTCGCATGGTCGAGGACGTCGAAGTTCGGCTTCGCGTGCGACGAGTTGAGCGACGTTTTCTTACTGGGCTGTAACATAACCTGGAGTGATACAATATTGAGTTTAATGGATGTTACAGTAATTTGTTTAGTTATACGTGTCTGTAAACGCTGATAATTTACACTACAAGCCTAAAACTAGTGGATTAAACGAAAATAAACAAACAACAGAGAAAGAGAACAGTGTCCACAACATAAAATATATAAGAAATAAGATAACGTGTGTTAGTGTAGGTAGTGATGAATGACCAACAAAAAACAAAAGCAGTCTTATACTGTCTAAAATGTATGAAAAAAACTAATGTTAATTATAAAAACTAATGACAACACACCTGTCACACTGGTTGTCGTCATAATTTGCAAGCATGTCTGTATTTTGTTGAAGGACAAGTCCAAATGGGACAAAAGTTCCGGAATTTCTTGAATTGGCGGAAATTCATCGATGCCGTTGTTCGAGAGAAGTAATTTTGATAACTTTGGAGCCAAACACGTTAAACCAATAGGAAATTTAGTCAACTGGTTGTATGACAGATCCAATTTTTCTATAACACACTCCACTTGTGTATCAAGCTCTTCCTCGTCAGAATCGTCAGCTTCCGGGTTTGCGTCGCCTAGCAACGTCCGGTAGCTTATAATCCTGAGCCGCCTTTCCTGCGGTTTTTCATTTCTCCTATCTTCATTCCCGCGCCTATCGGAAGACGAAGTCGATGAGCTCTGCCTTTCATATGAAGTATTGCCATTAAATCTCGGACTTGACCTGTAAAACACATGAAACAATGAATTACGACTCAACTTAAAAAGGGACAAAGCTAGAGGAAGCCACAGATATGTACAGGGTGTCCTCCCTCACAAAAAAACGGAACTGGCAAAAAAGTTATGTAGGAATGAAAATGAAAACTGCATTAGATAATTAGTCTTTAACAGCTGTTTGTTCTGCTTGGTTGATTTGGTTGAACGCTAGTATGTCCAGGTTTGTTGCAACTTATGGAAATATGATTCCTTTTTTGATTAACGTAGAACATTCCTGGTGTGAATGTTAGTTGCACTATTGTGCATAATAGTTTCTACGAATACATCATTAATTTTTGTGGGTTGCCTTTTTTTGGAGAGACACCATACATTGGTGTGACTTGGGAGATTTTATGCAAGATGTTTAGACTTTTAACATTAATGGGTGGAGGACTTGACCCCCATCCCCTTGCCCCACTCCCAATGGCCGCCACGGGATTCAACGATGAATGCGTTTGCATAAAGGGAGCCAGTAGGTTTATGGAATTGTTAACATAAAGGGGTCATCGATTTCACACTGAAAATTTGTAAGGCCAAAAAACGGCGGATTTAAGTAACCCTTCCTAAACTGTTAAGCAAAAATTACATGAAGTAATGCCATTATTTGGAAGGCACCAAATTTTACGTGAAATATCGCGCAATAAAAACTTTAAGTTCGGAAATTCGTTAAAGAATTCACATTCTCGCAAGCTATTTTCTAGAGAAAAAAAAACATACATACCAATTGCTACCGCTAACAACATCGCTGGAGTTCGGAAGAACTGGTACATTATCGATGTAGTTGTTACTGAAAATGGCAATCCTCAAATTAGGACTGTGCCAAATATCGTATGGTAGGCCATTAAGATCGTTGTTATTGGCGTCCACAATTCGCAAAGCCGGAAGTAAGACAGCCCGGAAGAGTTGTCAGATTGTTATATTGAAGCTCGATTTCCTCCAAATGCGGACAGTACCACACCGCGATTTCCGTACGATTTTCGACAAAACGTCATCGGCCGAGGAGCTTTCGGCGTCGTTACGACTTTTTCCGACAGGCAACATACTCAACTCGTTGTGGGATACATTGAGATGCCTCAGTGAAGATAGTTGAAATATTTCAATAGGTAAACTCTGCAAACGATTGTTAGAAAGATCCAAGTTGGTGATCAAAGACGCCAACATCAAATTATTCATGGTCGCTGACACCGCTGGTCTAAGAATGGCCTTTGGCGCTGAGTATAACCACGCAGCCTCGATCTTGTGCAGGTCATAATTATGCCAAACGATAGATATTGGAGCCCAGTCATTGTGTTGCTCGCGTAGCTTCAATGGTAAACTGTATTCATGACTTGGATGTACGTCTGAAGAAAAATATGTAACAATGAAAAATGATGTTAACACGAGTCTACGTGCAGACTCTCAACTCCTAAAGGAGTAAGGGTCTGCGCAACTTCGAAAAGCTGCTACGCCTGTTTGCCAGATTTTAGGAAAAATAATTTATGCGCGAATTAATGTACAAAATATGTCGAAGGCAAAATATAAAATTTTCAAAATAGGTAGCAACTAAAGGAGTATTAAAAGGATTGCTTGTCGATATTTTGTTTTTCGTCGCCATTATCACAGCGTAAAGTTTATTTTGTATATTATCTTTTAACTGTTTCCCTTTCAAAGCCAAGCAACAAATGTAAATAAGTGGAGACGAACGATTCACAACAAATGGCTCGTCATACACTTCGGTTTCAAAAGCATTTCGATATGTATACTTTAAAAACGGCTTAAAGCGAAAAAATGCAAAGAAAATATGATAAAAACATCGAATTTGATATACCGAAGTCATTTAAAGGTTCACTGAGTCTACATTAGTCTGTGTAAACAGCCCCATGAGCCAGAATAACCATATACGTATGCAAGTTTTTACAAGATTCGGTCGGGCGATCTTCAAAATACCCCCGCTCTAAACTTTGCAACTATATAAAACAGGGGGAGATCCTAACGTAAACTGTAAGACGTAAACAGATGGTGCAAACTGTAAAATTTCGACTTTATTTCTACCTCATTCTTATTTTGAATGGTATATTGTATTGCGAAAATGTCTTTTTTTCCTGGAAATGTGCATTTTGTTTTGAGTTTAAATTGTTCGCTGAAAGTGAAAATGATGATTGAGACAATTACAATGACCATTTTCCCTAAATCAAGACTGCCAAGATGTTATTTAAAGAAAAATACACAGCAGTAAACCTTTTCCAAGAAGGATGATGGTCATTTCTTCATTGTCATTCGTGGTAGCATAATGGAGACATTTGTTGCCGAAGTCTTGGGCGCCATGATGTAATAGCATCTAAAATAAAATGACGTAAGTGTATAAATACATCACACCAACACATAAGAAGGTATCAATAAAGATTCGAGCATAGATCAATGATTGATTTGGAAACAACAGCAAGGCAGTGGTGGAGCCAGTCCGAAGCAATTACAATGCAATTTTTCAGCAAAATTGGTATTCAATTGTTAAGAAATTTTTCCATTCATTGTTTTTCCAATGATTTTAACTCAAAAATATTTATATTGCAGGAGTAAAAAGGACTGGATTGGCTACTGCACCAGAGCAAAAACAAAAAAAGGGGGAGGGTGGTTGGTCAATTATTGTATATGAAAAGATGAAATTACGTTTTAGATTACAATTTTTTTACGTAGAAAAGACGGAGAACTATACACATTATAGTGCGACACAAAAAAACTGACACTCGATATAAAGTAAACATTTTATTCTAAACGTTTCGACAAGTGTTACATGTCATCACTCGTAAGAATTTGGGCTTGTTCTACTGATGGCGACATGTAACACTTGTCGAAACGTTTAGAATAAAATGTTTACTTTAGACGCAGTGTCAATTGTTTACATTTTACTAAAATACTTTTCGGAGTAGTAATTTTATACATATTATACTTTAGAATGTTTCATGGAAAAAAGCTGGGACTGATATACATTACTGGTTAAAATCTGTAGCGGAGGAAAGACTGGGACTGATTTACATTACTGGTTGAAATTTATGGCGGAGGAAAGTCTAGGAATCATTGGCTTTTGAGGCAAGATTTTATTTTTTTTTTGGGAAGAGGGGTAGGAAAGAGTAAAACTCGTTCACAATTCAGTTTGGTAATTTCGGAGAGGTAGTCGTCCAGTTTCACATGCAGTCAAATATCAACCTTCCTCAACAAACCCATACCTTCATTATCTCGCTTTTTATGAGAGCAAGCAAGCTGGAGTGCTGTCATCGTAGCACCAATGTTTACATCCAACATGTCCGCCATGAGTTCACTAACATCCAGGTACCCAACCATATCGTCTGTCCTCACCGCACAATTTGATTCGCTTTGTGTTCGAGCAAGACCTCGACAATATCCACGTTTCCCAACGTCACAGCGTCGTGCAGCGGCGTGCGTCCGACCTTCGACTTCGCATTTACGTTCGACTTCATCGAACACGGTGTGCAACTGGAAAATCATTATCTGTTGTTCAATCATCATTACCTACACTGACAAGTTATCTTATTTCTTATATATTTTATGTTCTGTTCTCGTTCTCTTCATTCATCACTACCTACACTGACACACGTTATCTTATTTCTTATATATTTTATGTAGTGTTAAGACAGTTCTCGTTCATTCATCATTACCTACACACGTTATCTTATTTCTTATATATTTTAGGTAGTGTTGTTCTCGTTCTCTGTTGTCCATTCATCACTATGTACACTGATGCGTTATCTTATTTCTTATATATTTTAAGACTGTTCTCGTTATCTGTTGCTCATTCATCACTACCTACACTGACACAAGTTATCTTATTCCTTATATATTTTATGTAGTGTTAAGACTGTTCTCGTTCTCTGTTGTTCAGTCATCATTACCTACACTGACACACGTTATCTTATTTCTTATATATTCTAAGACTGTTCTCGTTCTCTGTTGTTCATTCATCACTATCTACACTGACACACGTTATCTTATTTCTTATATATTCTAAGACTGTTCTCGTTCTCTGTTGTTCATTCATCACTACCTACACTGACACAAGTTATCTTATTCCTTATATAATTTATGTAGTGTTAAGACTGTTCTCGTTCTCTGTTGTTCATTCGTCACTATCTACACTGACACACGTTATCTTATTTCTTATATATTTTATGTAGTGTAAAGACTGTTCTCTTAATAGATACTGACCAGTGGTGATTTGGATTGAACAGCAAGTTGATAATTTCAATATGTCCAGCAATTGCTGCGTTGTGCAATGGGGTCATACCGCTGGACGTTTCACAGTTAATGTCAATACCAAGGCAGGGATAAGGTTCAGACCTAAAAAACAACAAAAATAAGTAGATAGAATTTGACTTATACGAGTTGGCTACCTTCAAGAAACACAAAATCCGACCGACGGAAAATTAGTAGGTAGAATCTATGCCAAACGAGTCGCACACAAAACAAACTTGTAATCGTTATTTAAAGCATAGTCCCCCCCCTTTTGCAAATTGAAGTTGCTTCTAACCAACGAAACGCAAAATTTGCAAGTTTACAAAGAACAAATGAATCGTAGAGCCACTGTCGTATGACTCTTAAATATCTTGAAGTCAATATTTGAGCGTCATACGACAGTGACATTTTAAATTTATTACAATTAATTAATAAATAATTATCTGTTCGATTAACTTACACAAGCCTTGTAGGGCCTTGCGACTTTAAAAGTTTGTAAAAGTATTTCGCATATTATTTAAAGATTGTAAAATAAAAGAAAGCATCAATTGTTTTTAATACATAAAATAGAACAGTGAGTTTCATTTAGAACATAAAATAGAATATAAAGTTTTATTTTGAGTATGAAATAGAGCATAAAGTCTCACTTAGAACGTAAAACATAACGCAAAGTTCTATTTAGAACATAAAATAGAACACAGTGCTTCATCTAGAACATAAAATAAAACAAAAAGTTTAAAAAGAACATAAATTTTTATTTATAACACACCATATTGAAAAATGAGCTTTCTTATTGTGTTTCTCGACATTTCAAGCGAGGTAACCAAAAGTATATTATATGGCATGAGACATTTGTACCTTTTCTGTTAGCTTCAGGAAGCTTTACTTTCTTAAATAGACTGCCAAAAATGTTTTTCTAGCCGATCAAAGCGCGCCATTTAATTTAACCGGAAGAGACGCTTTCTGAATAATATAAACTCATATGAATTTCTTTACACTTGTGGTTATGAGGCATTTCGCTTAAACAAAAAATTTTGTTTTGTGAGTGGAGTTCTCCTGTGATATTCTTTCACAAAAATACATGCTCCATCATCGCAAGTCTAATCATGAACAGCTTAATGTAATTCTTACCCATCGTCGGTTTGTAATAACAACTTAGCAATTTCAACATTTCCACACCCTGACACAAAATGCAGAGGATTGTTATTCTCTACTTTCGTTCCATGTTTGGCAAGATTCGGAAATCGCCGTAGTAACTTCTTCACGACAACCACATTCTGGTTCACACATGCAGCATAGAGGGGGGATATTCCCGAATAAGGGTTACACGTGCCCGATGCTCCAGAAGCAAGTAACAAATCAACAGCGTCCACATTTCCATTCTCGCAAGCCCTGAAAAATTACACGAGAGCGCAAAAAGTGAACAGTTGCAGAAAGGGAGGGAGACCCTTGCAGTTACAGTTATAGATACACGGATATGACGTCATTAGTGATAAGAACTAAAATTTAATATAAACTTCTAATCTCAAGATATCGGAACCTAGTGGTTGGCAAATACAATATCCTTGACTACCGGAAGTTATTCTCTGTATTTTACAAATACCTGTCTCGCAAAACCAAGAGGTTTTCGCTATGGATCTTTAGATGATAAAAAAATTATTGATAATTGGGAGAAGGGTTGCTGTCGCTTGGACTAACTCTCTTTGCTGAATAAAAAAATAGATTTGGCTGACAGCTTTGCTCTCTCAAAAGTGCTGCACTTATAGCCAACTATATAATTGGTGAATGTAATCAAGGAGGTCTAGGTAACTAAACATCTTTAATAAGGCTCCTTCGCTATTTCCAGTCCTCTAGTCTTCCCAAGTTAGTCTTCCCGTTGAAGGCGCCTGGCCACTCAAAATAACTTTACGATGAAAAATGTTAATGATTGTCAACTTACTTTAACAAAAGTGTTTCGCCTGCAGCGTACTGCTTGTCAACATCAAACTCATTACCAAGTTGTTCAATTATTTCTTTCAAACGATGAAAATTTCCTCTGGCAGTAGCAGAAAAAGCCTCTGAAAAAAAACAAAAATTCATTTTCACATGAAGACATTTGATTTCGAGAGCAAACATTTTTTTTCGCAGAACTATACATACAGCAAATACAATCTGTTCTAAAAATTTACGTCCATAAAATTTCCGTGAAAAAAGATCTCGCGGCGAAATTATTACGAAAGCTGCTCAGTTGTTTTTGGAAGAAAAAACTAATACAGCTCACATCTTCAGGCATGTACACTTAACTCGATGAAGTCAAAAAATTAGAGAAATTTAATGAATACGTACCACATCCTATATTTTTTTGGTTGCTCTAAACTCTCCCGATAAGCCGAGAGTCTTATCGATAGTTACAAATATTACTGTTTTTATGCACAAAGTTCTTTTGAAATACGGTAGTAAATAATAAATATCATTTTTCAAAATTAGAGAAACAAAACGAATCAAATAATACACTGACTCACCTTCTTGCCATCCAGCTATCTGCAAATTGTGTCTGCGAACTGCAAAAAATGAAGAAAAACAAAACAAAACGTCGTACAGTTGGAAAACCACAATAGACAAGCTTAGCGTCAAAAATTTCAATTTAGAATTTTTCAATTCTTGAAGGTGCTGCACATAGTTTATCTGTTTTAACTGTCTACACTCCTTGGGGTGTCAGAAAATGGGTCGCTCTACCCAACAGCCCTTAAAATGTACATTTTACTTTGCTTTTACGTTACCTTACCAGGTCATCCCCCAAAAGATGAGGTACCCGTTCACACGATCCGATTTGTCGGATCCGATGGTTTAGGTTCCGACTTTTGGTTGCTAGTTCACACGGCCCGATATTTTTATTCTTATTTTTAAGTCTTTTTCAAATCTAATTACTCGCGGCAAATCAAAATTTGGGAAGTAAAGAGAGTAAAAAGTTTGAGGCTAGTCGGCTACCTTTGATCTTGCTGGATGAAAATAGAGCAAGTTCTATTTCCATCCGATTTTTGACACTGCTTACGTGATTTTAAACGTGTTCACACGATCCGTTTTGGGATCCGATAAACGGGACTTAAGAATGAATAATCCAACACGTCACGTGATTTTCATTCAATTTCCCACGAATATCGCGCGAAAAAATGAAAGTGTTTTGATGATCAGTTGGTAAAAACCAAAAGAAAATGGTTAAGTTTATCTTAACTTCTCTGATTGAACTGTGAAGAAAAACGCATGAACAGCTCCATACTCTAATTGCAATAACAATCCATTAAAATGGAAAATTTTCAACAAATTCCGACCTTCCTCATCTTTCAAGAATTTAGCGCAACTTGTATGTCTTTCTTCTATAGCCAGATCGATAGGAGTTCTACCATTTGCGTTAGAAATGTCAAGGTCGGCACCCTTCTCCACTAACAGCTTTAGGCATAAAAAATGGCCATTATAAGCTGCGTGATGCGCAGGCGTCTAAAAGTGAGTTGGACAGAGAGATATATCATCATCACCACGTCTAGGACATGATACTTGTGCTTACTTAACTAGATTTTACGTAAATAGATTAAGCCCCGCAGTATTGTTTTATGTCTGTGGATATAGATCGTCCAGGTTAATGAGGCACAGTCCTGACAAGCAAAAGCGTAGCCAGCCCGCAAGTTTTGGTCCTGCTTTGTAAATATTAGAATATTACAATTGTTCGTTTCTTTAGAAATCTATTGTTTTTACACTAAGTGAACAGAGAAAAATTAACATGGCAGAACCAAACTTGCAGCCTGGCTACGCCACTGCTGACGAGAGGGACTGCTGATGTTGTTGTTGACCAATGACCATCGATTAAACTAAATATGTGGTTGGAAGGCTATTTTTAAATAAACATGCCTGTACTTGCATGAAGCCAAGTTTTACCCACGTCTCATGGGATAAAATCGAGGTAAAGTCGCGAATTTTAGTTTATTGTCATGTAATTAATGAACTTTTTTTGACCCGTGCGCGGAAGGATTGGGACTAGTCAAGGTGCTGACTTTAAATTTTGGCAGAAAAATGCCAGTCGTATTCATGGTTATATTCAGTTCAATGGTATTGCCTGACAGTCAAACATCCTTAGCCAGCACCATTGCCAGCACTGACCTTGTCACCTTGACAATCTACATCCATAACCAACATATAACAGTTGTGACAAAACCTAACACCTCATCAAACTCAAAATTTTCACCTTTTCTATGGAAAAAGAACAAGTAATCCCAGTGTCATAAAGGAGATTTTTGGTTCATGCTACTCTAAGTATATGTATAGACTTAATTTATGTTGATCGATGCATCATGTTCATGATTAAATAAATATTCGATAATGGAAATCAGCTACTTACAGAGCAACAATCTGTTTGAGAAGACACCAAGTTTGGATTACCTAAATAAAAAAGGATTTATGGTATCATGAACAAAATGCATAAACCTGTTCAAATAGAAGGATTGCAAATAAAGATGTTGTCAATAAAATGTTGTTAATGAAATGTTGTCAATAGAGATGTTATCAATAGAGATGTTGTCAATAAAGATGTTGTCAATAGAGACAATGTCAATCGGGATGTTGTTAAAAGAGATTTTGTCAGTAAAGATGTTTTCAATGGAGATGTCGTGAATAGATGTTGTCAATAGAGATGTTGTCCATAGAGATGTTGTCAATAGAGATGTTGTCAATAGAGATGTTGTCAATAGACACATTGTCAATCGGGGTGTTGTTAACAGAGATTTTGTCAGTAAAGATGTTTTCAATGGAGATGTCGTGAATAGATGTTGTCAATAGAGATGTTGTCAATAGAGATGTTGTCAATAGAGATGTTGTCAATAGAGATGTTGTCAATAGAGATGTTGTCAATAGAGATGTTGTCAATAGACACATTGTCAATCGGGGTGTTGTTAACAGAGATTTTGTCAGTAAAGATGTTTTCAATGGAGATGTCGTGAATAGAGATGTTGTCAATAGAGATGTTGTCAATAGAGATATTGTCAATAGAGATGTTGTTAATAGAGACATTGTCAATGGAGATGTTGTGAATAAAGATGTTGTCAATAGAGATGTTGTCAATAGACACATTGTCAATCGGGATGTTGTTAACAGAGATTTTGTCAGTAAAGATGTTTTCAATGGAGATGACGTGAATAGAGATGTTGTCAATGGAGATGTTGTGAATAAAGATGTTGTTAATAGAAATGTTGTCAATAGAGATGTTTCAATGGAGATGTCTTGAATAGAAATGTTGATAATAGTAATGTTATCAATTGGGATGTTGTCCTTGGAAATGTTGTCTATAGAGATGTTGTCTATAGAGAAGATGTCAAAAGAGATGTTGTTTAAAGAGATTTTGTGATTGTTATCAACTGAAATGTTATCAATAGAGATCTTTTCAATGCAGATGCTTTCAATCAATAGCAATGTTGTCCATGGAGATGCTCTCTATATAGAGAGGTTTTATGAAAAAATGTTAATGGAGATGTTGTCAATAGAGTTCTAGTAAAGAGATGTTGTCAGTTGGGATGTTGTCAATAGAGATATTTTTAATTAAGATGTTGTGTATTGATGTTGTCAATAGAGATGTTGTCAATGGACATTTTGAAGAGGTAGACAAGCACAAATATGACAATTCCAGCATACATACCATTTTATTGACCAACAATTTAAAACATTAAATAAAGTTGAATGGCTAAATTGTTTTGTTAAGAGGACAACAAGTGGAAAATTGTCATTGAATCCTTCTCAATGAAATTGCTAAACAGAATTTGTCCTCGATTTCACGAGATGAAAGTTTGAACAAACTCATTTTCATCCCTTAGCAAATACTTTCCATAACAACAGAACACCCATCATTCCTCCACATTCAATTTAACTAAGAACTCTATTTGAAAAGGCCATGGCCAAGGCAGTCTTTCTATCAAAAATAAGCAAAGTTACCTCCATTTTCAAGCAGCAGTTTCAGACACTTTTCACTGCCATGTTGTGCCGCTGTGTGTACAGGAGATCTTCCTTGCTGATCTCTAATGTTTGCATCGCCATTGCTTGGGATGGACAGCAAATTCAACAGAAACTCAACCTGGTCATAAATGGCTGCCTGATGAATCAATTCCCCTTCATACGAAAAAATCAGACCAGCCATTTCCAGTCAAAATTACCAGTCTAAAATGGAAAAAAGAAAGAAATGGTTCGAATGGTTTGATTAAATAAAAAGGCATCAAGAAAGGCCTCTTTTTAACTTTTTATATTGTTTAGTTAAAATTTTTGATAATTCCTAAATTTTCACAGCTTGGAACAGAAGAGAATCTGGGGTTAGGAATACAAAATGCCTATGGTTGTTCATACCAAGTACTACAAAAGAATTAAATCATACCAATGAAATTTATTTTGCCTAATCCTGGATCCTATTTGCTCCAGACATGGCACATTATAACTAAGATTTCTTATTTTTGATAAAAGCAATTCAAATTCCAAAGTAGAAATAAGCATGTAGTCATACGAAGCACATCCATTTGTTTGAAACATATAAGGAAAACTGCAACATGCTTTATGCAAAAGGATTCAGCCAAATGATATAAAAACAATCCATGCTTGAACAATGCAAAGAAAGGAGTTGATTATTGTAGCTTATAACCTTTAACTTTAATCTCAAGCAGTGGCGTAGCCAGCCTGCGAATTTGGTCCTGCTATGTTATTTTTTTGTGTTCACTCACTGTAAAAAGAAAAGATTTCTAAAGAAATGAATAATGTTAATGACCTAAAATTTACATAGCCAGACCAAAACTTGCAGGCTGGCTATGTCACTGATCTCAAGACATGCTAAGCCTAACCTTCTCCATCACAATGTGTAGAAAATTAATTGTCTGATTTAGGTTAGGGAGCCCAGAGCCAAAAAAACTTAGAAAAAAAGTCTAAGTATTATAAGGTACATATAGTGGGATAGAAATGCCGAAGGCAAATTTTAGGTGGAAAATGAAAGTTCTGGAAAAGTCAATTGTGTAGCAAGGAGAGTGCGAGAGAATTAAGTGATGAAATATTTAGCCAAATGAAGTTGAAATTGTCAAAAACAACTAATTGATAAAGGAATTGAGTTGAATAAGGCTACTGGCACCATTCGTAAGACTAGAAGCATGATCACATGGCATTGGGCAATAATAGGAAGCCCTGTTATTCTTAAAGCTATTAAGGATGTCCAGTGATTTCACTTTGAAATAGTTTTTGATGTAAGCAGTAACTACATTCAATGTGACAACTAATGCTTCTAAGTTTCTTGTAAATAATTATCTCGACGCAAACATCAGTTTGAATGCAGTATTAGTCTAACAAAGACAATAAATTACCAAATCTTAATCAGGCGTAATATGAAGTGAGCCTAGAGATAATAATGGTAAAATCAATTTGGCATGTTAGTTCGATAGCGTCATTAAAATCGCTAAATTATCCATGCTTTCCCGACTTATCACAAAAAGAATTCAGCTCCAATTAGTGATTAGAACACTATGAAACGTTTCCTACTTCGCATTGTAAAAATTGAGGGGTTAAAGGTTTCAACTTCTCGTCAATACAATAAAAGTCAACAACGATATGAAACATGTTTATTATGATATTATAAACGGAAGGCACATTTTCGTAAGCAAGATTGTCGAATTCATATTTTGTGCAGAAGGGATCGAAGATCGTTCATTGAAATATTTGATATAAATATTAAAACAAGCTTGTATTTTGAGTCGAGTATAAATTAAAATAAAATGTGCCGCAACGCGTATGACAACAAACAATTTAACCGACTGATCACAAATATACACATAACTATTTTGAAAGACGATCAGAAATCGATTAATTTAACACGAACAATGTGAAATGAACTCTGAATTGGAATTCTGAAACAAATTCGAATTTTAAAATAGAAAATCAAAATAAACTAGGTTTTCCATATGCGTACAAACTATGGACATACATTTAGTCTTTAAGACTTTACCTTTGATGAAACAATTGATGAAAAAAGACAAAATGACGAAAACACAAATCTTTTAGTTTGTATTAATGTGATGCTCTCTCTCCAAGATATCTAAATCGTCAGTTCACCTGGTTATAGAACAAACGATATCGACATGAGGAAATCAAAACAATCTGCTCGGTTTCGCTCCTGCCACTCTGGGCTTTTCCCTTGTCTTTGAGCTTAAGCTTTGACAAATCAAATCATTCTACCAATCTCTCATGAGTTAAAATAATGCCGCGTTATGACAGTTTAAGATGAAACAACTTCTTTCATACTGTCGAACTTCGACAAGGACAGCTGAAAACATGCTTCATAAAATAAAAAATCGTGAATCGTTATAAAATTCGCCTTGCGGCCAATTTTATGCATAATCGTTATCAGAAATGCAATTCTTAGAAGAAGCATCAACAGCCCCTCCTGGCCAAAGATTTACAGGAGAATAGGTACGCACGCGGACCATTAAAGTGCTTACGAAGTGCAAATTTCGAAATTATGGTGTTAGTACAATAAACTTTAAAATTGATAGTAGACATTCTGAAACAGTTTGTAAAAATATTTTTTCATCATCAAGATATAACAGTTTTGCTAAAGTCCCGTTGAGTTACAGACGTACTCAGTTTCCGGGCAACTTTTGCAGGAAAGGCTTGGGAAGTTATCACTATTGAAAGAAGGCATCTCTGTTCGGTTGAAGTAAAATATCATCAACTGACATCAAGCATACTAGATAACTCAAATTTTCATTGTGCAATATGACGTCACTTCTGTAATAAAGGGGACATTTGAAACAAAACAATCCATAAGCACGAACTGTTTTAGAAAGTCTAATGTGATTTTAAAAGTTCTGTATGCTAAAACTATAATCGAAAAAAGAAAATTTTCTCCTCATAAGCGCTTTAACAAGAACAGGCTGACGATGAAACCGATGAAGCAGGGCAGACAGATGCCTTCCCAACCGGACCGCATCGAACGGTTCCGAGTGACAGGCATTCGAGTGTATTCACGTCAGGGGGAAATATCAATGGCCCTTCTCTGCCACCAAAGAATACAATATATTATTTTAGCTTATTTTACATTAAAAATATTATAACAACAACACTGTAGGCGAGAACATGTCACAGAGCCGTAACAGAGAAATTTTAAGGTGAGTATGCGCACGCATTTGAGCCGGGCTTAACTTGTACACGTGCTTTGAATGAGAATACATAGAAACAAACACGTTAATCGAGCTTAATTGCATAGGCACCTTTCTTATTTTTAAATTTTAACAGACAATTTCAGTTATTGTTTAGTATTTTTTTTATATAATAATAAGACGTCATAGATGTATGGGCAGGAGGTGGGTAGGTGCACCTGCAACCACTTTACCACCACTAGTTACGGGCCTGTATTACCAAAAGAATGAGCAATAATTAAAGTATGTTGAATTGGAATCGGTGATATTTCTGACTTATTCTGGCTGCACTACTGATGCAGATTCATTACACAATTACATTTAAAGACAAAATCGGATGATAACTTATTCAATAACTGTTGCTAAGCGACCAGACTCGTCCCATTTTATTGATTTGCCGTCCGCACTGCTTGTGCTGTTGCGTCTTTCCCTTTCTGCTGAACTAGTTCCAGGAATTGTTATGAGTTGCGCTTGCTCCATTCTTCTTCTCATTTCTTGTATATTCTTTTCCTTTACCGCCATTTTTTTGTTTAGTTCTTGAATCGTTTTGTATCTATTGTTTTTGAAATAAGAAATCATGACAATGTTCTCAGGAAAACAGGGGGACAGGAAGGGGGTTGTTTCATCGTTTGATTGTCAACGTCAAATTTTGCAGGCATGATTGAGTACAAGCTATCGTAATAGCTTCATGTCTAAAACAGTCAGAGTAGATTAAGAAGTTGCGCCACTGACCACTGTGTCTGATACTGAGCAGAACTAAGTCTTCACCTCAAGTTTTCATAAATATAGGATAAATATATAATATCCCCTAACAAGTAAATGAGCTTACATTAAGTGTTAGTGTTGGCGGTTGAACAGGGGCCCCGTCAAGGCTTGTATGAAAAGGGCACGAACTGAGTCTTATGTATTACTCTTAATACTGCAGTGAACAAGTATTAAAAGCACGGCCAACCTTGGGATTTTCTATGTGACCGCTTAATATAGGTCTGTACAAAAACGAGGTAAAACATTCAAGAGCTTTGACTGCAAAAAAATAGACATGAATTTTTGTAGGTACTGTAGAATTTATGCAGGCTAAGCACTATGTTATAAGGCGAAAAAGTAGAAAACGGCCGGCTGACCGTCTTCCATCCATATTTTTTATTTCTGTGTGCAGACTGGATGTACAATAAACAAAACACTAACATAATGCATTTTTGAGCACTTTTTAAAAAGCAGTTGGAACATATTTTGTGGTTTTTTTTTTCAAATGGGATTTGAAAACTGAGCATTATTATATTTGCAACAGCGATTTGACTGTCAGAGGAACCATTGGAAATCCGACTACTTTTTTCAACTAACTTTTTTGCAAATTTTTTGCCCTGTTGAATTATTAAAGTTTTGTTAACTGTTCATTTTTTTGAGAAGTCCCCCTGCATAGAGGCGCATTACCAGAAGGAACGTTTTAGACCACCTGTTATGTACGTGTTTGAGCCGGAGAATCATTTTCTTAAATTTCAATTTGGGTGACACAAATCTCATCAAATTCTAGGTTTTGTCTTCTTATGGCCCAGAAGACGTGGCTTACCTTTGGTTGCTCAGGTAACCCAGTTGCTCAACTTGTTTCCTCAAGTGCCATACCATCTTATCACGCTGTTCAAGTTGCTCGCGAGCTTCATCACGCTCGTGACGTAATCGTTCAGTTTCATTGGTAACCTTCTCCTTACACCTTAACCGTTCTACTTTTGTTGCGTGTTCCATGCGCCTCTTCTGATTGGATAGTTTAGTTTTAAGTTCCGCAACGCGCATGCGTGTCCGCGTGCTGGCACCAGTCGCATTTTCTCGATCAAGCAAAGCTTTGCGAATACTCTCACGTAATCGCACGATTTCGCGATCTTTCTCACGAAGAACTTTCGACAGTTGTAAACTCACGAAACTGACTTCATTTGACATTTTGACATGGAAGCAATCACTAATATCAGTGTGAGGAAGTATGCATTGACCAAATACCTGGCTTTCTTTATCATTTCTAGAGTCATTAGACACGGCTTCAACGATTTGTGATACTTTATTTTGGTGCCTTGGATCATTCTTAGCGGACACAAAGAATTTTGGCCGATGATATTCGTCTGTTTTCTGTTCATCTTTAAAATTGTTTCCATGGAGTTCAAATTGCGTGCCATCTAAGCTTGTTGCCGTTTTTTTGCCTTCCACAAAAGCACTTTTTCCCGCATATACTAGATTATCTTTCGGTCCTAAGGAAATTGGTCTTGTAGCACGACATTTGTTGTTCGAAAGTCTCGGCAAACTGTTCATATTTACCACAGAACATTGGCACTATATTAAATAAGGAATTTGGAGCAGTAATTCAACACTCAATCTGTTGACGGCAATTAATATTTTTAATTGATCGTCATTTGATATCTTGATATTGTCACTCTTCGAGCAAATTACCAACTCAGTTGCCAACCCAAAACACGCGTGTACTCCAAAATTTGAATTGAAGCGTTAAGAAAACAAGATGTTTTTAAATGAAATTAAGACGCACACACACCAACAACAATGTAAATTTCATTCTGCCTAGCATCGTTTGAACAACACAGTTAGTTTAGTAAGGTATTTTATGTCAAATTTTTGTACATAGTCATGATTTAAACTAGAAAGTAGCATTGTATATTTAACTTAGCAACGTTTTGATCAGAATGAAAACTGCAAAATAAAATGAGGTCAGTTGTATTTGCACTGTACCGCTGGGAAAGCCGTAGTAGACTTGATTAAGCCCATCACACCAACAAATTTAAAAATTTTTTGTTTGTAATAATTAATCAAATTAATTCTCTTAACTCAACATCCCAACAGCTGTTATTAAACATTGTTTAGCATGAGCGGTATGACACAGCATAGGAAAAACCCTGGTTTTTTATTTGCTTTTGTTTGAAATGGTACTGAAACCTCAATACTTGTATGCAATTTCTACTTGCAATTTTTAATTTAATGGTACTAGATCACTCCTGAATGTTACGAAATGAAAAACATATCGTTGGAAAGTTGAAGAGGTCATTTCTTTTGCTATGTAAAAATATAAGACATAAAAACTTAATATCAAATGCACGATAGCATAGTAAAGTTTGATTTCGATTCTCTTTTTTTGATATACGCTGCAGTGCGCACGTGATAAAACAGACAAATCACCACTGTTATGCTGTGTTCTAAAAGAATTCGGGTCTGCTCATTGGCTAATAGCCATGTGTAAAACCGCTATATAAAGAGTGACGTCAAAGTGGACATAAATTATTTATGACGTTACGATACATGTCAATAACAATGACATCAACATTTCAAGATCAAAAAGAACGTGATACAAAATAATTAAGTTCGTCCATTTATAAAAATTTTGATAAAATTTTTGGATTTGCTTTTTCATGATATGAAGAAAAATCAAGCATTTGAAGCTATTCCTTGCTATGTTTCTATTTTTGAGTGTCAACATGAGTAGTATAGTACATGGGGGTTCTAGCGCACGAAAAGTGCGCTATAATCCCCCATGTACTATACTACATATAACCTTGGGTAAAAACTATTTTTATAACAGCTTAAAATAAGACCATGGTTTAAAGACGTCCCTCTGGTAAAAAGGTCATGTAAAAAAGCTGTGTAAAAAATTGTTTGTTTCAATATAGTAGTAAAAACTTTCTTTATAACAGCATAAAATAAGACCATAGTTCAAAAGGCGTCCCTCAGTAAAAGGTCATGTAAGAAAGCTGTATGAAAAAAGTCATTGTTTCAAAGGGGTAAAAATTTGGAATCTATATGTTTTAAAAACTATCTTTACAAACAAATGTTAAGAAAGCATCGGTTCGGAGGCGATCCGGCAGCGCAAATTTTAGCGTAGCTAAAATTGAGCAGGGGGATGGGATCGCCGAGAATTCATGCGAGCCTGGTGGGTAAAAAATTCTAGCTAAAGCTAGAATTTTCGGCTCGCACCCGTGGTGTCCGAAGGACGACAGAGGCTTAAGAAATGCTCTTTAAAAACTATCTTTAGAAATCAAGTGTTAATAAAACATCTTTTCAAAATATGGAATCTATATGTTTTTAAAAACGGTCTTTACAAACAAATGTTAAGAAAGCATCGTTTCGGAGAGGGCTCGGCAGCGCAGATCACGAAGTGATCGAGCAGGGGAATGGAGCCCTCGAGAATTCTAAGTGACGGTGGGGAAAATTTTCACGAAGTGAAAATTCGGAACGTCCCCGTAGATTCGAAGAATATTCGAAGAATATTCGAGAATAACAGAGGCTTAAGAAATGCTCTTCAAAAAACCGTCTTTAATAATCAAGTGTTAATAATCAAGTGTTATTAAAATATCAGTAGCAAATTCTTGAACCCCAAGGCGCGCGTGTCTTAGTGCATGTTCTTAACAATGGTTGTTTAATGTAGATAGCACATTTCATCAGCGCATGTAATAATACAATGTTTTACAAAATATGGGTTCTATATGTTTTTTTAATTTGTCTGTCAAGCGAGTGTTATATGTACATGTTTAACAATGTTTTATATAATTTTTGTTAAAATTGTTTTTAATAATTGTTTCAGGATTTTGAATCTTTTTGTATATCGCTTTTGTATTAATTTATGTGATATGTAGTCAAACATGAGGATTATTCTTCATCTTAAGTTTTAGCTTGATAGTTATTTTTAATAAATTTTTTTAATTTTTCGATTTCATCATTTACAAATTTTTTAGTTGATAGAATATTATCTTCTATAGTAGCCCTAAAATTTTGTGAAAAACCATTAAATGACATAGATAATGTAGATTGATGTTGTGAATAAACTTGAATTTTGGTTAATCCATTAAATGCTGCCAGCCATTTTCTTTTCCATTCGTCATAACCTAGTGAAACTGAAGATTTTGTTGGTTCAATAATAATAAAATATTATTATCTTTATCATCAACACAGTATACGTGATATAAATCTAGTAATGCATTAACTATCTTTTTTCATTATCATTTGTTACTTTAATGATAAATTTTTTTTTAATCTTATCTGCCATCATATCTAATTTAATTGTTTTAGAGTTATCAGATGGATTTATTAATAAAAGTGTAAATTCAATAAATTTAACATTATTAAAATAAATTCTGATAATATCTTGTCGGGTATTAAAATTTTTATAATTTAATTGATTGCTATGGTGTACTACTTTACCATTTACTCTGCTATCAATCTCATTCTTTGTATAATAGTTAGTTAAATTAGAAGTCAAAGCATACTTACCATCAGCTTGTGTTTTAGTATAATAGTTATTTAAATTAGAATTTAAAGCATACTTACCATCTGTTTCAGTTTTGTATAATAGTTATTTAAATTAGAAGTCAAAGCATACTTACCATCAGCTTGTGTTTTAGTATAATAGTTATTTAAATTAGAAGTCAAAGCATACTTACCATCAGCTTGTGTTTTAGTATAATAGTTAGTTAAATTAGAATTTAAAGCATACTTACCATCAGCTTGTGTTTTAGTATAGTAATTAGTTAAATTAGAATTTAAAGCATATTTACCATCTGTTTCAGTCTTTGTGTAATATTTATTTAAATTAGAACTTAAAGCATACTTACCATTTGTTTCATTCTTTGTATAATAGTTGGCTAATCTTGAAACAAAAACATATTTATTATCAGCTTGTGTTTTAGTATAATATTTTAGTAAATTAGCAGTTAAAGCATATTTATTATCTGTTTCATTTTTGGTATAATAATTATCTGATAGATGTGTTTTATTTACAGGTCCTTGTATATTTACATTAATATCTGTTTTATCATGCCCATAAAATAAGCTCATTTATATTATTCCTCAGATTTTATATCCTGTTTATTATTTTTATATTCGTAAACATGTTTAACGGTTGTTATACCAGATAAAAACCTAGAAAGGTAATAGGGTGATATTTTTCTACTAAACTATAAACATCTCGTTTTAAAAGGTCGTCTGATTTAAGCTGTTTTGTTAATTCTTTTGAGTCTTCAATAGCATCAAACCCTTTTAATATATCTGAAAATTTTGATATAACTAAATCAGTTAAAAACTCATTAGCTTTTTGTAATCGTTTTTTCTCGTATTCAGTGTATAATTTATCAATAATTTTTTGACTAGCTTTTTTAATGTAAGCAACTGACTTGTCTAAATCACCATCTTCAGCTAGTTTAAGTAGTTGATCTCTTTTATTAAAACCCTCTTGCGGTTTATCTTGTATATTATCATCACATACAGCATCTTTGATAGTATCATTTGCGGAATCAATCTCATTAATTATATCATCAATTGTTTCAGGCTCTTTACGCTTTGGCATATATATTAACACATGTTTTATTGCGGAATAACAATTTTCCATTGGTATGGATATATTAGTTGAATAAATAGATGAGCAAATTTATTATTTTTCAATTTTTTGGTTATTTCTTCTATATCATCTTTCTCAACACCATAAAGATAATCATCAAATATTGTTTTCATATCATTGCGGTTTGTATTATAAAATGTAACTAAATAACTTATATTTTCACGATAAGGTTTGGCAATACTTGTCAATTGCTGTGTAACCACAATAGTAGAAAGTCCATAATGACGAGCACTGAATGCTAAACGAACTAATTCAGATGTCCTATTTTTAACATCTAAGCAACAAGCACATCATCAAGTATAATAAGACTATTTGTACCTTTATATACATCACTAACATATTTTAAAACAATATCTACCTGATCTTGGTCACATTCTACCTTAATTAAATCAGAATCATTTATATATTTCCATTCTTGATAGGTTTTATTATATGATAGCGTTGGGCATAATAAAATAATATAATCAAAATGTCTATTAAAGTTTTCTTCTAACATTCTTAAAAGAAAGAAGGTTTTACCACAATTTGTCATACCTAAATAATCATATTAAAGGGTGTGTTCATTTATATATTACTGGTTATTCTAGTATTGAATACTTTGTAAATCATTATTAACAAATTGAACAAGAGCATCACTGATAACATAGATGTAACAGTTTAAATCTTTTGTATATGCTCTTTTTTTAATTTCAAGCAAAACGCCATTTTGAGTATTAATGATTTTTTTACCGTTACCAGCAATATTTTTTTCTTGAAAGGTGCGTAGATCGATAACTAATGCAAATTTATCCTTATAAAATTTTTCAATTGTCATGAAGCAATCTATCGGAATAGTTCTATCAAAAATTTTCTTGCTTCTTCATAAAATGTTTTTATTCATACCTTGGAAAATACAATTTGGAACACCCTCTATTGTCATTTTAACTTCATCGATTAATGGAAATATAAATTTTCACTATCACTAACTGA